GTTCAGTAATATTGTCTGCATAATGCGTAAGTGTTATCATGTCCAATAGCTGGCAGTAGGCTTCAGCAATAATCGACGGACTAGGACTCATGTAGCTGTAGGGGATGACACCCGCATTACGCCAACAAACGAACGAAAATAAGCTTTTACAGCTGTACGTTTGCTTAAGGACGATGTCCTGCACGTACAACTGCATAGACACACTAATGTCACCGTCTGCCATTATCCCAAGGGATCTATTTTTTATCATACGTCACAATTCTATGCAAAAAGGAGGTCACTGTTTTTACGACAGGCTTTACGAAAGGAGAACCAAATAGCTTTATGTTTCTCTGCTCAATCGTCGCTCAAATCATCGAGCACTTATTTGTCAAATTTCTTCGCCTCATTCATTTGACTTCACAAATAAATACGGTATTAAACAAATATGGTATGCTTACATGTGCTAGCTCGAAGTGCTGACACCCCTGCACTTTGGGTAAAATAGATCGACTTCTACCACAGCCTTGAACTCCGCTTTATTTGCCTTCGCAAAAGTCTTTTTCAGTTAGAATTCATATTCGTAAAGCATTACAATTTGCCTGTTAAAAGCCCATATTAAATACAAATAACAAACGTCTCACGGGGTATCGTCGCGAGACATTTCATGCTTTACGGCACTTTAGACTGTAACATTTTCAGACAATTGCGCTTTATCAAGCCAATAAATAAATGTGCCGTCACCGTTCTGTAGGAGATACTTACGTACGTATGCAAAGGTTGATAAAGTAGTTGACGGATTCAGCGGTTCATGGTTGCCATTCGCGCATGCTACCAAGTTAAATTTCGCTTATATTACTCCTAGCAGCGTTTTCCAGCGATGAGAAGTCCTATGAGTGGGTTCTATGAGTGTATTTTAACCCCCTCTTAAACTAAATATTGTGCGTAGGGGGATAGGGTCTTGGCGCATAGTCGGGCTATTCCTTCAGCGGTCTTTGAGGGGAAGTTGATACTAAGCAAGAGCTCCTCCGGGTGGAATTGTGTCACAAAGTTGAACTTCAGAGAGCGCATCTATACGAAAGCAACTAGAAATTGGTACGAGAGACTGAGGGTCGATGCATCGACTTTGCACGAGAGTCTTGTAAACGGTTCCGCACTTTGCGTTAGTCGCACACTTAAAATGCCACATTTCCTAGAAATTCGTGGCACGTAAACTCAGTCTGGATTTTAGCTTCCGCAATAGGGCTTATATATCTAGATAAAGCAGGAATTCAATTTTTTTTTATATAGTAACTAAGGCTTCCTAATGTTACCAGAATGGTAAAACAACATAGCATTTCTAACAAGAGATAAATTCAGTTCATTGATAAGTATGATTACAGTACAAAGTGATTTAAACTAGTCACCATATTACTTTCCCATACATCGAAATGATGCGTATTCAGTGAGGACCCGTGACCTGGCACTTACTCATCTTTCGACCAGTGTTTTTGGAAGTAACAAAGCTTGATAAGATTCTTGTAGAAGCGGATCTTACAACTTAAGCCAACGCATCTTATTGTCTAGCAAGGGGGATACTAGAGACCGGAGCGTTAAGCCGTTTAGCTGAAAAAAGGCGTCGAAAACTACCGGCTCAACCATAAACAAGCGTTGGTTGTTATTTACTAAACGTACTATAGCTTGTAACGCGCTTCGACGCGTGAAGCCTACATGCCCTAATACAGGAAGAACTAGGTTTTCCTAATGATCCTTAGGTATATAAGCTTTCGGGGGAAAGTTGTTAAGAAAAATATTTCAGAGTGACAAAGCTACAGATTATACTCGTAGGTACACGCTGTTTATTAATTATTAGATAACCAGGACAAAAGTGAATAGGATTTCTTTGCGATCATCTGTCTCAAATTATTATTCTCCTTTCCCTACTTTTAAGGAAAAAGGCCTAATCCTTAGATAAAAGTGGTTTGTAAATGGTGACGGGCTAAAAGGCCAAGGACGTGTTTTATTTATCGCTAGAGATCAGCAGCTGCTCAGGGTCGTTCTGCCGAGTAAATTTACTTAAATTGTGTGCAATGAGCAGCGATTATGTCCGAATCAGTGGTTACGCAAGCTTCTGTAGACAATGTTCTTTTGAACTAATGAAAAATTAACCTAAAAATGCCATGAGAAGCGACTTGATAAACAAAAGGCAATAAACTGCATTAAGCCAATGCTCGAATGGCCTACCGAATCGAAAGATACTATCAAACTTAGCAGCTCTTTGTCCTGACCTTTGAGTCACTATAGAAACACACCCAACGTAGAAGGATTTTTGCCTCCATTAATGGCCTACCCTCAGGTCTTTTGTTGTTATAGTGAAAACATTACGCCATACGTCAACTAAACTAATCTGTTATAATATAATAATAAAAATAACACTGTTTAGTGACAAGGTTAGCTATTGAAATCGAATCTTAAACGTTTAATATTTACGCCATATTTGTGCACTCTATTTAGAAGTGTGTGCGCGTCATAAATGCGGTTCTATATTGCAGACGATTCAATTTTCAGGATTCAAGCAAAAATTGTGCTCGTCAATAGAACAAATAAGCCGTAAAATGTAGCCGAAACGTTTTCTGCTCGGTCATTGGAGCAGTAAACATCATTTTTGAACCTGACTGGCTTACATATACCACAAACGAACTTTAATACACTAGTCAGTGACCTGAATTGCTTTTCTACGTCCAGAAGCAGCTGGCCACTTATCTTGCGACTGCTGCTGAATCTCAACAGACGTAGAAACGCAGCACAGACTGCGTAGAAGCTTGGAAAACTTTCTACCATACAAAAAGCACTTACATATAATAAAAAAGAAGCAAGGCGCTCAATTCATATGAACGAGGCTAGGACATATCAAGAGCGATAAACAGATGCGGAAATCGAGGAACCAGTTTGTATATGTGAGCGAACGAATCAGCTGTAACAGTTATTATAGCAGTATTGCGACGCTCCTTTACATTTGTCTGCCTTGTAAGCGTCACAAATGATGATGCACACACGAAATCGCACCTAAGGTAGTTAAGATTGCCCCCCAGTAATTGATATAAGGATAAATAGCTATTATCGCTCTATCCGGACATGGAATTCTTCCATATTTGACTGACAATATCCATAATCAGACATACAGGAGTCTCTTTGAAAGATAGATGATATGTGGCAATATCAGCCAACAACGGTAATGATGACTGGTTTCCACACGTGCTCATTCATTTACTTACGCTTTGATCATCGCGGTCAGAACGTGACCTTTCCGCTGAAGATTAGCTTCCACAAGCCCTCAGCTTCGTTACTATGACGACAGATGATTCTAATCGGGCAAACGAATATACCGATAAATGTGCCAAACCATCTTAGCTCGCTGTACCACTTACTAAATCACCTATATATATATATATATATATATATATACGGTTTGTTTTTATTTTTCTATTATTTTTTTACTATTGCCACGTCCATTGCGGTGTACTGGTACGCGGAGCTTTACAAACATATCCACCTTTTTGAGGCTGACTAGTTGATTCGATATGGGGATAAACGCACGGTGTTATTAGAAGATCTAGGTAGTAAACGCTACAGCAGATGACCGATCTTTTCGGATACCGCAGAGGAAATTTGACGCATCACCGATAATCGTTCAGCGACTAGTAGTCAGCACACCCACGGGAAAACTAGGCCAGAATGAATAGTTACATGTATCTCTTTAATTACATTCGCTCACTTACCTGAATAGTTAGAATGTGATTCTTGGCTAATGCTTGGTTATAAGTAATACTTAAGGGGGGTAGCGGACGAAAAATACAGAGAGGTGATTAAAAATCAATACGGAGTGCATAAAGGACAAATATATCTGGAACAAGAAATCTGATCTTTATCTTACAAAATAGACATTGGAAAAATGGCAAAGCCGAAGTGCAATCCATTAGCAATTGGAAAAGTTAAGCCTGCTACTGGGTTTCTTGTCGCGTCAATGGCCTGTCACCGTAGCAGCCTTTCTATAATGCGTTCATTCATCATGCCGAATTGACAAGATGATTAGCGTAGCTAATTAACAATTTCATTAAATCTCGTAGCTGTAGCAGCTCAATAGTGAACAGTTTACGTGATGTTACTCAGTACGCGAACAACGGCCGGCATCGACATCAATGTTCTTCCTTCACTATGCGTCGACGTTCTATTGGGGGAGAAGATGAGTCCCTAATATAATCCACTGATATGATGCGTCGTGAATCAAGGGTTAGGTTGTGCCCATTCACCGTTTAGGCATAGCTTTTTAACCGGCTATAGTGTATTTAGATAACGCCCAAATTATCCAGCGGGATCGAAATGGCTTTGAGATATAGACATATACTCCAGGAGTCCTTGTCAAGTGACCATATGACCTCTCTCTTAGGAGAGCAGTATTTGACGACTAGCTGCCTGGGATTCTGGCGCAGGGCCAAAGTATAGTTCCATATTAAACCAACATGGGCGAAGACGTTCATTGAAGAAAGGGACGACATCTAACAGCAACGACGACGCCTCAGTAAAACGTTTGCTAGTAGTACAAACCCGAGCACATTTGCTTCTTCCTCTTTGAACTGAGAGTTCTGAAGATTCTAGTTTGACAGATTCAAGAATAATATCTGCAATTTGATCTAATCAAGCAGACAACAGATACACTGTACTCAACAACGTAATGTTTATCACAGGTAGAGAACAGGTCTTAAGTAAGAAAGTTCTTATGATGAATAATATAAACACAATGCATGTATAACATATAGTATATTTATTACACACATAAATTAAGAAGTAAGTATTACATAGTACATTTGATTTTTCTTCTACTATAGCATTTGTCCTTTGAAACAAAATTACCGTTATACTTGATAGAATAAAGCAAAGCGTGTCACAGGAGCTTCAAGATAAGAATTTCTGATGATTTTCATTAACATTCATTGCAATAATAATTTTCCTTGCTCCTTTTTCCTGTGCCATTACGGGATCAGGCAACGGGCCTCACACCACTAATGTACGCCGTAAAAGACAGCCGAGTGGGGATAGCCGACAAATTCCTCGACCTCGGACAAAATGTCAATGCACGAGCCAAGGTGAGTGGAACGGGTCAGCTCGTCTATTTCTTTGTCTCTTTTTTTTTTATGTCATTTATTTTCTCCGTTAGCTAATGAGAGTTCGATAGTTGGCTAGTTAGCTATAATCAGTCTAACGAATAATTATGTACCCCTTGTGTATCCAAGCTCAAGCCTGGTACCTCTCAGTGTGTCACAGGGCCCGCGGAGAATTGTTAACAACTTATTCTGATTTACTTCAGATCAATTTAATTCCTAAAGCAAATATGAAAATTACTGAACGATAACAAGCAGAGCATGAAGTATTAAAATATTCAAAACTCAATTTCTCTGAAAATTTTTCTCAGTTCTTTGCTTCGGAATAGGTTCGTTTCGGAAATTGGGTCTTGCTTTTATCATTAGGTACGTTTTTTTTACTCGATTTCAATTTATTATGTATTCATGTGCAGGCAAATTTAAAGCGTATATGTCTTTGTTTTTTAAACGTTACAAACATCGTTATCAGGAATGGTACATCTGCTTTTGAAGCTTTGAAAGACTGAGGTATCCCTTTAAAATTTAAACATGTCGTAGCCATATAGAGCATTTTATGATACCTACACATTGCGAACAAGAAGCCATAAAAACATTCCGTTGTTTCTATATTTTGACAAAAAATGGCAAAATAAAAGTTTGAAGCTAAGTTAATTCATATACCGATGTACTTGCAAGAAATTACACCAGCCATGTTGCCAGTATCTTATCACATATATATATATATATATACGGCATTTATCGAAAAAGGTATGTACATATAAGGTAAAACCCGGGTAAAGTTGATGTCATATACATATAAGTTTTCCCCACAAAAGAGCTCTGATTGTTAATATTAATTATATATAGTTATTTAAAAAAAGACCATTTGATGCAATGTTTGTCGATGTGGTTCGGGTTTTATATAGCTATTTTTTTAATACAGTTGAATAGTTTCTATAATAGATAGATCACAGTTTGCAATCATAAAGATAAAAAACGTACTTATTTTGCGCTATAACGCATCCTAAATGGGGTTACTATATACGGACATGTATCCAAAACTACGATAGAAACAACATAAGGTACCTAGTATTTCCCTTTTGAGCGCATTAGTCCTTAAATCTACTCAAACCCCGTACCCTGGACAATAATCGACGAATACTAATAAACAACAGAATCAAGAAGTCCAACCTAGGTGCAGCTCTGTTGCTGGGCTTCTGTGATAACCGGCACTATCATCTTTGCTTTTCCACAAGTTTTACACGTACCAGCAGTAGATCTCTCGCTATTCGCGGAAATCTTCGTTGAGTCCACTGCTAGCCCCTACATGCTGATATGTATTTTTTTCTTTAGGGTAGTGTCTGACTCCGAAACACAGTCGCTCTTTTTTTTATTGGCTTTCTTCGTTCTTCTGTACTGTTCGCTCCCTGGACATTGTTGTCGTTATTTTTTGTCCTGCTTAAATTGGTCCTATTGCCATTAGTGCGGTCTTTGTTGCTCATGTTATTGTTTATCTTTGCTCCTCCGGCACTTAGCTGCTATGGTCCACGATATTGTTGATGGAAACGCTGGCGTCCACCAACGAAAGCATACCCAACTTCTTTGCCTCCTATCGGGGCTCGGGTGTGCTTGTTTGTTCGGGCATTTGTTTATGTGCTTACCTACATTGTTTTAGTTGTCCGTGTGCTTCGATCTGCTGTGCGTATCTGTAGGTTTGTTCACACAACGACGACATCACGGATAATTTTGACCTTAGTTTCATTGCTCGAAAAGAATGTCCTGTCCATCTGCGCCTCCCGCCCCTAATTCCTCTTTCTGTCCTTTGATTTTAGTTGTTGTTATTCTTTGATGTGCGTCGCATATGATCTTACCACGCTTATACGCAGCTGTGATTCCGCTGTGTTTGTTGTTACCCCTGTCACAGTGTTGTACCCATCCTGCCCCTCATCCACCAGGTTTCTGATAGAACATTCTGTCTGTGCATTCTGTCTCTGCTCGAGATATCATTTCACGTGTATTCGTTGTCACATATAAATTCACGTCCAACCACATGGCTGCTCGTTCTTCTCGTCGCTTTCCTGTTTCTGCTTTGCCACTGCCAAAACTTATAGCACTGCTTCTCATCCAAAGTTATAGACCTAAATACACGCGCTTCCTACCAGCTATTCTGTAAAACCACAGTCGTTAACGTCTTAAGTGTTTTACTATCGCGAGTACTGATTATATTCTCACCGTACTGACTATTCTGTAAATAGTTGTCATTGTTAGCACGGTATCATTCATGGGTGGCACTTACGGTTATGTCACTCTGAATGTTCGGCAAGTACAATGCCCAAACATATTGAAATATTTCAATTTTAACGTCCGGTTCTGAAGTTGGCTAGTTCCCAGCACGAAATAAAATGCATCACGTCCGGATTCAAACTTAGATCACTACCTATCTCTATGTTTAATAAGCAAACCCATTACTGCTGCACTAATATGGATACGAGGGCAAGCAACCACAAAAACGGATTATGACGCATAGACTCGTATTAAGTAAGAGGTGAACCACTTCTTTTTTGCGTTCCAGTCGACTATCTCTTTCCGTCTCAGCACTGCGTATTCTTTTACTCTATTTTCATATATATATATTCTTTTGCTCTATATATATATATATATATAGTAAAAGAGAGGAGAGAGAGAGAGAGAGTGAGAGAGAGAGTACGTAGTACACCAAGCCCAGTGGGGGGATGTAAAGAGAGAAGTTCAAACTATCTATACAGACGGACAGACATAGGCAGGACAGACATTTGAGCAGATAAACTTATCAGAGATGCATTTTCGAATTGGGAAACGCGCAAAAGGAATATAGACGTCATTTTGCCATTTACTAAGCGTGGTCGAAAGATTAGTTGGTTAAATCCTGCGAAGAATCAGGCTACCACTTTCTATCTTACCTCCTCTTCTATATAAAGACAATACGAGTATATTAGCTGGTATTTTGTTACTCATACGAAGCGTTCAACAATGACAAGCGGGTATACTGCAAATAGCAGGGTCGAATCTCTATGGGGGAAGTTAGCAAAACCCATGCGAAGAAACGGAATCATGCAAAAAAAAGGCATGCAAAAATGCACCGGAAAAGATAGAAGTCAAAGTGAGGGTGAACTTGAAGACGTGTGGTGGTGTTCAATATCATTCCTATATGGCAGACTTCCGTTTCATCCTGACGTCGTTTCTGGTCAATGGAACATGGTGACCATATAATATCTCGAGTGGCCCCGAAAGGAACAGAAATAGGTGCGCCATAAGGAGAGAAAGGTTACAAAAGAAAATTCCGTATCTAAGAACGACTTTGTTTATACGCCGGTATAGGGTTATTAACGCCGAGATCATATCTAGTAAAAATAAACCCATGGCCCAACGTCTAAGTAGCGTCAAATAGAGACTAGTTGTAAGTTGTATTAATACATGTATGCTAATTATAACTTACTTGATAGTTTTTTGACGTGCCAAACCTGTTTCTTTCATAAACGTTAGAAAAATGAACCAAGAATATGCGTGTATTAAAATCAGAAGTTTAAACTTCATGTACTCGAAGCATCGCGATATATATTCAAGTTAGCAATTAATCAACGAGAAATGTACAGCTTGAGGTAGACCTGAAGTTCTACCACAGTCAAGCTTTCTTCGGTAATAAATGAAGTGGTTAATATGAAGATCGTTAGCTACGATATACATAAGTACAATGTTTCTCGCCATTGATTAGTTGAATCTTCATTGTAGACTTCGAACAAACGTATGATTGAAATCAGATGTTTAAAAAAGAGAAGCTGTTTATCCAAGTGGAAATGTTGCGATCCACTTTCCAAAGTAGTTTTCTTATTTCCCGATAACATGTGATAACTTTAGCTGCGAGCCGACATGATAGATTAGTCTAAATGTTACCTCAGAAAACTAGATCAGCCGTTAACTAAATAAGACGCTATTTATAGGTTATTTATCGTTCACAAAACACGAGTTGCAGATAATTGTATATTTTAAGTACGGTTACGTACTGAAAAATTGGCATGACAATGAAAAAACAGTCGCTTTTTATCAAGATCACATTGAAAGGTATAGGGGGGCTCATTAAAAGTCAAACATCAGATGTTCTGTAGTCATTCCCAAAGGTGTCGTTGATTGCAGCAGTTTAACTACGAGATGAAATTACAGGTAAAATCGGCAAAATTGTTGAATCATGTAGCGTTTTTACAGTATGTCGTGTTGTTTGTCAGTGTATATAAAGATCCCACCGGGAATCTGTCACTACTTTGTTTCCGTCAAGAAGAACCACAGAAGAAAAGTTATTAAACATCGATAGTTATCCAGCTGTCAGCAGTAAGGTGCATAAATTTTATATGTATATATATATTTATTTATTTTATACAAAAAGCAAAAAGAGGTGCAAACTTTATGAATTAGTGCCATCAAGGAAAATATAGCCTGGGATCAGTGAAATCAAGCCGAAAAATCGTGATCAGTTTTATTTGTGTTTATTTTCTTTATTTATATCCAATCGATAGAGTATCTTTGAACATGAATTTACATGAAAAAATTGCGCCAAGGACGAAACGTATTCGTTCCAAAATTTCAATACAAACTGTGATATTACAAGCAAATTATTTGTAAATGCCTGAAAAAAGGTTGATAATGTCCGGTTTTTTGAACACTAAATACGAAGAAGCTAACAAAATTGAACACATTGAAGGAACAAACGTTCCCGGTCACAAAGTGCCTATACTTGTAAAGTACCTGTAAGGGCTACCTAAAGACAGGGCCAATTCTACCATAACAATAAGTTGTCTGCTATTTGGAGTAATTTCTCAATATCTAAAGTGTATAATACTTTCAAAAAATTGCGCCTTAATTCTTACGTTGGCGTCATGTATTCAAACAAACAATTTCAGGCCAATGTGCTGACTTCCTACAATACACTATTAATGGGAAGTGTTTGTAATGGAGAGCTAGCCATGTACATAGAGATGTTTGCCAACTGAAGTACTTCCTTGGTGTTCCGTAAGGTAGTCCTACTGAATTACTCAATTAATGTTAGAATCGACTGAGCAAGCTGTTATCGCAATTCGTTTTGGAATGTACTCTTTCTAGTCCTAAGCCCACGACCCAATTGATTCCACAACTACGCCTAATCGTTGGCTGCATAACATCGGGCTAATGCTACCCTTAACAAGTATATCTGAAAATGGATATATCATTCCTCTGTACTTAAATGCTACAAGATTTGAGATATAGTTGAACGATTGGTTGAATATTCATGAATGAAGTAGATGTAATAAAAAAAAGCAATTTGTCAATTGATACACATGAAAAGCACCTGCTCCCTCAACGGGTCACTCAAGTTACGCGTAGCTTAGTATGCCCAATAATGAGTCTCAATGACATCAGAAAGCTGATCGGTAACACGTCTGTGAGTAATAAGGAAACAATTAGCGACGACTGAACCAATTGATAGTAACAAAGTACTGCAAAATTAAGAAGTAAACCGACGACGAGAAGCTTGGGACGATCCTCAATGTATTTAGTTGAAACTGTAAGGCATGTTTTTGAATTAATACATAATCACAAGTAATCTCTCTTCCTTTTCGTTGTCTGTCAAAGTGTAATGATATCCTTGAAACTATCTTTTTATGTGTCATGTTTGAAAGATACAAAATTTCTGTTTCTGCCCTGCCTCGTGCCTCTTCTCAGACCACCTAGACATGTAGTCAGCAGCTTCAGCATATGGGCGTGCCACTTCTATGCCCACCTGCGTAATGCATACAAACCTCGATAAATTGCGTATGTAAGCAAAAGAGTGAACGGCTGGCACTGCGGTCTCTTTCCACAAACACAACTGCATATAAAAATAATGACATAAATTGACGTTTTTTCGTTCAGTAAATACGTGATCCAACGGCGCACCATTTCATTGCGTCACGTTCAGTGAAGCCTACAACTATACTTCACCTACTTTCTAAATTTAAGCGCGTAAATAGATTCGATCGACTCTATGTATCGGCAACAGGTGGCGCTTTGCAACGATCCGCAGCAAACGTTAACTCAATTACGCAGCGACAGAAGTGTTTAATAAATTATGCACGTCGGCTAGCTTCGCCTTGGAGAGGCTTTTATCTCAACTGAGAGATAGACTTTCCGTGAATGTTCAAAGTTTTTAAAAGAAGCCACCTGTTTCCAGCAGTAGGTTCTGTTTCTTGTGCCGAGTAAACAATGGGGTAAGTAGTTGAAACGCTAAGTAGAGAGTGAAATCGCGACTGTTTTATTGTTGTCATCCCAGTTTAATCATGCTTGTACAAGCGATTTATGTGGTGGTCGTTATATTATATTAATGGTTGGTCTTGGAGCGAGCTACCAGAAACGTAAACACATGTTACCCATCTTTCGTCCGTCTCTGCGGCGCTCTTCTGTGATTATCTCACTTCCGTCCTCTATGCGTACATATTTACTTACCTCCATCTTCTAACTTCGATATGGAGCGCTCTGTCATCCTATTACAGGGAATAACAGGAGAGGACGAGCTCGCCGGAAGCGATGCAATCTATAAGTGGATCAGCCAAAGCAAACGGCCGTATATGACAAGTGGCCATACTGAACGTCTAACGCTCGGTTGTTTCTGCTCAGGCTTATTCCGCCACTTCTAACCATGGGGAACACCGGCCACAACGAATTTCGATTGCCACTATTTGTATGCATCATTTATGTGCAGAACTATGTGTGTAGATTGCTCCGCGATATAACAAGACTAGTTGCGCTAGCTGTAAGTGTCTGACGATGCCTTAAGTTATACAAAAAGAGGGGCATCGACAGTCCTATACAGCACTTTTCCTGCTGGTCGCCCGTGATTGAGTCGAGAATAGATATAGGGTGTCAGCGTTGAGGAATTAAGATGAAAGCTAACAAAAGACAATCTCCGCTCCAAAAAGCTAGAAAGTAACGCCAGGCCGAGGGTAAACAACAGCTGTATTAGCACGGAATAAAGAGCATTCAAGTGTGAAGCTGAGACACAGACTCACTGACAAACTAAAAGGCAAATCTTGTAACATTTGTAGAAAATCTTTGCTTACGTACGAGCGATGTAAAAATTATCAGCCGCAGATTATAGTATCCATAATCGTCTACCATGCCACACAACACAAGAGGAAATCGCAGGCGCGGTCTCTCTCTCTCTCTCTCGCTTCCTTTACATGTAGGAGATAGCTAAGAAGGAAGTGGACGAGGCGTTGGCGTATCGTCTGGTGGCATTATGGGCGCCATCGACCGATGTATGTAATACGTAAACATCAATATACCAATGTGTATATATGTGGTCAGGAACAAGGTATATGTATGTATGCGCACTCATGGATAATGAACCCAGATTGTATCCCACATCTAGGTAGCAATACGAATAGAGAAGTAAAGCGGCAGCGAGACATTTCTTGTACGAAGGCCTCTAGCAGACGTCTGCCCATAGCGGGCTGTGACAGCTCGCGGCTAGGACGGACAACTGACGGTAATGGTTACATTGTAGAGAGTCAAACAGTTGCAAATTTAATGCGCTTTACGTTGTACTTAAACATATGAGAATGCTCTAAGAGCTGTTGGCTACTGCTGCTGGCTGTAGGCAGCATAGGGTGATGGCGGGAGAAAAGTTGTCTTTTTTTTTCAAGGGTCCGGAAGGGGTAGGGGTTAGGTTTAAAGAACAATAAAAGGCCCAAAAAGGTCCGAAATCGTTTAAGGAACCCCTCCCGCCCTCTAAACGTATAACAGTTGTGTGTAGTCGTAGAACTGTTGACGTCGTTCCGCACCAAGGGCAGATTTTACCATTTCGTTGCAGCGTAAAAGAAAGCGACGGCTTGCAACTGTACGGTCGACCGCGTAAGCGAATATCAGAAGATAATCGCTCCTTTTTAGAGCCCGGCTGTCATTTAGCCTGTGATGGATGCTTCGATTTTAGCCCAGTTGCACCTCTTTATTCTGTGCAGGGAAGCAGGCTAGCGAAAGAAAAAAAATCCGATCAAAGTGCGACATCTCACTGAGATAAGTGTTATCCTTTTCTAATGCTCCGTCTTTAGGTTTCCCTTGCCCGTTTACGGTCTAGTTCCTTGCCCCGTAAAGATGATCAAATAAGTAGAATGAAATAGAAAATTGCATAGAGCAGGAAATTACTAGCGCGCAAGCTAACGTTTGTAAAGGTGCAATTAAAAATTAAGTTTCATTTGTTCTAATAGGTTGTCCTATTTTCAAAGCTATCTCAAAAAAAAAGGCCTTTCTGTGTCGAAAGGGTAGCGCGCGTGTTTTTTAAAGTGGCTCAGCGATTTTACACAAGGGATATCAGCTGGAAATGCCCTTAAGATTGGCTTCCTATTCTGATATTATAGACATGCTACAGAATCTACTTGTCACATGTTGTATAATTATATAGCAATACTTTACATAAGTATTTGTATTTCGTTTGACGATAAAAACTCACTCACATCCCTAGTATGCTCCGAAAATGACAGAATATAAATAAGTACTATTTGTTAGAAGCAGTGTGCGTCTTTTGCAGTGACAGACGCAATCATCTTCCCTTAAAAACAAAAAAACAATTTCTGTTATTGCTCGCTTTAAAGTATTACATATAGTGGACCAGAGGTTGTTGTTATTGGCAAGTTAGTTCACACCAATGTACTAAAGTACGTATGGGCCGTTCGTTCAGATCCAAGCGTTCAGAAGGCTCCTGATGGTGGCGATCATTCGATGAAAAACTATTAAAGGCACTACAATTCTACTTTCCAGTTCAACTTGATAAATAGTTTAGTCTTTAGAATTATGGGTCGACATTTATGGGGACTCTCGAAACAGCTACTGCTAATAATTACTACCGCAAGAAATTACGAGGACTATTTTTTCGTTTATCATGCTATACAGGTACGTATGATTGCGATATCTACAATGGCTAACATTACAAGTCTTAAGTGATTCCCAGCATATATCGATGAAAATGTGCCATAACCAAGGTACCACAGAATGATCGACTTGCTATGGTCAACAACAAACGTGGCAGGGGCAGGAAGGTACCGCGAGATGAGCCTTCTCGTGACCTACCTTCCAATAGAACCTCAGAGTTCAGCACATAGATGACGCTATATGAAACTGTCGTCATTAGGAAGCAGTTTAGGCTATTGGCTGGCCATACTGGGCACAACATCTAGTAAACGACGCAATTCATGCTTCATAGACGAGGGTTTGTACGTACCCCCCAAACCGTCGTGGCACTCGACTTCGGCTGTTTCCAACTCCAATAAAAATGACAGTTTGCCAATTTTAAAATCCGCCTGCCTAACAAAACAATAGAGTCTTTATTAGAATGTAGTTAGTCACAAAATAATTTTGTAGATTGTTTTAATACGAATTGTGGCACGTGTTCTCTAATAGAAAACCATATAATACAATTAAACCAATGTAAAAATACTCTTTGTTACTGTGGGTTTTATGTAGCTTGTTAGATCAATGTAGAAAATAGTTTTTTCGTTTACTTACGAGTGCCTCGATATGTTTTAGAGGTGATTGTCCGCATTTACGCGATTATTTGAGCATGATTATATTTACCGTTTGTGTCGTACCAATAAGTTTCCTATAAATTATGCACACAATTATTTCATCCACCGTATCCCAGTTACTACCAAAAATGACAATTTTTTTTTACTACAAGAAGTATTTTTTTTATTGAACATTAACTAATTTTATCATTTATTCTAGCATAATTCATTAAACCATATCCATATGTCGTCGTTTTACGCCCATTTTGTACAGGATTTACAAAAAATATATCATGCAAAGGTTAGGCACCACAAAGCCCTTCCACATCGTGCACTCTTTCTCACATCTGTATGATCGAACTATCGATCACTATCGACATTACCAATAACATAGTTGCGCTTATTGTTGTTTGTTGTGGGTTATTATTGTCACAAATGCGTGAAGAAAAGCCTGATCGAACCGTCATCGCCACCACGGCACTGAAACGGTGCGGTTGGATGTTTTACACGGAGAGAGCTCAGAGATCACACAAGGCGCTAGCAGTCCTCAGTCCACAAGTCACAAGGTCGTCAAGCATTTGACGCAGTCTGAATTTTACATGTTTTTTGGAAGGGCCTGAAACATATCGCCTGTCGGATAAAGTTTTTGCAATAACAGCTTATATCCTCTAAAAATCCTATACAACAAAATTACACATGCACTCGCAGCAGCACACTCGTTTGCCTGTCATTAACAGGTGTGGTTAATTAGCATCATCAAGCAATAGTTTCTAGATAATAGGATCTTTCGTAGGAAAATACCTTGCTGTTAAATTTTTCTCACTGAGACCAGTTAACGAGGTTCGATGTCCCTTCAAGATTTCAGGTCCACGTTATTTTTGTTACTACTGTTATTGATATTGTTTAGGTAGCCTTATAGAATTCGTAGTAGTTAGTGTGGGCAGTTAATATAGCTTCGTGTTAACCCTTCCTGTTCTTGCTTTTGTTAATATTATTGTTGGTTTGTTATTAACTAGCATGTTACACTTTCTACATGTCTAGACGTATTTGCGTGTTGTTCGATGCAGTGATGCGAGAGCTAAGATACGCAAATACTAGTAAATGAAATATGCTTTATGTATATATATATATGTATGTATATTTATTTGCTCTAAGTTTATTTGCATTTTTCTGCCATCAGATCGTCGCTTACTATACAATATTGTGTTCCGTTGTATATGTCGCTTAATGTCCTTTCACCTACCCAGCTCGTCTTTGAAACTGTTTTCACTCGCCTTTTCGAATATATATATATATATATATATAGCCACTAGTGCATGAACTACACTTGTACTTTTGTTTCGTTTAGTCTGTATTTACCGCTAGGGGTCGTTCGTCGCGCGCTGGCATCGTGGCGCTCGATTAAGGTTTATCTCGTTTTCGATCGTAATTATGCCAGCACCACAAAATTAATCGGTACTTTAGATACTCTACGATCTTGTTTTAGACGTTTAGCTTGCAGATGTGTATTGACCCGCTCAGTGATACTGCTTAGATAGCGAGGAAGCCTCTAATGGCAAAACTAAAACTTGTTGTGAGCGGTTACGCTAGAAAATCCAGCCATGCACTCATATTCAACGATTATTTGTCTGAAACAAAACACGCTACGATCATTGTTTACGTCTGTATAATAACACAACACGAGTAGTTCCGTCCGAAACATTATCAATTGACCTTTTGCGGACTCTTCATATTTTGCCAGCACTCGCGCCTTTATTCTAACCTGCACAATCTTATAAAGGCAACATTTCGTACTTAATGATGATATTTTATTTAATCATAATCTAACTGTATGATTTTGATACGAACTTTGCTACAGACTGTGTGCAAAGGGCTAATTTTTTTTATTATTAACATTATTCTTGTCAGTACAGAATAACATTATAGGACAACAGATCTCTATACCCTATTGTATGGGTTTTTAGGTATTTCCAAACGATATCTTGGTTCATTTAAAGCCTTTCTTAACACTTTTCAGAACTTCGCACTCAACTGCAATAAACAATTTGTCGCTTTCATTTTGCGCACACAATCGTGGACCTAGTGCACTCTAAACACGCGAGAATGTCATGCCACAGAACACAAATCCCTGATTACTGTATATCTCTACTTTGTATCCAATGGACCCCAAACACCGTATTGTATACAACCCCTCGTAGCAAGCTAGAGAGCACGGCTTCGTCACACTAAATCGTTATATCGCCAACGTCTTTCCAGGGTCCTCTTTTCAGTGTTCTTCGGTAAATGTTGTCTCATCAAGTCTGGAGCGGGTTTCTCCTCTGCCCTTTACCAGAGAAATGATTTTGTACGAGTTACCCCAAGAGGCGATGGTAGGGAGGGGACTAACTTTACACCTAAGGCGACCAATTGCTACTCGAAAAACTCTAACTACGAACCCTTCGACAGATACTGAACACCCGAATTTCCTAAACCTGGTTCCTACCAATAACTTCGCGCTTATGACGCTCTGAATGCATTCCGTAAGCGATCAGCTGCAGTAACGGTAATGACGGCCTCTATTTTTTCGTCTCACTGACCGACGGAAACAAACCAGCATCCCGGCTAACTTCATTTTCAGTGCTTCGCTTATAGTAAGACCGGTCTATTCCAAGTCCAATCGCTTTTCCAACGGATACAATTCTGACCCTCCTCACTACCTCGTCCCCATTTTACACATCCTTTGAACTAGCCCTAGCCACAGTTTACCTCATCATACACTCTCTAGCGTTACTATTCCTTCCGTAGACGTCTTCTAGCCATGTCGCTTAGGAAGCAATCATTTAATTGGATTCTTGTTGCCTTTTGTCGACACACAAACCTTAAGATTTTTTTCCAATCTGGCCGCAGGTTCCAATCGGTCAGACGTCGGCCGTCTGCTGATTTAACTTCGGCTCAGCTAGATACGCTATTCAGAAGTATTATACTGATGTTTGATTTGTATGATGGACCCTCTTTAAACGGATATAAATAGCTAATCGAATAGAATTCGTAGCATTTAGAATATGTTTAGTTACTGAAGCTATCGTTCGATTAAGGTGGGTCTCATTAGTTCTCAATTATTCGGTCAAAGTTAGCCTTTGGCCTAAAATTTCTCAAATTTATTTGAAAAAATTCAAATTCCTTAGAAACGGTTTGCGAGTCAGAGCCGATAGTGCATCAATGAGAGCAAGGGTGCCGATCACGCCCCGTTCTGCCCTACCAAACGTCCATGATGGCACTCCCTTATCCTGTCCTGTTATAGAAAGCGCAGGCTATTATGAATAATTTTTTTTTAAAACCTACGTTTCGCAGATGCTTTACTCCATATGATCATAGTTTATTACAGTTAACTTGTTGCTCGTTATCTACAAAAGTCTATGAAAATTTAAGGGTTAGGACCCGAAATGCACACCATGTAAACTTATTGCCGTGAGGTGATTTGAAGAGACAACGTCATAGCCTTACCAAACGAAAATTGACAGAAATGTGGCTTATTTTTAATGTGAACATTTTTTAAAACCCCATTTTATGGACGCTTAATTTTCTCTTTGGCTAGGCGTATAAACAACGTAATTGAATATTTAATCTGAAAGCTGATTTCCTAACTATAGAGCTAGTTTCTAAAATGTATCTGGTATAGAAAATTTTGTCAGGGATTCTCGACCGATGTATTGGAAGAACTTTACCACTCCTAATTTCGGGTACTAAAAAGGATGTCATCGTAATCTAGTAACGGATATTCTCGGGATTTTTGTTCCCTGAAACTACTTTCCTATTATGGATTGCTTTTCTTGCTGCACGACATGGCACGTAGTCACGTTTGGTCTAGCATAACGCCTGAGCTCTTTTCATTTCTGAAACAAAGCGCTATGCTGAAGTGTCAAACACCTCGATTTGAAAAGAAAAAGAAAAATTCAGTAAACGAGCAGTTGCCTCTTGTCTTCTGTATTGCCAATACGAGGTGGGGACACGTTTACGCTCAGTAAAATGGCGTTAACTGTTGACTCTCCTCAAACTCCATCCGGTAGTTCTGGTGATTGTTGTTATCCCAGTATTCTTTGCCGTCGACGCGATAACACACACAAAATTGAACCGAACGGGGGGAACTTTTCAGACACAGGTTCACAGAAAAGCGGTCAGTCGGCGACGACGTATGCGCCGATCCACCTATATCCTTGCACTCGGCTGGCATATAGTCGGCCTCGATGTCCGTGTAACTTTCCCAGTTGTTTAATGTATACCGCAAGAGAACGCTTTTATGAAAGGCGACGTTCAGAACTCGAATAACAATGTGCACTGACGAGTTGTAGCTGGCAATCACAGATTCAAGACAAACCTTTTGCGTCCGAAGTCGCTGCCAAAAGTTAGGCGTCGCACCTAGAAGGGCACAGCACAAAATAGGCTATCCTTAAGGGTTGGGCTATCTTGTGATACCGAAAAGCTCACTTTTTGCAAATGCTTTGAGCCTTCCATTTTTCAAGTCTTTTACCAGGTCTCAGAAATATCATTAAAGAGTGCATCATCAATTCAAAAATGATCGCACACTTACAGCAGCCGCCCCATGCTACACTCTGAAAGGAAGCAAAACTTCAGTGTAGCAAATTAGCAGCGTTAGTTAACTCCGCGGATCAACTAGGAGTATAATTAGCAGAGTAAAAAATCTAAGTAGATATTAACGGACAACGGTTGATTTACCGCGGTACTCACCTGGCTGCTCGAACTTGGCCTGGTACCTGCCGCTCGATTGACAGACCTCAAGTTTGATATTTCGAGCCGGCTGGAACTCTCTAACTCTGACTAGGGCAGACGTCTTAGGAATGGCTATACTAGAAGAAAGGATAGGCATAGAGTTTTCCACGGCGGCGGGACTAGGCGCTGGTGCAGGAGTTTCCTCGGGGCTTTGCAAAGGGGGCGTCGCTGCCATTACCTTCAATAGGTGTTGCACGTAACGGAGTTAGATCTACTGGCTATAGAATAAGCCTCATAAAATTCCGTGCGTTACGGAAGACTACGTGCCAACTATGGCCCAACTGACTTTTGCGTATGCATCTAGCCATTCATGCTCAAGCGCAATATACAAAGCAAGCGCTCTATGAAACGCTGTTTCCCTTTGGTATAGTTTACGTTAAAAAGCAATTGGAGACAACTGAATTCGAAAGTTACCATTGTTCTTTCGCTTGACTCAATTCCGTTGAACCGTCTTATTGGAAAATGCATTATCATAAAACAAATGGTTTTGCAACGCCGTAAGGGCTCTCACCTTTACCGCAGTCAAATCAAGTCCCATGTCATCGGCGAACTTGACAATTTTCTTTGGCTGGCCGCTTTTAGTGGGTGTTTGTGGGGCGCTCTTAAGGCACCTCTTTGGAAGATCAGAGCTGGCAGGGGATGTTTCGTGCGCAAGAACCAAAGGTGCTCTAGGACCTTCCGGTTTACGGCCTGAAAGGCGAAGTTGGTGCAATTTGAGCACGAGTTGTTGTTTGATATGCTGCATCACACGCAGCCGGCCTGAAGCCCATCACAATGGTTAGCATCCGGCGCCGGCTTTACGCTGCCTTGTTGCCAGTCGTCATCATTATCATCGTCGTTTTCATACAACTAAGATGAACACCGCACGCGTTCACATGATCACTGGAACTCCGGTCTGGAGGGAGATGCCAATTGACGTTTTCAAGTCTATTGCTTATAGGACATCTTAAATAAATGACCAGCTTCAACACTAAATGCTAACTACACGTTTTCTCTTTTCACTGACGGCAACAGGCACGCTTTTCCGGCTTTTCATTTTTTCTCGGTTACCAATAACAGTACCGATTAACTCGGTACCATTCGGCATCATTATCAATAGCAATAATAACGTAATGTCATTTACTCATAATTATTGATAACAGCAGAAGATGAACAGAAGTTATAATGAGTAAAGCAACGACAACATCGAGTATCGACGATAATACAGGGGAACAAAGTGCTGCTTACTGTTTGACGTCACAACGGCACTGACCGTGCAATACACCATGTGCAACAGCCATACCCTTTCAGTTTGCGGCACTCCATACTATGGTAACATTGATAACCTGGCTATATTAGTCACCGTCTATGTGAACCGATATTGATTCATGCAATTCATAATGTTGTAGCTCTAAAAGACTCTAGCTGTTGGCGCTACTCTTGCTGTTAGTGTCGTTTTTTGTAGTTCTTTGTCAAAGAAAAGTTATTTATCCAGCATTTTAAGTGGGCATCCGCCTGGACCATGAAGTGGTCACTGGACGGCCGCTGCCGTGGCGGGGGCATCCATTTCGGGAAGTGCATCGAGCTTCAACACTCAAGGGCAGACGCATCATCAGCGGTTAGAACCCGACTGAGTGAACCCTTTCGGCTTTTTCCCACTACACATCGACGACGACGACGACGCACGAACTGGCATTAAGTAACCACCGAGTACCCGGAGCCACTGCCGTTAGAGTGCCCCAGCCCAAGCCCAAGTGAGGGTAAGCGACGTGGCCATGCGACGGCGGTGGTGGTGGCGGTGACGGTGGCGCCTGACAAGACTAACTCATTCTTTCTCTTCTTCTTCTGGGTTCAAGGGGCGCTCTTCCCTTCCTTTTCCGTTCGTGCCCTTTCCTCTGCACTCACCGCCTACATCCCCATGTGACGCAGCTTACTGCGGAGAGTCAACACCGACTCTACTACTGCAGAACTTCTTCACTTCTAAAAGGAAGACGAAGGTCGTTCTTACGTCTATACCGCGCCGTCAGATGACGGACACAATAAGGGGAACCTATAGTGAATCCGCGGATATAGCCAATATAAAACTTTGGCAGCCAAGATAACGAAGAATGGCTCGGACTTTAGAAATGTGTAAACAATAAACCACAGAGCCAACGAGAACTTAGTAATTGATAGATGGTTTGAAAGCACTCATGGGTCTGGAAATCTGGTATTATAGTAAATCATTGATGCTTCTAGTTCCATCGTGCCTCTGGACAATATGAAGTTGCTATACTAGATTTAAAGATGGGCTGCTTACTATCTTTAGGCAAAATTAACACTCAGATATAGCTTTATAGGTGCCAATTGAACGAATACAATGATATTCTTGATTCCGGTGCATCGAAAGAGGATCCCAGAAAACTGACTTGCTTCGAAAAATGGTTAAATACGTCGTAGACATCTATAGCAAAAATTAATACACTAACCTGGAATCTGCAAATCGATGGTTGGAGACCCTGTACGGTAGTCGGTCCAGACGAGAGCAGTTGAGAGTGGCATTGAGAACGGATTGGGTCTCAGCGTTATTTGGACCGCCGTCATCCTGGTGATGCGTCAAGATTACTAGGAAAGCAAGTTTTGAGGATCTAAGTTAGCAGCCCAGCAATGGTTGACAAGCTTATGACAAAAAACTGCTTACTATTGGTAGACTAAGTAGTTTTACTAACTCTAAACCTTACCTAATCGAGTCCTAAACCTAAAAAAATCGAGACCGTAAAGACTTTCAGCTATTTGGAAGTTTACAGGAACTACAGGGTGTCCTATGTAAATTAATCGTTCGTTTATGTACTGTTTTGATAAAAACTATCTTTCTAGGTAATATGTGGCATTGTAATGCTTGGCACATTAACTGTCCAAGGTTTCACTACAATATTTACGGCATCCTGACAAACTTTCTCGATAACGGAGTTGCTCCTTGTAGAGCAGAATGTCTGCTTGAATATACACAATGTCTAGAATATGGGCACAAACTAAGAAGGTTTAGGTTTACCAAGGATGACAATGTCATGGACAAGCTAGTGGTTCGTCGTTAATGGGTTCGCTATTTCTGACACTCATAGCGGATCTTTCCTCGTTGTTAATAAGCCAAAGTATTCAAAGAAGGCCATGAACAATTCGAAACATTGAACGATCCACCGCCATTTTAACAGTCTAATACGCAAACTCAAAACGCATTATCAGCGTCAAAAATGCAACTTTTTATCCGTTCAATCTGTTTCGAAACAGTTCCATAGGAAGCTTTCAATGTTCTGGCATCGAGTTAGTTGCTTCGACCTCTCCACCAGCGTCGCAATGGCCTGAATTGCTGATTCAGGATGATTAAGAAAGTTTATAATTTTGCTGCAGTTTGTCCGGCACGAAGACATCAAACTACACTCGACGTTCGCTCATTTTCTAAAGTCCAAACCGCCAGTTTAGATTTTTAGGTTTGTTTTAGGAAGACAGCCTATTCACATGAAGGATCAATGCATTACCGATCGCAACACCGCTTCCTTTAACTTTCGATACTCTTACTCTCTAAGAGATCTCCCTCTTCCGTCGCAGACGCCGAAAGACCGCTTTCCCTTCTTACTCGAAGGAAACATTATAGTAGAATAAAGAAAAAAAAATCAGTTTTCACGTTTCTTATTCACGCTTGGCAACAAATTCAAGTCGTTTATCAAGCTAGCAGACGGAACTCTAGTGTGCAAATTCGACGCACGGTCGTTTCTTTGACCAGTCCATATAAATAATGGCATGAAATCATCTTCGAGGACCATCTAACTCGTCTCTGTTATTGGCAACATGATATGATAAACTGGAATAGCTTTTTCCTCTAGGTCATACGTAGCCGTGGATTACAAACGAAAGATACCTAGTGGATCATATACTATAACCGCTTGAAACGATCATAGCTACCAGTGGCCTTAAACAATTGACTTTACTATTTATAGTTTAGATCAGCTTTACGCGATTCGACACGTGTCACTCCCACTCAGATTCAACGCATCATAGGCTGTGAGTCCTATATATTAACAAACGGACAAATGGTGCCACCATTGAGATGCACGTATATACACAATTCTCCGATCCGACCACTCACATTGGTATTCTTCAGGTGTCCTTCTTCTTGTTGACAATGATTCGATCTTTTTCTGGCAGCAATGTCAAAACTTCTTGGGTCTGGATGCCAACCTGTTTTTTACCAAAAGTCTTTAGCGAAGCGATTGCGACTGTTTGATTTCGGTTAAATTTTTTGGGAAATCAAGAAGTCGGAATAGCATCAATAGCAGTAGCACAGGTTTTCTATTAGCGTACAGGGCCGCCATTGACAACATGGAGGCTGTGGCACCGCAGCGCCCTCGTTTGGTTACACTGTTCATCTCACGTACACCGACGAAGTAATGTGTGCAGGCCTATGTAGTCGTGGTAGCAAGGAGCATAACCGGCTATTTGTGTAGAGCCTGGCCTCTGCCAACGTACGCGAACGCATCAGTCGGCTATAAGGGCGAAAGGACGGCTGATGGCTAGCACGTAAAAACTAGCAGAGCGGTGCGACAAGAGGGGCCAATTTTGACTGACCTTGGAGAGGGCCAGTTGTAAGGAACCGGGGTAGGTGACAGAAGAAAAAAGGGTTTAGGGTAACTCGATGGATGTTCAATTAATAGCCAAGTTACGCCGAGTTGCCAAACCGACTCGATATGGCACTTAGCAATGATCATTAAACGAGGACATACACGTACCTACACCTATGGGTAGCCTGGGTGCATAATAATGATGCATACAGTAAGGCGAACTTGAAGGCCATTTCTGACCAGTATTATTATACATCACAGCAACCCTATTGACAGATAATGACAAACAAAATTCAGTAACAATAATACTTCATCCAATGAGTTGACCTTTTACAATTTCGTGTCCATTTAGCCAACGTTTCTAGTCATCGCTAGTCAATATAGTCAACTTGAAAAAACCATTGTTAGGGTATGTGGTGGATGTTTTTATATTAAACCTTACGATAACGAACTCTGATTGAAATTCAAATGTTTCTATAGGACTCCTAGCAAAATATATAATAATAAAAAAAAAAAAGCCTTATAGCTAACCTTTACCAAAAACAAAAAAATTAAAAATATGAAAAATACTAACAATCCTTTAGGTTTCTGACTACAACCTGCTTTTAATAACAAACCTCTTTATGAGGTCATAATGTTATAGATATTAGATAACCTTGATTATTCCTTGGAAAACCATTTTTTCACGTAGTACTACTACATATGATACCCTTATAAATCAAACACACATGTCCATTAGAAAACCTGCCTTAAGGCATTACCAAGCTAAAGAATTAACAAAAGTCTAATTTGAAAGCCTCGAATATCTTTTTTTAATACGTTGAAAGGAGAAAATAGGATCGTCGGCTTAAGCAAAAATAATACTCCCGACACGATCTCATTCGGATAAACACTAAAAACTAAAGTAGTTACGAAGGTTTTGTTCATTTAAGAAATTCCTGTTCAAGAACAAAGTGGTCCTGATTTGCAATATGGCCAAATGAGGCTGTTTACCATATAATAAATCTGTTTAACCATAGCAGAAGTTTATGCGATCGCAAAAATCTATAATTTCTCCATGAAATTAGGTCCGGGGCCCAATTTAATTTTTGTTTTACCGCAAAACTGCATAAACATATCTAAATCCCTTTACCTTATATATTGCCCACTTCACGAGTACGGTTGCTACCAGCATACTCTTTTGGTACCACACAATCCATAGTTCCATTTCTAGAAAACGAATAAAATTCAATATAGATAACTCGGTGCCAGGTGGCTTAATGGTATATTGCGTGCATTATTTTTGAGAAGCTACTAGATATTGTTTCCCCAGGATTGCAGGATTAGGATTAATAGGTTTTAGTAGAACAGAGTCAGCTAGTTACACTGATAGCTAACACTGAGCTATTGGAAGAAATTCTTCGTCTAAGTGTGACGTATGTCTATTTAGAGCGTTATTCAACGAGGCTTTTACCCAAATTAAAGCTTTAATATAAACCGAGAGACTATCTGGAGCGTTGAACCGCTTATTATTGGACGAGCGTTGTTATTGTTTCGCTTGTTAACAATGGCTTTACAACAATGGTCTAAGAATTTCTCCTAAGACGAGCCAATATGTCACGTTTTGTTTCCGTGACTCTTTACTATAATAATTATATAAAGACATATTCTATTCTTCAATAGAGATACACGAAAGGTATCGCCGATTAACGGTACATACAGCTGTATGCAAGGTTTATAATTTTCCCAGCGGCTACAATTCCGATCACATCGACGTTGTACTTTAGAGAAGGCAGTAAGTACAATTAAGTTTTTCGTAAAAGATTATTTTGGATAAATTCCTATTCCCAATACTATAGTTGACATCAAGATTTCAGTGCTTAAAATACAATACGGCGCATTTTGCCACAGATAGTTTGAGACTAAGATTAAACGACCATTCTTTATAGCGTTCTAAAGATTCTTCGAAAGCAGCCGTTGATTAATCATTGATTGACTTCTGTGTATACTGCAACGTAGACTTCAGTTAGGCATAAGACCATTCAATAAATCAGTATACAATCAATATGAAAAAAGGGGCTAAGAATCACTCTCCGTGAGCAATCTAAGGTGGACTGTGAATTCGAGGAGAAACTGTCGTCTACCTGAACGACAATCCCTTCTTTTAAGTATGATGTAATCCAATCCAAAACATCATATTTATGGAAAATGTTTAGAAATTTGTCATAAGACCTAAAGAGAAAATATATTGAGAGCTTACCCATTTTGGGTCTGTGTGTTGTATCGGAGCATTGCAAAAGTTTCATGACCTATTCGGGGTTCTCTTTTTAGATTAGGTCTTGGCCGCTCGCAGATAGCGCGGAATATTATACTTTTTGAATATTTTGCATGCGACCAAGGTTAGGAAAACGGGTCGTTTCCATGACTGGCGGTCACTTGTGGACTGGGCTGACTATGACGGTCCGACACACGTTAGGAGCTGCCTCATTTCCAGACGAACGTTGAAATACAAATCACAGAAATGATGTCTTTTTAACAAGTAAACTACCAGCAATTCTAAATTCCGTTACAGATATCAATGTCATGTAATCCAGGCCACTTAATTAATCATGCAGACCTGTTCGGTTGTTTATAGTGAACATGCCCAAATCCTCGAAAAACCTCCATAAAATAGCTAACTCTGAGCCCCCGTGAGGCCTGATGATCGTATCTTAAGAATTAGGTTGAGGCGTATCTAAGCTCTATCTCTAGTGTAAATACGTGAGGGGGTCCATTGCACAAGACGTCTGACCTTGCCCACACACACTTCTACAATAGAGAAAATAAAAAATATAGAACACAATTTCAAAGTATTTTAACGTTCTATATTCTAATTTTTTTTTTAATATAAAAACAAAACATTATCTGGCATCATCACAAAAAACGAGAAAGAAAACAAAATGTTAACATTCCGTATCATTACAATCCTAGACGGGTAAACACTATGCCAATGGGCGCAGTTATCATCGTCCTTTCCAACTGCTGTAATAATTAACGACATTCTGTATCGAGTCCACTCAGATAGTAACAAGAATTAAACAATAAATACATATTGTTTTGTAATATATCTACTAAACAAACAGAGTGCATTTGGATCGAATTGAATATCACAGTAAGTCAAGATGATAGGACATCTACTATCAGATCCCGACTATGGTCGTTGTCTACTGCGTCCTTTCCTGAGAGAAAATATTCCTCATATCGTAATACTGTTCGAGCATGCAAAGCATGACAATATCGCCGATACCTGTAATTCATTGACAGCCATTATGGCCTGCTTGTTTTGTGGTATGGGGGCACAGTTACGAAGAGAACCATACCTTATGATTCAGTGCGATAGGGTCACAACGACCATACATTTTCGTAGCGACTATTTATATCCCGACCCGTAAAGGCTGCAGGAACAAGCCCCTGCGTACGGCTGGCGCTCGTGTGACACACAGAAACTCGACAGCTGCAACAGGAGGACAACGATGCTTGCCTTTCTTTTATGTATATTATATGGGGTGGTACGGCATTTTCCACAACGGTAACAGTCGTTGTTCTGACTAAGATACTTTCTAGAACGGCAATAACAACAGAAGTAGCAACAAAAATATTTTTTGCTGGGAAGAGCAAGGGGTCAGGAATGCCTGAGCACTCATTGTGTAATTTATACGATTAACCCACTGTTATTTGTTGTACCACCATCGTCATTTATACTTTTACACAGGCGGCGTTGTCGTCGCGATCATTTTGTAGTCGTCAGTGATTTTATAGTCGCGTATGAGCTCCTAGGCAACTGTTGTCCGGGTGATTGTAGATGGAGGCCACACCGATCGTTCTATAGCAGGTTTTCATTGGTAACTTACATTTGATTAGAGGCAAGGAAGCTTTATTATGGATATCACCTCACGGAAGGGAGAAGCTTATCTCGCTATATGCATATAACATACACAATGAGTGAGATACACCCTCATGTTATTTATCATTGGTGTGTTATATATAGGCAGGCAGGTGTAATAAGTTAGAAATTATAATTCGTAAACCTGTGTTTAGAGTGACCACGTGTCGAGACAACAGCATCCCTTGCAGTTTTGACTAAGTTTAGGCTCCCCCCCTCAAGGAGCTAAAGATTCTTGAAGGGGAACTTCATTTCTATATTTGTGTTCATTTATCTTAAATGCAGAAGACGGCGTAATCCACTCCTACAATCCTAGCCATGCCTGATCCTAGACTTTTAAACTTTGCCAAATATGAAGATACAGATGTGCCTAGACATCGAGATAAGTAGATGTATCAAACATAGTATGAACGTACCTCTTATTTTTAAATATATTTGACTAAAGATCTCGTTAACTAAACAAGCTTTTTTTTTTCAAATTTGATTGTACCTGAATTCATTGCTGTATAGTATCAACAACGATGAATACAAACAAACAAACAGAGAAGCACCGCTCCCTTAGATCGATCGATGGATGATAACTGAACTCGCGGACCTCAGACGAAACATGCGGACTGTTAAACAGATCGCATGCGGCCAATAACCCTAGTGATACATTTTGTAGCTGAGAGGAAACTGAGTAAGTTAGCTGTTCCAAGTCGCTTTTTCGTTCGTCTCTGAAAAAGTCTTAAATATTGTATAGGGCCATCTAGATTGCTTTTTGGTTGTAAAAACTAAATTGAAGGCGCGGAATGGGCTTTCCAGTTCAAGTAAGGAACGGTCACAGAAGTGATGTTTCGAAGATCATACCTCAAAGTGTGTACAGTATCTGGATGTATTCGTCCCTTTTGCCTCTCCTTTTTTTTATATATATATATATATATATATATATCGTTGTCTATAGAGGTAAAAAATCAATTTAGAGAAGCAAACAAAGATACATATAGCGTCGATACATCAAATGGTATCGTTGTCACTTGACGTTACCTCTAAACCTCAAAAGTGACGGTATCCGATATGGCTTTAATTGTATTTGGTTCCTTTGAATGAGTTTGCGGACTAATAAGCTATACATTCGGGATTACGCGAATTGTCCTAGCACGCGCAATTCCCAGTGTTTTCTTAATGTTATAGTACAGCCTTTTGAAAAAGTATGCTTTTTGTCTAAGTGTATGAATAGCTTATCGTATCTAACCCTAGTTTAAATTATTATTTTTTAAAAAATTAAAAATTATTAAAATGTTTAAAAATACTTCACCATCTTCTAAAAATACTATATTTAAAAAATATTTTAACTGTCTAATCGCAGCTGCTGGCACAGATTTAGCCAATCAACTTAAATCAAATCTCAATACTGTTCATAATATCAAAATCTACCTTCTAATTTAAATTTTTCTTATAAAGATTTTGTTTTGTGCAAATATTTTGCCGCCAACACAATATTTTTTCGCCAAAATTTCGAATAATTAATTTTCAAGAGTAAATTTTTTTAACTTATTGATATATAATAACGTAAGTTTTATATTTTTATGAAGTTTAACTGTATCCTTCTACGATATTTTAATAGAACAAGCCCTCCTTCCTTTTTTGCCTTCGTTATCCTTATTCCCTAAATTTTTTTATTATTAAAAAATCCCTAAAATATTTGATTCCTAAACATTCAGCTAATTATGTATGCGTTATGAAAGCCTTAGCTCTTCCCGATAACCATAGAGAAATTAAACAGGTTGCTGTCAGGAGTCATTTTTTTCAAACAAATACAGGTAACTTGAATTACCGTAAAAAACGGGTATCTTCTGTGCCGTTAGTAAGTGGTCACTAACGGTAACGCAATCAAATTTTGCGAGACGACCCATCTATATGGGAAGTTTTCATGCGACAAAAACAAAGGGAAAAGTTATATTTTATGAGTAAAGTATGATTTTTTGAAACGGTGTGGTTCTACAAATCTTCTTAAACAAATCAGCTATCGTTAAGCCAGTTCAACATCGCTAGTGGCGATGACCTATATCAAGTTGCTAAAACAGATACAAATCTACGTAAGTGGCTGTACACTAACTGTGAGATTAATCTGGTTCTTTTAAGAATATCTCTTCTGTAAATAAAACAGACATGAAATCACAAAATAGATGAATTTATTACAATAATAAACGACCACAATATTAATTTTGAGAGCCGTATCGAAACAGACGATCGGCTTCGATCGAGGCCAAGTGAGCTTGCGTCAGACATTTATCAGGAACTCAAAACCCATTCAACTTAATTTTTCATAAATACTGTAAGCTATATCCAAAGCGATAGCAGCATCGCACAATTGAGATAGCATTTAAATTATTTACTTTGCCTTCTAGTATGGAATATCTCCAAATTATCCTTATTTACTAATCCGTATTTTGGAAAAGATACGGTAGCTAAATCTCGAGTTAAACGAGTTTGGCTCTCATTTGCACGACATGTCCACGTATAGCTTATATATATATATATAAGGGTTATACACATTTTATTCTAAATATATTTCGGCATACTGCAAGCCTAAGTATGTTTTTACTTACTGTAATAACTATAACAAGATGATCAAAACAAACTTTAAATCGATTAACTATGAGTGGAAAGTCTTGCTCTGTTTAAGATACCAGTCTTTATGAAGGTTAGCGAAACATGTGTTTAGATCTAAGTTAGGTAGATCATAGGTAAATTAGAAAACATGAGGATACATTGTCGGCATATTATATATAGCAAGTTGGAAAGTCAGGCAACTTCCAAGTGTACCACCTTGATTACTATAATCAGAAGCTGAAATATAAAAACAGCTCTTACGATACTTTTCGGTTAATAACTGTTATGTCTGCTGTAGCAGCTGCCATCATCGAGACGTCATTAACAAGATACACGTACTAGGCATTGTTTTTTTGATTGTTTTTCTACGCTCTGCTAAAACTGTAGGATGGACAATCCGCCCTTCATCTGGCTGCGTACCATGTTCGAGAGGACATGGTTCGACTGCTTCTGAACCGAAAGGCCGACCCAACGATTACCGAAAATGTGAGCCTCATACCTCGTCACCAAAGTTACATTAGTGACACTCGTCAATCGTATGCATTCAGCCTTAAGCGCTTCGATCAGCAGACAATGATGTTATTTCTTACGTGTTTACCTGTAGCTGGATTCACGTTGTACATGTTAGGGATAGTGATGCTAAAGTGTAACTTACTGCTATTTTCACTTGTCGATGGCAGACGAAGGGCCATTTGCCCTTGCACGTGTTAAGTTCTCGGGCAACTGGTGCCGCTATTGTTCCGCTTCAATTACTCCTCCGGGCGGGCGAAAAGAACGTCCGCCTACTTCCCGACAAGGTGAGACATTTTTCATTTCCAATCATAGGTGAATTCGTTTCGAAATTATAACCTACTGCTTATAATACGTGGCACCAAATTCTGGCATCATGGCAGAAACGGTTGAAGACCTCATGAGATTCCGTTTTACTAGGAGCGTAAATTTAAAGTGTTCACGCTGAGCCCTGCAAGTAGTCATACAATCTTTTAACATAATGCATATAAATAATACAATTAATAATTGTGTTTTTAATACAGAAGCTATTGAATAAAATCATTTATAGGCATCTTTGTCTGTTGACACATGTGTGGTACTCTGGCTTTCGAAATTATTTAGAAAACAAATATACCAGTAACACAGAGAGTATTCGCAAAATAGATAAACGCGCATTAATATTACTTCACTTAAAGAACAATCGATTTAAAAAGTTGCTAAGCAATAGAGACTTTGTGTACCTAAATTGGCTTGTACCTCAATGCGTAACCTTTCTCATTGTATTATCAACGAAAGTTAGCCATTCAAATCCACAGGGTGAAATAAAATACAGTTTTAACACCGTTTCCGAAGTTAGGCTGTTTCTCCGTTATCATTTTAGGAGGTAAATGGCCGAAAAAAAGATTCTGCAGCCTTAGTTGTGTAGTACTGCTTGCTAAAGGCCCATTGTTTTTTTATATATCTTATATAATAAAGTTCTACAATGTAAACGTTCGTTAATAGCCTCTAGGAACGGCGTGTTGTAGGTAGGAAAAGTGTCTCACCAGCAACACATAACCTGCGCAGGCTAACCCTGATCCACCAGGCCAACCCACTTTCTTTGCTGAATGTTCGTTTTAGACGTGTAGGCCGCGAACGTAAGGCTTACTTAATAAGAACTTGGATTTCAGACCACACTTCAGCAAGCTGAGTAGAGTTTGGGCTGCGCGTGTTGCAGTAAACTGATTTAACGCTATCTTTTGACCGACAGGCTCTACTGATATAACCTGTAGAGAACGTTCAGGATTGTAAATATTTTGAGAACATCTCAGATTTATCATTTTATATCTCTATCGTCTATAAATTAGTCACCTATAAGGCTTATCTATGACAGAGTAATAAGCGATGGTGTAAATAATAGATGCGTCACAATATACTGTGTGTAAAAGCTGCCCGCGGTAGCATGAGTCTCCTTTATGGATAGTGATGATAGAGTGTATTTTTCGTGGCCTACTTCTGACTACAAGAGCCTCTGTGTTATAATACGCTCGCGTCATACAAGCAATCCCTTGTACCTAGAGTTCTAGAAATTTAAGGGAATTAGAATCACGGGTTATCAAGACTCCTAGCGAAGATTGGTTACCGGAGACTGGCAACCGATCTTCGCTATGAGTGATTCTGGCAATGAGTAATAATATTCTACATGTGCATGGTTAGTCCCGAGGTTATTCCACTTAGTCGAGATTTCGTCGATCTGTCTTTTTGACGAATTTTATAGCTCATTTTAAGTCATTGTTTATATTTCGGATTAGTAACATATATATATTAAGCACTTCGATCGGTGCTTTACCTCGTTTCCTTTCAGGGTGGCGACTGTACGTGCTATAGTTTAGACACCGATTAAGTCCACTAGAATAAAAGGATAATAGTCACTTAAAAAAGCTAATTGTATCTGAAAAGTAACTTGTTTGGTACTTACCTACCTTCGCTTTTCAGGAGGGCAATATCCCTCTGTTTTTGGCAGTAGAAGTAGGAAACCACGGTGTATGCCGAGATCTACTTGGAGTGTCGACAAAGGAACAGGTATATACGCTTTATCCTACATATCCAGGTATATATATCATACAAGTACAAATCAACCGCATCTGCACTTTTTGTTTCTGGTATTGATTTTTGTATATAACTTTTAGCACAAGTTCGTGCATATATGGAAAAACAGTATGTTCACTTTATCTATTTATATAGTTTATCTAGAGAGGGAGATCCCAAGACGTCTTGTTATTCTTTCCGTCTTCATAGGTTCCGGAAGCCTAATGAATTTTCAGAACAACGCTAGTTGCAGTGTTAACATCTTTTTGTTCTTCTGGCGATAGGTGACGTACGTCCATCCGACAACGGGCAACACAGCGTTGCATCTCGCTACGAAACGCAAGGACCTCGATATTATGCGATTCCTCGTTGAATGCAATTCTCCAATCAATCATCAAAACGTAAGTTAATCACTGCCAAAGTTATGAGCATATTTAATTACCTTCCGTGTACGCTGTATAGTAATATATATAGAACTAAGTGCTCTATATCATTGTGTTTTCTCTTGCTTGGGGGCTTGTTTCCCTTGCTATCAACATCCTTGATAGAAAAAATGAAAAACCATTGGAGAATACATTTGAGTCCTCATTACCACACCGCGAAAATTAGTTACACAGGCATATTCTTTGCCGATGTTTTTGTATACATATAGGTCTAATGAAACTTGGAAGAAAAAAGCCCGCCGACCTACCCTATCCGATTTTGGCTATCATCTCCTTAAGACTAAATAAATTTTCAAGTGGTCCAGTGTAGCGAGATCAGCGTAATGGATGTAGGCATATTAATTTTCAAATTTTCTCCAATATTAAACAAATGTTAATTATTTCGAAAATAGCGATTTATAGTAGTAAATTTGTTTGCATTACGGAAATTATGTACGTTTTTAAACGCTGCCCACTGGTAGTGAAATGTTTCTGATCGGTCAAGGATAATTAACACTCAATCCTAACCGATTTGCGACTGCTAACGCCAGATTGAAAAACCTAAAGCGTTATGCTAAGTTCGTAATCTGCCAAGGCGAAACTTGAAAGTTTGGCGTTGCAGCTCTCGAATATTTCCTACGGCCTAACCATTATATTAAGGAACAGTGTCCAATTAAAAATGTCCTATGCATCCCAATTACTGTATCCTTTTACGTTCAAACTCGGCGCATTTACTTGTGCAGATTAGCATTGATCGACGCTCTCGATCGACTGTTGCTTTGTAACACTTGACAATTTGCAGAAAAATTTACGTCCAGATCTTATCCGCTATTGCTTTCAATATGCCTTAAAGAGGTTAAAGCAAAGCGATTAAAAGTGTATTTATTGACTCACCGCTGGTAATTCGTCACCATCAGCATTTGTCATAAGCCTATAATATAGCGTTCTTGGTTACCATATAGGTCGCTACAAGTCTAACAAATGAGTTTTACGCGAAGAACCTAGCTAGTAGTGCGCCGGAAGGTGAAGGTGTATTTTAATTTCATTTAACTAAGGCTGTCTTCATGTGCGAATGTTTCAGTACGAAGGACAGACGCCTCTGCATCTGGCAGCGACGGCAGGAGATGAGCACGCTGTCAAATTATTCTACAACTATAATGCCGACCCTAACCTAATTGACAGGTGCATAGAAACAAATGTGCATTTTTTTTTTCTAGAGTTGTAGCTAAAATCGTAACTATGACATGAATTAATTATGTTAAATGTGTTAATATTAGATATGTTATTAATAAAGGCTTCGTACACTAACAAAAAATGTTTGTGCTCAGCGAGGATCGAACCCCACTGCACATCGCCACACAACAGGGCAATGTCGCTGTTGTGGAACTTCTTATCGACAAATACAAGGCGTCGCTACACCATCGCACAAAGGTGAAGCACAATAGATGCAATTACACGCTTGTATACTGTTCCAATGTTATTTTATAAATATGTTCATTATGTGCTCGATTATACTCGAATGCAGAAATCAAAATGAAGGTAAAGCTTACCATTATAACTATTTGGCCGCAGTCCATTTTAACCCTATACAGTAAAAGATACACTACACCTTAGACTACGATTCACCAGCAACTAACCCATGTGGCTACCTATAACGTTCACTAAAAAGAAGCAATTCCGCAAGCGGAAACGATGAAGAACTATATGTGGCTCAATGTAATTTTTAGTGAAAAAAACAATGTCGAACAAAGTCGAGTGTAGAGGGACCCGGATGGAGAATCTCCACAAGGTAGATAGGGACAAGATAGCTGCTCTGTAGTAGCATAAACTTCTGCTCTGTTCGATGACATCATTTCTAAAGCAAACATGCCGTTCTCCCTGGCCAATGCCGCCAGCGAGACGCAACGACTTGTCGAGGGAAACGCACAAACGACAAGACAACAAGTTTCTGTCACTCTGCTCGCAGTGTATGTAGAAGGCGAAAAGTATGGACTACAGACTATCATTACCAACTTCGTGACCCATAAACCTTGCAAGCGACGCTGCTCCATTTCTCCTTCTTGTGGATACGGGGGTCTTGGGTTAATACACGAAGGGGGCGAAAAGCGATAAAAAATAAGTAAGGCGTGTGGCTACAATAAAAGGGAAACCAGCCACAAAACGATAAAAGAATCAAATGAAACAGCCAAGAAGCAGACGACTTATACCTGCTAGCCTAATGTAGACCGGCCGGATAGGGTAGGCCTAACGTAGAACGGGCTGGGCTAAATGGTTACAGGGGTCGTTGAGCTTGTGCAAGTGAAGCCTAGATGGGAGGCAGCGTGATCGCAAACCGAGATAGATGTTGCCTCTATCTACAAAACGTAGCGCATTTTCTTTTTTTTTTTTTATCGTTTTCCACCATCCTGCCTCGCCTGTTTGAAGGGAAACGGACGGGATCAGCTACAAGAAAATAGAACAGCCGCCTGTGGATCAGAATAGGAAGAAATGGGTTAATATCTATTACCCCTAGGGCACCGTAGTCCGCCAAACTTATTTTCATACTTCACCGTCTGCTCACGTCGGTTCTTTGTTATGTCCTTTTACATTCTTAAACGACTCACCTTCGTTTAGCCTTCTCGTATAGCTTTCGCTAGACGTTCCTCGCCTTTTCGGCCGTGTTCCAACAGCGGCGAATCAGCAGGCTTTTGCTTTTCATGCTGTAACAGCTAGGCAAGAAAGCCGTATAGAAGACAACTTGCCCGGCCCATATGGGCAAATGCTGTTTAAGCGAGACCCAGCGACCGCAGATTATAATAACTGACGGATGAAATATCAGCTAAATCTTTATCATTTTTTGTCGGTTTTAACCATCTACAAGAATGACTTATTCGAACATCATTGGCTTCTGGAAAATGCTTTGGGACGAAAACCTCTAGTTCTATTTTCAGCGTTTGCTCAGAGGCAATGTACGTTGTCCCTTTGGCAATTACACATCAAGATCTTCTGCCAGCTGACCGCGGAGAGTTGGAGGCTGAAACTACAACTCTCAGGGCACAGAGGCTGAAGGAGGTCGTTGTTGAAACTTACAGTTGTAACTGGGCATTTCCTGGTATCCTTACTAAGCTGTCCATGAAAGAACCCAAGAATAAGACCCTGCGGTTTCGGAGGTAGCTTCCATCGTTATACGATTTTAACATAAATTTGATGGTAATTGTGCATGTGCACGTTTACTTCATAATTTTAATACAGTTAATGCTAAATTTATTCTTAAAAGATGTACAATAATCCGATCAGAGTAGGCACACATAAATACGTTTTAAGTAACTGATTTTTACTTAAACACACAAAAAGCTATCTATGGGGAACTAATCAATAACTCATAAATGGTCTTCACTCAATTACTGATACCTATAGGTTTCAACCCTTTTTTTGCTATGTAGATTTGGTGTACTGCTATTTTTCTCCTAGCGGACCTTGTCGAAACCACTTGAATATTTGCACGAGCCATTCTGCACGTATGCCAGTTTGACGCTAAGTAGATTCAGCGTGTTGGAAGATCTAAAAGTTAATGAAAGCCAGTGGGTGTTAAACAAGAAAAAAAGAGTCGAACGCAAATGGTAATATCTTGTCAAGTTCCTACGGCCTAAGTAGAGTTCACAGAAGGTGAATTAATGCCTCCGCAGGTTTGTATGAGCCAACAGAGTTTAGGTTCTAACTTATCGAGACGACTGTTCTTGCACGCATTCGAATGCTTAAATTTGGATTAGTCAGTAAATTTATAGATGTTATTAAGATAGATCGCGCGTTCGTTACTAAGTTAGACAGTTGATTTTTGAACTTATGAATATTGGGAGAAGGTTATCTAACAGGCGAACTCTCAATGATATTAGGACGGTTCAACGTTAATGCACATAGCAGCCGAAGCGGGCCGACCCGAGGCCGCACTCGTATTTATGAAGAAAGGAGTGCCACTTCACATGTCTAACAAGGTAAAAGTTATACATCTCCAAGTTCGCAACGAGCTTTGTGTAACAGTATAATAACACCACACATGAATAAAATGTATTGTACTTTAGTCTTGGGCTTTGCATATACAATGGTCCCCAACCAACCTTCCTTCATTCATTCGGACCTGCGACTTAGTATGCAACAGAAGGCTAATACCGAAAAGAAATGAAAAAAATAGAGGAGGTTGCTATCTAAACGCCAGTAAAATAGATGTCGTAATAAAGCATAGCAACCGTACGTAGTACCACGTGCCGGCACAGTTTGCCGTACCTGGACAAGTCTTGCTCTTGATATGGGAATTAATTTTTAATTTTTTCGGATGGATCTACTATTTTTTTATTTTACTTAGTGTCTGGCTCAGTTAAGATGATCATTCATCCGAATCATTATCTGAGTAGCATTACGGTGTAAGTAGTACTTGGGGTTGAAGTAAACGCTTACAATAGGGGCAGATTGATTTAATAGAGACTAACTGATCATCCGTTAGATCTGTTTTGGTAATAAGAATATATAAAAGTTATATACAACCCTGCGCATTCGCCAGATAAGCGCCTCAAGCTCTATTCATTGGCTCTTTAGATCACTTTAGTTTATATACCCTGTTATTGCTGTTCCTATCTGCAAAAAATAGCTACAGCGCATACAGGCTACAATAGCTAAATCTGGACACTTTCTTATGACTTACTTTTTAAGACTACATATATTGAAGACTATATATATTGACGAAGCTTTCGATATGTTGAAAGCATTTTTATCCAATGCAACCATCATCCGCCTCGATCATGGCTTGAATTCACGACCTAAACCGTTAATTAGTCACTTCTAAACTGTACCTTTCAAATCTGCCAATAACTTTTTATTTGTATCCAACACGCATCATGAGCTGGCCTGCCCGTTTCGATATCATCGTTAGACTCACGTTCTGTCGTCTATTAATGACGATAAAGCAGCGGTAGCCAATTTGAAAACACCCCTATACGCACCACACTATCGATACGTTGTACATATTAGTACAGATAGAAGATGGGGCATCTAAATCCAAACTTTTTCTATTAAGTTTTTTTAAGACTGCATTTGAAAGCATTCCCTAAGGCTCATGTTTATTCAATATATTCCCATTCATTGTAAATACAACGAAAACCGCGAACGTCTTTTATCATTTCGCAAATGACTTTTGCAACAACTATGCGTAAGGTAATATTGGTAAGCTTAAACGTGGTAAAGTGTTGCTCAAACACGCTACGTACAAAACATTATAACGAAATAACCTGTAACATTATGACGGAATTATAGAGAAAAATATAACGCCTTAAGACGGCCACAAAGTTTAAGAAAGCGGGAAGGCGCAAAAGGTCCTCAAAACGTTTTTCACTCAAACTTACCTGAGCGACCCAATTGGCAGTTGGTGCATCACAAAACGCCTTTTAAGTCAATATGGCGAATTTTCAGGCCTATTAAATCTAAAACCCATTTAGAGTGTTCCCGTTTGATTGATACGAGTCTCCCTCGAGCGTGTAAACAGCCGCTTCGTTCAAGCTTCGAAAACGACGCACCGTTTTTCGCTATAGTAATTTTAGCGTTTTTCTTAGACCTTCTTTGGCGCGCTTTTTATTTATACTCATATTTGTGCCCGCTTTGACAGAGAGCCTACTAAAGTTTATCTGAAGTTAAACTTTCTACATCGTATCTACCGATGTGAATCACTTCGGTCAAGATGATTTTCGGAACTAAATAATCTCCGCGTAAGTCTTTAACGCTGAATTATCTAAAATGTATTGATGTTCCCACGTCATGTACGTGATTTACAGGCTGGTGCTAAAACGATCCACGTGGCAGCCCAAAAGGGCTTCGTAGAAGTAGTGAGGACACTCCTTCAAAGGGGGGAGCACGTAGATGTCAAAACAAACGTAAGTATTCTAATCTGTCTTAAAATTATGGAAATCGTTAGCGTTGCAATATAACCGTTATGGTCGATAGCTGATAATTGGTTGTGGTATCGCTTTCAAGATATTTGCGCTTGTGCCTATCTTTTTTCTCGGTCAGGTATGCCTGGGGATGATTAGTCACTAGGTTTTCCAATTTTTAAATAACGTCAACAAGTAGGAATAACTTCAAAACATCAATTGAAATTTATACAGTTTGTTTTATTGGTAACTGTCAGTACTTTTATTGATAAGGACGATATTTTTGTGCATTTTTTAGCCAGCATTCACGTTTAAAAACACCGTCGTATAACGATTATTTCTGAAGTCGTGCTGCTTTTGAAAGTATAGAGCACTTTTTTAAGTTTGCAGTGATTTTGGGAAATATCTATACCTGGAATATTTACTATTAGTAGTTGAACTCCATTGACCCCATCTATTACTGACAACGCAATGATGACATTTTCATTCGAACATAAAGTGAGCTTGAATTGAATTGAAATAAAAAACAAAAATGAACCTTCAATATTAAAAAGTTACCATGTAATTTTGAAAGTGTGCGTCGCACTAGATCGAGTCCCATGTCCATTGGTAAATTAGATTGATGGAATAGAAGAATGGTTCAGCAGCGATCATGGGATGGCCACAACAAACGTGTCGTGGCTTTTCCGGCAAGTATCGTCTATTGTCCCAGGTCTTCTTTCCTAAATTTACAGTGCCCGAAATGCAGTGCTGACAATTGGGAAATACAAAAAGAAAAAAAACATAATAACCACTCTGTACATACTATGTACATTTCCTATGCCCAGTTACTACATGTTACCGAATGAAAAAGTTGACTGCAGTTGAAAGTTGGCTGCAGCAAACCAGACCAGACTGTAGATCTAGTCAGTAACTAAGTACGTACATATTTATTTACAATACGTATATGTCCTTTTTGTATAACTGTTTCAACCGCAGGATGGGCATACTGCTCTTCACATAGCAGTTACCCACGGACAAGCGCTAGTAGTTGAAACATTGCTAGGCTTTGGTGCCGCTGTTCAACTTAAAGCAGGAACGGTACGTTCAGTTACTTGAGTAACGATGGAACAAGCATAACCAGACACAAACTTCTTACTTATAATAACAGCGTCTTTGAATAGAACAGAGTGTCTGGCATACGTTACATCAGTTCATGAAGTTATATCAGTTAACTAAATATCCGTGAGCTTCTTATATCACCGCTAAGATGACCGATTCGATTGCGTCCAGTAGAATGAAGAAACCCCGTTGCATATTGCGGCGAGAACGAAAGGTGGTGATCAAAGCGCGGAGCTACTTATCAAAAGTGGAGCAGCTGTCAACGCAAAGGACACGGTAAAGAGTTGCCACTTAATTTGCCTCTGGTTATTTGGACCGTTTTTAGGCCGAAATGAAAACGAACAGCATTTTTTATTCTACAATAATATTACTAGGCTATATATGCGCCATTTGATTGATGACTCGTTATCTCCCATGGTTCAAACTATTATCGCGCAATTTTATTGAAACGAAACTAAAAGAACGGGCCAGATTATGGTCTAATAGGACAAGATCCAAGCTGTGCGGCGGATGTCCTAAAATTTTTCCTAAGAATTCTGTCGATTTTCGCCGAGCAGCTAACTAACTAAGAACGTTTGCGGTGCGGCAGTGTCATGGCACACCCTTTTCGTTTATAAATGTGCCGTAGAGATGTGAAGCAGCCGTCTTACCAGGTAGCAGCGACTCGTAATACGTAGTCCCTTTCTGATCCCGCCAAACACAGCGTCAACCGCTTCGGCGTCAGTCTCAGTTTTTTTTGTTCTTCGATGCGCATTATTGTCAAATGCGTTAAAAATTTCTCGACTTCGCTGCGTCTCGCAGATAAAAACGGGGTCAAAAAAAAGACATCGGGCACTTTTGTGACCAGCCGTCTTGAAGTAGTTGGTTTCAAACCGTCGAGTAGTGAATATTTCGTTTCTTAACGATGTCGCGGCCACTAGCCTGTAGGTATTGCTCAATTTTCGCAGTGATTTCATTAATTCTTTTCCACAGAAAAATTTACTAAAAACGATTTTGTGTTGCTTAGCTTCGAAAATGCTATTTTTTAATTTACCAAGTCAGCTTTCTCATAATACCCTTAATGATGAAGTTCCGTTGTACATGCCATGCTGCTCCTATTTGCGGGGCGTTCTGACCTCATAAAACAAATAAGAAGTGTCCAAAGTGCCCCTTTTCCAGTCAACGTACTGTTCCTCGTTGTCTGAACTTAAGATAGTGATCCGAAAAGGGCGCTGCTATCGGTAGCCTTTACAGAACCTGTCCCAATTTTTACAGCATAGGACCACTAGAAGTAGAGTTAATAAACATTGATACATGAACATTTTATAACGTTATTAGTATATTTGTCAAGTCGTTATATGGATAAGAATATGTTTTAGCCGTTATTAGCGTGATTCCTTATCGCTCTGTAAGTAATTAATTCCCAGATGTTCCTTGAATTCCAGAATGGCGAAATTCCTTTACATTTTGCCGCCCGTGAAGGACATTTGAGAACAGTTAGACTGCTCCTCGCCGACAAAGCTATTCCTGACTTGCTCAATATAGTACGTAAGATGACGTGCAACAAAATCGCATGGCACGAGCTTGACGTTCCTACTTTATCCTGCTTATGACCGACCATAAAAGACAGACATCTATAAGACAAACTGCATGTAATACGATAGTTAATAGATATTTGCTATGAACGCATCGTGTATTCTTTTCTTTTTCATTAAAAGTGGTGATACTGGGATAGGATAGAAGCGTCCGATTTGCGTTATTGTAAATCTGTTAAAGACTACCGTCAACCACTGCGAAAACATAGTAGTGAACTTAGTTAGGGTAGAATACCAGCGCCAAGTAGAACTTCGAGACCGAAGTTCGTTGCTCTTTGGTACATTCTGCCTTCATTTCCTGGAGCGACCAGTCGCACCAGGAAATGAAGGCAGAATGTACCGTGTATATCCCCGAAAAACTACTAGGTGAAACAATAAGTTGCAACACATTAGCTAGTATGTAACATGTAATACGGTGCTCGGCTTTGTCGTAATGTGGAAATGCGTCGCCTCTCAGTGAGGTTCTGTTACGGGATCGCACTATTCTTCCTTAGTGAATCTTGTATGTGATATTGTGGGGGTCATCATCTGAATCAAGAATTAGCAGCTAAGTGAACAGGACAGAAAGCTAATGGGCAAAGTGGAACCCAGCGAACCCATAGACCAAGGTGACGCTTACTTATAAGCCACTTATAAGAACGGAATTACCTGGCCTGCTCAGGTCACCACTTTTCGTCTCGTAGTCGTTTGTTTTCTTAAAGCTAAAAGCAAACGTTTATAATTAGCAGGTCTAGCTTAGCTTGCGAAGCCATTATTATTAACGTGATAACACAATGGTTAAGATGTGTATTTGCTAAAACACGTCATAATTTAAATTTGAATTCGGACGTAGACACATAAATCGTTTCTTGCTGGGAACCAGCCGTCTGATGGGATGATATGATAACCTTTTTCGATCTGTCCATGAACCAACCGCCCGACCGGATACTTGACGCGTTATGTTAGCGAGGCGAAAGTCCATTGCACGTGGCGGTGACAAATTGTCACTTCGAAGTAGCGCAAGCTCTCCTGGATCACTGGGATCGCGTTATGTGTGGGCCCGATGCCGAAGAAGAGGAAAAGTCTAAACTTGCCAATCAACGAAACAACGTAACCTTCTAACGAACCGTAGCATAGACCATATGTGTATATATACATACATATATATATAGATTTCCATGTATGCGGAATTCTCCAGATGGTCGCTGATCTTTGTCTTGTATCTGGCTTTGATGTTAGCCGGGGCTTTTTACCGGGGGAGTGTTTTTGTACTCTATTGCAGAACGGTGAAAATTCGTTACATTACGCTGCAACAATAACGGAGAGGCAAAAACACTATCCGACAGAAGATCGTGACATGATGCGGCTTCTGTTAGCGCATGGAGGAGATGTTGGCGCTGAAACTAAAACTGTAGGTCTTTATGCTGAACCCCTGTCAATCGGCATACGCTAAGTATCTAAAGGAGCCAAAAAGAAATCTTAATTAGAAGATAGCAGTTCGGGCATATATCATCTGTGTTGAATAAAGGACGAACATCATCCATCAAGTGGCTAAAAGTTGAAGGTTTTTCCCCCACACAAAAGTCACACGACATTACGGTGTTCATTACCTTAGTACATGTGGACGGATCTATTCGTTCCGTTGATATACTACTAACCCATGTTGGCATGCAGGAAATGGAAACACCCATTCACCATTGCGCTCGTACGGGAAACGTGGTGGTACTTCAAGAAATTCTTAGTCGATTAACGCCTGCAGCGATTCAGCTCTGCTGCAACCAGCAGTCTCGGGTGAGTAGTCTTCGCCATGTCGCAACCGCTGATTTGAGCACCAAATTAATAACATTATTGAGATATGTAGCCGGTACCTGCTATGATTTCTAAGGCGAAGTATAGTCGTATATACCTGCTGTAAAAGTTATCTTTGTTGAGGTTAATTTCTTTCTATAAAAAGTTCGTTTGTAAATCACAACGATCGGGTCTCATAACTGCGTTGAAACCGTCCCTCCCCTTTGTATCTGCTAGTTCTGGGCTGCTGCTTATTTCAGAAGCACTTCAACTCAAATACTAGCCATTAGTGTGTTGTTTATAAAGTCCCCCCATGGGAGCAGCTATGTGGACCGAGAAGCAAATGCTATATAATATAATACAAACCGATGCTATTATTGTACCACACTCCCTTCTGCCGCATATTAATGAATCTCCTAGTTCTATCCAGTAGTACCGCACAAACCTTCCTAGCGTATTGTAAATTCTCATGGAGTGTTACATACAATTCGGTCAACGTAAACCTAAATGTGTGTCGCTCAAATCTGTGCACGTAAAAGCCGCGTCATCAGTAATGACTCACCCTGACGCGTCAGCTGACATTCAAACGTTAGTACATCGCATGCATTATCTTCTTTAGCTTATTACATGTAGCTTGTATACGTAAACATCATCGTCATGCGCGAAGAAGAAACAATGGTTCACGTTAATCGGCAAGGGCTGGCTTTCGTCCTTTCCAAGCCAGCTAAATATGAACAGCGATGACGGCAACGGGCAATACTATTACTGATTGTTTTAATATATTTGAATATCAGAGTTGGTTTTCTACTCTACAAATACTGTCGAACTGAAAAAAAGATTATCGAAAACGATCTATGCGACGTCTGCAACAGCTTGCTTCACGACGATTAGGTCGAGGGTTTATGTTTACGCCCTTCTTCTAATCTATTTTAGAATGGTTGGGCACCGCTATTGTATGCGTGCGATGCCGGCCATCCCGAGTTGGCGCGTTTGCTCATCCAAAACGGCGCCAGGGTAGACATGTTTGACGAGAAAGGCCACGCTGCCCTTCATCTGGCGGCAGAGAAAGGCCACGAGGACATCGTCGACATTCTGCTCGAGGCCAAGGCGTTCGTCAACGCCCGCTCACAGAAGGGTGTAACACCGATGCACATGGCATCAGAGAATGGCTACGCCGACATCGTGCGGAAACTGCAGGCCTCTGGCGCGCTTATAGATGCCCTCAGTCTGGTACGTCAGATACGACTGAATAAATGCATCAAAAGGAACTAAATGATAGCATGCTAAACGCATCCTACTGAAAACCTTCGTAATATTATTCCTAGAAAAAACTGACATACTGATAACAATATTCGAAAATGTCCTTATGACTGTGCAAGCTGAATCGTTTAAATATGCTTGTTTTGATGGTAGCAGAGTGTTACGCACGATGACATGTGCAATGGAGAATGGAAAATAGTCTCATTAACAAGCAGTTTCTTTTTCTACGACATGGACCGCAGAGCAAGAAGACTCCGTTGCATTTGGCGGCGAGTAAAGGCCAGTTGGACGTAACTGCACTGCTCGTCGACCTAGGCTCCGACATGTATGCATTGGATAGCCAAGGCCAGACCCCCATGATGCTCGCTATCGAAAACGACCATTCGGAGATCGTGAAGCTCTTCCTGAGAAGGAAGCCAGATCTGGCCACTATGTCAAATGCGAAAGGATTCACGTGTGCTCACATAGCTGCAATGAAGGGCTCTACGTCCGTAATTAAAGAGCTTATGAAGTTCAACAAATCCATTGGTTTGTATCTCCTCGAATAACAGCGAAGTGTCGTTCGCCAAAAATGAGCGGATAAACCACGGAATTGTGTGATAAATAATGCCCATTCTAAATCTAACGGGCCGCTTACCTAACTATGGCCGATCAAATCAGCAAACAATGCCCCAAAAATATAGTGATTAAATTTAGGGCTCAAAGTCATCTGGGTAAAGCAGTTCTCATCAAGTTTAGATCAACTTCGATCAATATGGCGTGACAACGATCAATGTTGCTGCTATTTATGCTGAAAACAGCGATTTCGTGCTTAAGAGCTTTCCTCCTTTTGCCAAATGAGTCTTTTTATATAAAGCAACAATTAACCACCTTAATATTGGCGTTTTTGATCACGTTACGATGATGACGATGACAATGGGGATGCGTGCGTATATCACGACCCAGTGACGAGTGCCAAGAACAAGACGACAGACTCTACACCCCTTCACCTTGCGGCAGCTGGTGGTTACACCAAAGTAGTGAAGATGTGTCTTGAGGCCGGAGCGAATCCCATGGAGGAAAATTCTGATGGAGACACCCCACTTCATCTGGCAGCTAAAAACGGTCACGTCACTGTGGCGCGCGTGCTTGCCCGGGAGGTGCCGTGGACTACGACATCGAAAAAGACCGGCCTCACGGCCCTCCATGTGGCGGCCAACAACGGACAGATGGACTTTGTTAGGGAAATGTTGACCGAGGTAAGACGTTTTAATAAGAAGCCTCTTCACCACTCGTACGCTCCGGTATAATCCCATACTGATTATGAAATATTTTTTCATATCGCCCTAAGTCATTTTGATTATTTTGATTGTGTTTGTTGGAACTTAACTGATACAGGTTCAAGCTGCGATCGCCTCCCAGCCGCTTCCGGACGGGGGAGGCGATTACGGCATGACGGCTCTCCATTTAGCTGCAGCGGCGGGCCATGAAGGCGTGGTCCGCATGCTGCTCAACAGTACCGGAATCAACGTCGACGCCGCCACCGTCAACGAAGGTTTGATCCTTGCATTAGATAATTCCCAACATTAATACTGAATAACTTACTAACTGTCAAGTTCCGTGGGCAGTTTGCTTGCACGCTTCCTAAAAATCAAGTATTAAAGAAAGCATTGATGCTAACTTGTTTGGATTCCGACTGAGGTATTCTGCCATGATGATCGTTTCTCCGTTCTTCTGTGCGCATTTCGACTAAGTGTCAAAGGTGTTTTATTGGGAATGCATCTGAAATGGCAAATTGTTACCAAGTTATTGTAAAGGAGTTATAGATAGCTCTGCTTTGGCTCATCTTACTTTTAGTGGATTAATTAATCGCATGCCTTAAGGTTCTTTTTTTCTTATTAACCATATTAACAAATCATGGCAAACAACTAGCTTTTTTTTTTTTTTTTTTTTATCTATAGGCATGTATCCTCTGCACTTCGCTGCCCAAGGGGGACATCTGGCGGTTGCTTCGTTGATCCTAAGTCGCGCAGAACAGCAATTGTCGTGTGTCGACAAAATGGGGAGAACCCCGCTACACGTCGCCGCGGCGGCCGGCAAACGTGAGATGGTCGGCCTCCTACACTCCCAAGGTAGTCTCAAATGAACGTAACTTTCGCAGAAACAATTGCGTTGTGATTTATAATTCCACGCTTGTCATTACTTTTCCACAGATATTTAGCATTGCGATTGATGAATTCTAACAGGTGCCGAAATCAATGCAGCGGACAACATGGGATGGACGGCTCTGCACTATTCATCAAAAAACGGGTTTCTGCCTGTTGTCAAGATCCTCGTTGAGAACGGCGCTACCGCTAAGGTATTTAATGCCGCCAGAGTAATCCGCTAGAGTGCGAACTCAAGATGCATACGCAGGAAGCTTTTTATATTTTCTTCTATATTTATTAATACCATGTGTATTCGTTTGCAAATTTTTATATTGACAGGTTCCAACAAAAGATGGCAAAGTGCCATTATGCTTAGCAGCGGCTGAGGGTCACTATGATATCATCTCTTACTTGCTCAAGAAAGACCACGATACGTCCGACCTCATGGAAGACAAGCATGTAAGAATACCTATTTTCCGTTCAATCAAAAAGTAAATAAAATAGTATAAATATTCCAATAATGATTCAGGCAGGTTCAGCCTTAATTACACGTAAAAAGGAAGGATTCATCAGTTATGTTTTAGCAAAACTGAAATCTTTGTGAGTGCTTTGGATTATCGTTTGATCCCCAAGTATGGTGCTCCACTAAGCTACAATCAAGAACAAAATGAGGCAAAATTATAAAATTTAGCTCAAAAAGTAACAGATGCTAACGCTTTTTACCTATATGCTAGTATTTCGGTTGTCTTGGTTTCAGTTTCTCATCGATTTGATGGTGTCAGCGAAGGTTCACCAGAACAAGCCGATCATCGACTTCATTCTAGCGTCACCGGCGCCGATTGACACGGCAGTGAAGATAGCCCGCTCGTACGAGTTGCTCTCGCTCAAGGAGAAAGAGCGCGCAATGGAGCTCGAAGAGATGTCGAAGTTCTGCGACAATCTGGCCAATGAGCTCCTGTCTATTGCTGCGTCGAACAATAACACCGCCGCGCTCCTCAGGGCCATCGACAACCGTAATACGCCGTTCCTTGATGTATTGATCGAGCTGCAGCGCAAATCCGTAGTCGCGCACCCTGCCGTGCAGAAGTACCTGACTGAGTTATGGATGGGTTCCCATCAATGGTCCAGTAAAAAGGTCCTGGGGCTATTCCTCGGGTTTTTCCTATGTCCTCCGTTTTGGATAGGCACCTCACTATTCTGCGGCCACAAAATTGCAAACGTACCTATCGTCAAGTTCATGTCGTACCTGGTTTCCCACATGTTTTTTGTCATGGTTCTTTCCATTACGATCATCAACCCATGGAATCCGCTGTATCTCTCAATGAACCTTATCCCGCACTGGAACGAGTGGCTGCTTCTGATCTGGCTGCTCGGCATGTTCATAGCGGAATGCACAAACCCCTCAGATCGCGAAGGTCTCGGCTACATCAAGACCGTAGTCCTCTTCGTTTCAGCGTTCGCTATCATGGTTCACCTGGTAGCATTTTTGTTTAAAGATGATAATCCGCGGCTCATCTGTCTCTATGTGAGAAATCAGCTATTTGCCGTAGCACTTCTACTCGGTTTTTTGGAATTCCTCAACTTCTTGACCTTCCATCATCTATTTGGACCATGGGCTGTCATCATTCGAGATCTGATCAAAGACCTGATGAGGTTTCTTGCCATCCTGCTCATCTTTCTGGTCGGCTTCTCATTAAATATGTGCGCCGTTTATCAGCCCGTCTTCAAACCTGATCAGGGTGGAGGCAACGTGACATTACCTGTTCTAGGCGCCGAATTCCAGTCTCCGTTAAACACGTTCGAGATGCTATTTTTTTCCTTGTTCGGTCTCGTCGAGCCGGACTACATGCCTCCACTCCATCTTTCACCGGCCTTTTCTAAAATCATCGTTAAAGTAGTCTTCGGAGTGTACATGATGGTAACTGTAGTTGTGCTCATCAATCTCCTGATCGCTATGATGTCTGATACATATCAACGTATTCAGGCACAATCGGATACCGAATGGAAATTCGGGAGAGCCAAACTGATCCGTAATATGAAGAAAGCATCACCATCTCCTTCACCTACAAACGTGCTTACCTTTCTTCCCGAACTGATCATGGAGCACTGCAACGGGAACAAACGATCGAAAGGAGGCTTGCTAGGCATGGGCAGTCTAGCACAGATGAACAAAGACACCAATATGGGCTCGACATTAAGCACGGGTAGTCGAGCTAGCTCTGGCCGACAAATGCGAAGAGTAGTTCCTTTAGGTTAGCCTCTCTAGACCATGTTAGAAACTAGCGTACTAATTTGCTTTCTATGTGTTTATCAAGCTAATATATATCTGCGGGCTACTTTAAAGATAAATGGTAATCATTGACCAAGCGATAAGTAATTGAGGCATACAGTAAAACTTACCTGCCATCCGATTCTCGACCCTTCGTGCTGGCATTTACATTTCTTTTATTTATTTTTACAGAGGAAATGGTGTACGGCATGAACAAACTAAGTAACGTAGTAGATTGGCCGGCGATATCGTCAAAATATCTGGATGTCCGTCGTGCCTCTCTATCTGTGGTGGAGTCCCTTCAACACTCCATGCCACAACGGCAATGAGTTGGTCCCTCTTACGACGAAGACCTTTGCTGCTACAGCCACTACGTAAGTAGGGTTAAGGTAACCTTCAAAGCACAATTTGAATGGACATCGTTCGGCACCGTCGCAGTCGTCGACTACGACGGTTCCCTGAAACCATCATCAAAAAGAGCAAACAAGCAACATGCACCCTCAACTAGAGGAGAAGACATCGGGGAGCTAAATTGAGCAAGACACTGTTAGAAAAGCAGACTTATTGTTAAGACACACATCGGTTGAACTCCAAATAGGTGACCTTCGAGCCATCACAAGCGAACTGTTTGTGATAAACGTATCCAAGCAAGAGAAGAACCAATCTAGAAGAAGAACATTTTATCACCACCACTACTATTACTACATGCGATACTCAAGAACGCATTGAATAAAGCTCTACGTAGATACATTTCGGAACTTGCTATCAGAATACGCATAATGCCTACTACTAGCCTCGATTATCCCGATGCGTATATCAGTAGACTAATTTCATGGTATAAAAGAGATGCCGACATCATTCGTGAACGCCACAGTCACAACTGAATACATTAAAAACCCATGACATAAGCGTGGTAGACGAAGATGTTGAAATCGTCTTCGAAGTCTGTATTCTAACTGTGTCATACTACAACATTACGAGACTTTTAGGCAGAAACCTAAATCAAACCGAGAGCAGCACTAATATTATTAGTTGACTACGTGTTTCTTAGGGAAGCATAAGACCCGAACTACCCATTAGACCGTATCCTAAGCTAACCATCCTCTCTGGCTAAGAAATGAATGTCAGAGAAGCCACGTAAAAATCAGTTGACGCGAAGCAAATCAATAACATGTTTGCTTTTAACATTTCTGAAGTTTATGAAGGCGTGAGATATGAGGATTCGAAGTGCTGGAGCAATCTCACGCAAATTCCCTCACGACGTCCAATTTCACGAAGAAACTATTGAAACAGTGACAACAAACAAACAAACCATGTTAGGATTCCCTTACCCTTTAAGCCTGTAATGTAAATACTATGCTCTAAACTCGTTTTAGCATCTTTTATACAAAACTTCTTCAACACCTTAGAGAACTTAATGGCGAGATCACAAGTCTAATTAGCACCAGGATAAGCTTGATGCACCACGTGTTTTCTGGCGGACAACCCGTTTCGAACGACAAAGCCTTCGTTCTGACATGACCTCAGGTGACCGGTTTATTGGACTTCGCAATTCTATCACTCCTAATGTGTCTAATAGACTTTTAAGGACCACGTTTGCAATTGTTCTAACTAGAAACCGACATTTCCCTGGTCGGCAATAAATCGTACGCTAAACACCCAATCATAGCTGCCAGACATACTCATCTAAACCAGTGGTCTAAATCACGTCTAAAAACGTGTTTTATAAAATATTCCTACTATCAATCAAAATTCAAGTCGGTACGTCTGTTACCGTTAAAAACTAGGTGATACCCCCCAAAAAATAAAATAAAGCCAATATTAGTCTAGTCGATCTTGTCCAGACGTTCCACAAACAACGTGACCAAATAGGTATAGCAAACTGTTCATACATACTGTTTTTAGCAATAAGTGCCTGTTTAGATTAGAATCAGGGTGACATCGGGCGACAAAAGTGCTATTAAAAATTACGTTTGAACGCCTTCGAAAGCGTCTATATGAATAATGCTAACGCCTTAACGGAACCAACGATGCATTTTGAACGCTGCATCCGATAAGCTACCGAGTCCAATGGTGTACCATAGTGTAAACTAGACAATGAACATATTTATACGCCAAATTGACTGTTGATTTGACCGTTAGTGTTTTTTGGAAATTAGAATATTTGAGTATAGGTGTCCGTTATAAGGAAAATCTATAAGTAACATTTTATATTCTTATATATATGTAAGCGGGTCTGGAGGAGGCGTTTGCTCTATGCGCGATACGTCCGACGCCCTCCAGTGCCAATACTATTGTAATAGGCTTTCCACTCTCGGTACGGTGCATTACATTAGATGCTTTGTTAGGAAACAGAATTATTAGTCAAATACATCATTTCTAAATCTCCAAAAAAAAAGGCGCAGTCCCATGCCCTCTAACCCAGCAGCAATCATGTAGAGGACAATACGTCAAATGAACTAGGGTTCAGTATAGTAGGGTGCAAAGCAGACCCTCGTTCATTGCGTATAGAAAAATCGTGACAAGCTTAGATATTTTTGCCCAGAATATAGAGTCAAAAAACGATAAACCGGTATGAGTGTTACCCGTTAGCAACAAATATATGGGTAAGTGGACAAACATTAAACGATGTAGCACGAGACAAACATCATATGTCACTAGACAATGATTTTTCCATCAACTATCATTATCATTACCGTAATTGTTGTTATAACTATTGCTATCCTTATTACAATTGGCGGGCCTAAAGGTTCAGAGTCGCCTTTCGGCTGACATTTATATTAAAATGGCACAAATGTCCCCGGATTATTGAACTAATACTGCTTCACAAGTACTATCGCTTAAGGCAAGAAACGTAGCGCAAAAACCTACGAACGTAAGCGTACATATACTATTGCTAAATGAATTCAAATTATTCCCAATGCCAAGTTGTAGAGAACGAAAAAATACGAAACGTAGTCAATATTCTACGACTGTATCTCATATGTTATCGAAGTTCGGATACTACGGAGAAATACTAAGCTTTTTTAGTCATCCAAAGTTTCCATAGTTTTCAACGTGAGAAAAATAGCAGCCTTTGTAGAGATGATTGACTTTGCTTTCAAAATGTGCGGATTCCTGCGAAATCTTCACCTTCACTATCCTCGACGTATATGCTGACGCCGATCCCTAATCAAAGCGAAAACACAGTCCCTATCGGGGTCTTTTTCTGTTTTCAAGATAAATAGAGCTATATACAAAAAAAAACACTTACTCTAGAATACGTACCTTGTATTTATATCTATACGAAAACAGAAGACCGACCACCGATGAAGTCGTTATCGAGCAAATTGATTTGTGTTGATTAAACCGGACGACTCAGGGGAGCCGTTCACGATCTACGATATTCTTTCCCACTAGATATATGCGCTCGTTGACATCGTTTGTCTATCGATGAATGGATCGACGGAAGGAAGGAAAGAGGAGAATGATGTATAAAACTTGATCGTTGAGATTAATAACCAGCAAACGTTTATCTTCCACGCCATGTCAGTGGAAATACTACCGCACGACAGATATGCGGAGAAGATTAATGGCAGAACACGGGGCACTGACTATAGAACAGTTTCTCTACGCAGCTTCGCTGTTGCTGCTGCATCAACTTATATGCTTTATTTTATATTGCTTAAACACTCGTTCAAACTTTCACACGTGCATTTTGATTGGGTGCGACAATGTCACGTAATAATATTTGAAAATTCGGTCGTCAGAATAAGACATGGCTGACACAGTCGGTCCAAATATTGCAGCCGTCCAGAACGTCTTCAATTCAAATTCAATGTCAGAGTGCCTAAACCTAGTTCTGCCTATATTGGTAGATATATTTTACCTGTATCTTTGTTAAGCTAGCTATGATTCATGCCACGCCCTGTCGTCATTCGTTACAAAAGGGTACGTAGAAAAATGATTTTGTCAGCGGTCGACTGACCACTAATACGCTCGGTAGTGAGCTCATCGCAACGTTGAGAAGAACTGAATCTGCGGTGCTGACCGGACGCCTTTTGGCAACTCGAGCAGTTAGTAAACACTTGGACAGTTTAAAAAATAAGAGTCATTGTTATCAATTTTCGTGATAAGCAACAATAATGGCAATAGGCGTCGACCTATTGCATTGCAGTCGATATGACGGATAGAAAGAAGTGGCAAACAATGCTCTGCCTATCATTACAGCTTCATGTAGCAGACGGCAAAGTTTGGACCCAGACGGTGGTTAATCTAACTAACTTAAGCAAACTTTGCTTACGTTCCTACGCCCGCTTCCACTGATACGCGTAGTTTCTGATCTCTTTTTAGCCAGGCATGGCGCTCTAGGGACTGCAACGCGTCTCCTTAGCAGAAAACCATTCTCAACAAGAAACCCGACAATTGTCGAAGCCTTAACCGCACGCTCACCGCAAGGTGATACTGTGGACGCAAACGTCAACCCGTAGCGGTTAACAACGGGGTACTTGATAACTGGTACATGTAGTCTTGGGATTTCCTATTTACCTACTGTCTATTTTGTTGCGTTATAACAGGTGCAGGATTTTGCTGCAGGTCATACAATTAGTTCTTCTCTCGCAGATCTAAACTATCGTGATTATCACTTCCACCTGCTATGAGCAGTAAAAGTCGAAAGAACCTTGTTGTTCGTGCCCATGAGTGAACCAATGTTTTTCGTCTATCTTCAGTCTTCAATAATTGAGACAGAAGTACGGGGAAGTCAAATATATAACCAGTCTTTCATACATGCAAGTTACATCTGATTAGTCACAACTACTTATATACTAATGCAAGCCAATCCATGTCGCGGGTTTAATTGCTTAAGTCTTCAATACATATACAACAAAGATATATTAATACCTCCGAATGCGCCGAAGCTTACGGTCTAGGGATAAATAGACACACCTCAATAGTGTATGAAAGCACATAAGATGTGCGAAGTATAGCAATGAAACTGACATAGGTAAAGGCTATAATTAACTAGTATAATATATTTGAAATTTACCGTATCTAGAAGAGTGCGGTATTATTCTAAATAAACGAATAAAAAAAAATCACTGATTAAATGTTTTTCATTTCTTTCTTGAAAGAATTCTTTCAAATGAATCACATGCTGCGAAAATTGTACCGGTTACCCACAGTAAGTGGGGGTCTTCAGTAAGCCCAATTGGGCCTGCTACTACCTTTGAGTGTGAATATTAAAAATTCAGTGCTGCCACAAATGTTTAGCAAAGCTTAAGTTAAGCCTGTTACTTCATAAGCCAGTACACTCTCTCAGTCGAAGTTTTCGTCTAATATGAAACACCCCGGGCTGAAAAATTCTACGTAGCGGTAAAGGCTCCTGGAAACACTTACTTGGAGCGTAATCGTGGCCGCTGGTAACCGTTGAAATTATTTTTATTTAGGCTGCTGTAATATTGCCTTTGACATGGCTGGCTACTTTAGCCAATTCAATAGTTAATATCATCACATAGAGTTCTCTCCACCACAAAAAGAATATTTTTTTTTGTGGCATCGAAGTCCTACGCTGACACGTTTGAGCCCACGTAGAATATGTAAGCGCACTTTTAGTTTGTGCTCTTTGTATATCGAATCACCTCCCTGTAGGTCGATCTGAACCGTGAGATATTATTACGGTTGGTGACCAAGCAAAGAGTTTAAGACATAATTGGGTCTCGTCCAGTACCCTGCTGAAGCTTGCGAAGGGCAGACTAGCACTGCGAAACACTAAACAAGTTATGTTTCTCGCCATTAATCGTTGGCTAGCCGGTTTCTTGGCTATATTGGATAGGATTTTCCCCCAATAGGCGTACGACACGGCATGACAAGAATATGCCATAGCAACTATTCGTCAACGCTGATAGTTGAACCAGCGTTATTCATAGGTAACATGGCAACGCACTCAAATACATATCAGCGGCCCAGACCATCCTGTCCCATCATTGAGATTAAAAACTGTTATCTACATCATGCCTGCTCGCGTTTCGTAATTTTCAACTTACCACTCGTTATTTCGTATATCATCTTATTGATGAAACCTAGCCGATGTAGGATCTTATATTTCTACACATTTTACAATTTTTCGTCTATCCTTTCATCTAGCATCATTCCTACCGTCACTTCAGATAAGGGTGAGTATTACGATGGTGAGTTGCCACTCCCCTCAGCATGTGCTGTTCTATTCGAGGCGCTCAAGTCGTACTGCTGGCTCATCTGTGAATCCGGCACAACGACGCTATTTGTTTTCTTTTTTTCCAGAGTCAAACCACTTCTGCTTTATTATTGAGCACAGCGTATAGACTCGTTAAAAAAATGTCTAACCGTTTACAAAGCGTTATTTTCACAAACTCTCATTTGACTCTATGTATGAAGTTCATGTTAAACCTAACGCAAGGCCTATATTGTTTTTAAGCAGGCCTCCACTGGCAGTCGAACCTCAAGTTCGCATGTATCCTTTTCCCATTCGTTTAGCTGGTCAAAACTACGTTTATTTTGTTAGCGCTTATGCTCAACTCATTTCCTTGACCTCATGTTTAGATGAAATTTCCGTGTATGTCCGTAATTCGTCTATCCATACGTGTGTACGCATTACATTGACGCACAATTTGCCATATTTGTTTATTGATCCTCTTTTATAGTTTTGTTTATTAATGCTCTACTGTTATACATTTAAGTGGAAAACTTGTTTCTTAATTGCTATCCAGATTCCTCCAATTCAGGTCTTGATGTGGGCATTCCATTTCAAATGTGACAAATTGGACACTTCAGTAAAAAAAAACTATGCTCAAGTGAAAAGACCATGACAGTATAAAGCAAGTGAAAACTGACTCATAAACAAAAAAGCGGACGGAAAACCATTACTGGAACATATCTAAAACCGAGGCAATGAAATGCCGGAGACAAGAACAGGTTGTCAAGAAACTTTTCGGTAGAGCCATTTCTTAATCCATGACGATAAGGGAATCATCGTTGAAGGACCACATCGAAGAAAAAACCCGAACAACAAGGCTACAGCGGTACTGAATGAAAAACCACCGCATCGAAGAAAGAACCCGAAAAGCAAGATTGTCGCGGCAATAACGGCAGTTGTAGTAGACATGTTTCAAAGTCAACTCAAGTCACGTATATAGCTTTCAAGTTACATTATATAGCTTTCAAGTTACATGTAGCTACGTAAATAGCTTTCAAGTTACATGTAGCTATGTAAATCAAGTGGAGCTTTCAAGCTTGCAAGTTACATGTAGCTACGTAAGTCAAGTGGAGCTTTCAAGTTTGCTACATATAGCATAAACTTAGGGCTAGCAAACCCTTTAAGTTACATATCCCCATACATATACACACACACACACATAATAAACGAATTTACACATAATAAACATAATAAACGAATGTAATAAGACACACACACATAATAAACGAATTTACACATAATAAACATAATAAACGAGCTACGTAAGTCAAGTGGAGCTTTCAAGTTTGGCTAACCCTAGTATAGCATAAACTTTGGGCTAGCAAACCCTTTAAGTTACATATCCCCATACATATACACACACACATAATAAACGAATTTACACATAATAAACATAATAAACGAATGTAATAAGACACACACACATAATAAACGAATTTACACATAATAAACGAATGTAATACGAATGTAATAAGACACACACACATAATAAACGAATTTACACATAATAAACGAATGTAATACGAATGTAATAAGTTACATATCCTCATACGAATTTACACATAATAAACGAATGTAATACAATAAACGAATGTAATACGTTATTACATATCCTCATACATACAACATTCCAATATAGAATTTCGAATCGATAGAATTTCGAATCGAATGTAATATACCAATAATTCTTTCATTATTTTACGCTAATACACCAAATATCTCAAACGCCAGTATCTCCGCGACCGCGGTATATCACTTTAATTTGTCCTTTTGTAGTATTAGTCTCCTGCTGTGATCACATCATTTTCCTTTCGTCTTCAGCCAGGACGGAGCCTTGGCGTCCTTTGCTGCCCCCTTTGTTTCCTTCCCTCCTTTAGCGCCTGTCTTAACTGATGCTTTGCCCTTGGCCCCAGCCGCCGACTTCGCCGGCGTCTTGCTGGTGGTCTTCGCTATGACAGGCCCCCTGGCCTGAACCTTAGCGGAAGTCGTGGTCGCTTTGCTGATACCCATCTGGGACGCACCCATTTCAGACACAGGTTCAGGAACTTCCATGCCAGGCTTCGCTCCTCCGGGCTGCATCTGTGACACCGGCTGCATCTGTGACACCGGCTGCATCTGTGACACCGGCTGCATCTGTGACACCGGCTGCATCTGTGACACCGGCTGCATCTGTGACACCGGCTGCATCTGTGACACCGGCTGCATCTGTGACACCGGCTGCATCTGTGACACCGGCTGCATCTGTGACACCGGCTGCATCTGTGACACCGGCTGCATCTGTGACACCGGCTGCATCTGTGACACCGGCTGCATCTGTGACACCGACACTGCCTGATACGCACTACCCACTTGGGACAACTGGATAACCGGGGGTTGAACGGGTACACTCTGTTGATTGTAATCCACCGACTGCCCGTTCATGATTGATAACATCATCGTTTGTTGTTGAGGCTGCTGCTGCTGCTGTTGCTGCGCCTGCACCTGCGGCATCATCGATAGAACAAAGGGATCAGCTGTTGAAGTAGGTGGCGCCACAACCGACAAAACTAAAGCCTGGGCCGGCGGTAGGGGTGGTGGAGGAGCCATCATTGACACAACAAGCGGCTGAACAGGCTCAGGTGGTGCCATCATTGACAGAATTATCGGCTGTGGTTCTGGGGGCGGCGGCGGCGGTGGCAGCTGGGTCTGCGGCATAATTACCGACAACACCATTGACTCACTCATGGTAATTTGTGCCAATGAGAAAACGATAACAGTACGTCTTTACGCTTCGCGTGGTAACCGTCGATTTTACTTGAACAGCTGCTGTTAAGGCTGTCACCAAACACTAACTTCGACGTTTAGCCCAGCAGCTAGATGGCAATCTCCTTTACTTGCTCTACGATTCCAAATTATCGTATTTTTGAGCACGGCCAAAAGCCCGACAGTTAGCACTCACTTCGGCGTTCGTTATTGGCAGCAGACTGATGAGCTATATCCACGCTGTGATCTTTTATCGACATTCATAGTGGCTTCGATATGCAAAGTAATATTTTTCCATCTTATATGGTCCCATTTGTATTAGTGACTACGAATAAATGGGGCGCACCCTGTTGTATAGCGCATTCAACAACGACTAACGCAAAAGAATGAATATATCACTACAGACCTAATTATCTTATAATAGTTACACTTTAAATATTTATTCACACCAAATAGCAACTTTACTTAGAATTATCAATCCGCGCAACAAACAATTGAGTAGCTATGCCATCAGACATACTACTGTATATTGCAAACGTCCTAGAATAATCTGTCAAGTAATAATAGGAGAACGATATATATCTATGCATAGATACACATAAATGTCTCTTTTGCTTTGAAAGCCGCTTATAAGGAAGCATAAGACAGGACGTATGGAGTGATTCCTTGCGAAATAATAGGTGGATGGGAGCAGTGTAACGACAGGGTAGCTAAATGCCAAACCATAAACACAGGAGTGACTCCTATTGAATTATCATACTATGAGAATGCTTCCCTTAATCAGCCAAAAGCCGGAGATTTGCCTGACCCTTGCCACGCTATGTTTGTGATTTCGATTCCTGACGTATGGCGTATGCTCGACGAGATTTGTGTAGAGACTCAACGCTACAAACGTTTTCAGACCATGAGCACACCTGAATATGCAATATTTCGAGCGCTTAGAGATCATTTGGTGACAAGATATAATTAGCTGGTCTAAGGGAACGGCAGGTCTCGCTCTAAAAATCAGCATACGCAAGACTGCAATAGCTTCTGCAGAATAGCCTGCCCTCGGAGAAGCTATTAAATGAGTCCTTTATGAAGCTTCGTGAATGATACACCAGCTGAAGTACCGCTTTTAAATTTATAAAGAAAAACATCTGAACAAGGAGAGATGTTCAAATACGTTTATCAATCACTGCAACTTTGCAACTTAACACAAATTCAAAAATAATGTAGAAAGAAACAAGTCGATGAAGGTGAAATAAGATATGCAAAACTGCTATACGTAATTGTTACAATATGATATCCCTTTTTTTGCGGTGCTATGGAAAACAGACATCTTAGCACCCCTATAATAATCCTTCTTCACCGTATTTAAAAGGATACGATTAACCTTACCTTTGCAATTAGCAGACTACTGTTTGTGGGAGCCATTGACGTTTGTGGACGATTATTTATATATCAAAGGTTCAAAATGTTGAAATTCAACTCAGCCATTATCCAATACGCTCACGTAAAACGAGCCTCCACAAACATTGTAAGTTCCCTTTCTTTCGATATTAACGGTGTATGTCATTCCGGCTTCTGAAAGATCCATAAAAGGTTTCTAGAGAAAGCAAATCAGAAAGCAAACCTCATAGAGGGCTAGAACGTTAATTAAAACAGTCTGACAAGCTAGTATTAGAACAACTGGATCTTTCATATAAAAATAAACGACCGTTTTAAAGAGCACAATATCCGTTGCCCATAAGGTCGTCCAGATAAGGTCTAAGAGTCTTTTTTTGCCTCTTTGATGCTCATCGACCATTTTTAGCCCTTACATTTTTAGGCCTGTTGTGAATCCAAAATGGATTTTTGTTCAAATTTTTTGTATGTAGCGCATTAAGGCGAGACAAACGAGGTTATAATTACCAATATTGCTTGACGCATGCCTAGTACTAAACAGGAGTGCTCTGAAAATGAGTAGTGAGCGGCCTAGATCCTAATCAATATGAATGATGGTCATATTGAACAAACACGGCCATCAGGAACGACACTTCCAGCACATGCAAACAAATTATTATTGAGATCTCTGTGTTTGTCGACAGATACCTCATCAGAAAAAGATGCATTAAACATGTCATGTATGATTTTAGGAACAGTGTCTCATACCGAACATACGGTGTCACCACAATGGCTCCATGCTATCGGTTGGCTATGAAGGCCTAATTTAAATGAAAGACTTCAGTTAAGCCAGTGAGAATCGCATCGCTAAATGCTATGAAAAATAAACACGACGTGGTCTTAGGAGAACTGCAACCTAGCGAATGTAGAATTAATCGTATCACGAATCAACTATTACAACAGGCTGATGAGAGGATTACCGTGTGTAGGCAGGATTGTTGGATGATCTAAATAGGAGAACGGCATACGTTGAGCAGGGACTTTAGGGCATACGTAAAACAAATATTGCTAATGGACTGGCTAAATACAAAAAAACAGAACTTTGAAACGAAATAGCTGCAACAAGATAACGGATTTGGTGCTGCCGTAAAGGTTTAGGTCTACAGTTGAACTATGGTTTATGTTACGCTAGATGTGACGCAGATTAAATGTTGTGACGGGCTAAAATAGTGATGAACTAGATGGGGCGGGCAATTTAACAAGGTAACTATTAATGTGTACTCTACCCATAGTCATCAGTAGACTAGAAGTTGCATCAATGCATCAGGCATGAACAACGTCCGTGAGTCTATTAACAATGTATAGTAGATTGTAAGAAGACAAGCGTTAAACCGAAGACTGCCGGAGCAACTGGCTAACTAAATATAGGAAACAACAGGAGATAAAGATGGCACAGGAGGACCTTAAGAATCAGTACCTGCGGAAGTGAATACAAAGTGAAAATACACCTGAGGCACCGCTACACGATTGAGTACGTTCAAAAAGACTATGTACGGAATTAGCAAGGCTTTCAACTAGATGTAACAATACGCTGGTGCGCAACACAGGTACGACAGCCGTCCCTGTAAGCCTTGATTGAAGCAATATTGGAAACCATTCCAAGTAAAGATCGAAGAATAGGAAGGCTTGGGTTTAGTGGGTAGGAATCCCATAGCAGCAAACAAAAAACCTAACAGGAAATCCTTATCTGCATGATGCCTTAGCCTTGACTTACCTTAAAAAGGTATTAACGACTCAGATGAAAACCGATGATGATGATGATGAGAAGCAAAGTCAAAATGTGTTTACAACAGCCTACCCCCGTTGAAGATACAATTAATGGTGTATTAATTTTTTTATTTCCAAAGTGGATCTTAAATACATAGTCATTAAGTATAATACACATTTGATTACCATTGGTTGGATATAAGCGATTTTACCGCAGCTTCTGTTCCTGGCTACACTTATGAATCTCGTGTACAGTTTGTGGTCTAGTTAAATATTAACGCACGTGTAAGCGGACGAGTCAGAAAGACCTAGGGCGCTCTATAATGTAGTATTAATATCCGTCAATGTAATTAGCTAGTTGCTCTAAGATGCAATTACACGACGATTCGTTAGTTAAAACATACGACAAAAGAAATTAGTTGGACATTTATCTCCATAGCAAGGATCAGCTATTTAGCAACGTAGGGAATAGAGCAAAGCTCATTTCTCAACTTCCATTCGATGCTAGCTATCGGCTCTCGGTGTCTTCTGCGTACTCTGGCCATCAATGTCGTCAGCTTTAGCAAACCAGGTAAACTCAGCTAGCTTAGTTTCGCAACAATCCAACTGCTTTATCTTAATGTTTTATCTTATCGTTTAAATTGAGTTAGATTTATGTCTGGTAATATTACATTTGAAGCTCAGTCAAAAACGACCCTATCCGGACCAGCATAATACAGGAGATTACCGTGCTCAATTATAAAACTCATAATAAACCAAATATGTCCTATAAACATCAATGCCAAATCTATAAAAGCTTTCTAAACAACGAGAAGATAAAGATCATATAAAGAGCACTGATTAATCCTTCAACATCTAATTCATAAATACTGTCTAGTTAATAACCAAAGACAATGGAAGACAGGCCATTCTCTATTCTATTTTTATCTCTCTCTATCTAGTCTCTAGTTTATACAGGTTTACCACAAATGAATTAGCTGCAAACATATGAACAATAAGACAATATAGTAGTGAAATTAAAAAAAAAATTAATATCTTGGAAAATGCTAATCATTTCACTACGAAGTTCATAAAGACTTGATTATTTTTATCAGTTGAATTGATTACTTCGAAGTTTGTCATCGGTATCATTGTGTTATGGTGTAGACTGCTATATTCTCCGAGTTTCAAAGTCCTTACATTTTTTTGAAGAGATTGATTAAAACAATGCGCGATTTATAGGACACCAAGAGGTATTCGATGAATCGTTGCATATACGGTACTTCCAAACGAAACAAGAATTGTACCATCTGGCGTAAAAAATACTTTCGTATCATCGAGTACGTCAGACAACGCCTGTTTGCGTGGTTTGTCGGCATAATTTGTTCTTTAGGTTGTGGCTACCAGGTTAGTATAATATTATATAGATTCGCCAATGTCTCTCACACTTTACCTGGTGCTGAGCAAGTAACTTACTGCCAGTAGGTGTATATTCTCATTTGCTATTAGTTGTTATTTTATTAATTGTCAATATGACAAAGCATTGCATAAATGCACTCTGTCGTTTTTACTAATTTATTCATTAACTGTACATATATTTATAGTTTACGAACATGAGTGTACTGTGTAGTTATATTCGATTTGTGCTTATTTAGGTCCAATCAATAAGTGTCTGACAACGTAGACCGCTCTATAGTTTTTAGGTTATATACATACACTCATTCATCCTAACATCGTTGTGAGTAATAGGTATACATGAGAATTTTATACACGCAAATACCTTTACGAAAAGCACAACTAATCCTATTCGACCAATGATATAACTATGAATAGGTTTATACTGCGTTGCGCGCATACCTCGCTTATCCGTCGCTCGTATCACCTGCTCTTATTAAAGAAGCTGCTGAGTTTCCAGGAGTAACCGTCTGTCCGGAAAATTGGTAAATAGAATAACGCTTTTCATATACCAGCACCTTCTGTGTGTGGTGATGAGAAAGTTACACACACTAAATTGTTTGTTGTTATGACTTGTTGCGGGGGCACGAATTTCCATACACAATTAACAAATCGTGTAGTAAATACAAAATGCTCGTCGTAAGATTGTTTCGTCCTATATAATCAAGTTAAGAAAAGGTATGACTTCTATATTTTGCTAGCTATCAGCTTATACAGCAAGTTTCATAACTAATTGTTAAAACTTTGAAATGACCGAACTTGGTAGAATCTGTATTATTACGACCGAATCATAATTTTGTTCGTTGAGCTTCGACATTTTCCAGTGAAACAAAATTTAGGCATAAATGCAACTGTCTGAAAACTACCCCATTTTGACTGAGCAAGCGAAAACATATTCGTGTATAAGTGACCCTGCGCCTTTGTCTAACGCAATTTTCTTTAATTCTGGTTTAATAATGATTTCACCATACTTTCGTCATTTAGCTCTAAAATGTACTGGAATCTTGAAAAACTTGTTGTAATACGACCAGTAAGTAAACTAAACAAAGTATCAACTATTTCTAATATACTTCCAAATCCTGGAGAGATATTCGATGAATTCAAGCAAAAGGTCCACTATTATTATCATGTGTTTTTTGTATCTTAATAATCTAGGTACAACATGACCAGACTCTGCCAATACTGGCCTCAGAATTGCACACGGAAAGATGTAAGTATTTGTACCATCAGTTCGGCAATTTTCTGATACATTTATGACTCACTAGTGTATGAAAAGAAATTACTCTGATGAAAACTAGGAAACCACTAACACAGATTTTTTAGATTAGGTAGGGTTTTAGATTTTCTCAGAGTCTGCGAAGTTCATGGTCAGATGTAAAAGCGGTTCATATGCTCAAGAGTTTTTCTATTATATTACTTACAATTCGTATCGTATTCAACCTTCCATCTCGTGATTTTCCTTTGATACATTTTTTATGTGGACTTTATGTAGATGCAGCTGCACTCTGTTCCCAAGTTCACCATCATGAATGAGTTTCGATTTTACGGTCAGCCTACAATTGAAAATTTATTCAAATGCAGGATGATGAGCCGCTCGGAAGTCTGCCCAGCTTTCGACTGCGTTGAATTGTTCGTAAGAAGAACTAACTATTAGGCTAAACAACGGTAGTCTATCTATGAGGCTAGGAGCCAGTTACCCGATTTTATGTTTACTTAGAGCCATCAGATTTTGATATTTGAATGATGTAGTTTGCATAAAAAATAATAAAAAGCTAAATGCAATTAATAAATATCAGCTAGTGAAATATTTGTGTGGAAATATTTAGTCGATATCACGACTTTTATTTGTCTGTCAGTTAATCTTCTTCTAATCTACACGCTAGCCTGAACCGTGCCTACTTCAAAACGCCAGCTCGGTTATGTTTCGTCTTTGATACGAGTCAGCTGGCAATGGATCATACCTTTCATCGTTGTCCAACTCCTTGGCTGTATGGTAAGCAAGTAATAATATCTCAGCTTTCCCAGCTTAAGCTTTCAAAACGTATGAAACCTCTCAAACACTCTATCAGCTTGCTCTGCATACCTGTGCATTATATTTGGAGAAAGCGCACTTTTCCACAATCAATAAATAATTCGTCTCCTCCAACCACGCAAGGATTAAATACTTTTGAGTATGCTTCAAATGCTAACAAACATACACCTGTAGAGTATAATATTCATATAACTGATACACACATTGTTTCTAAAATCTAGAACTTCAGATCGAGCTACATTGGAACGAAACTACAGTGCAATCGTTCTGGGGCGTCGGTTCCATCCCCGTTTACGTCCACCAAGCGCGTACCAATCCTCCCATCGGAATTGAAGCCATCTCCATGTTCCAAGATATTCTTGTTGAAGCGTCAGTCACCCAGGTTCCTGCCAGAAAACGAGGCTTTTTATTTTGTTTAATAATTATGTTGTAAAGCAACTTAATGTCAGTAATTGTTTCCTCCATATTTAACGGCGTTTTTTATTCGAACTATCGATATTCATTAAAGAAATTAGCTGTATTTACTGCACATCGTCCTAAAATTGTACTTTTATTAACAAAGGACTAAGACACCAGGTCAAATGACTATGTTTGTTGCTGGGATTAATTGTCACGTGTCTTGGCCATAGACTCCCTATCCTAGATTTCGTCTGGACATAAAATCTAAGACCCTGAAGACTAGATTCAATAATCTCACACTGACTGTTAGAATTATTACAAGTAATAAATTAATTATTTAAATAAAGCAACCGCTTTTGGATGAAATACCTGAAGTTCACATTTAGACAGCCAAATAGGCGACCCTCTGTGACCGTAAGCGCTAGGTTAGTGGTGTCGCAATAATAAAAGAAATAAATCAAAATAGAGATTGAAGGTATACATATTCTTAATATATTTTTTGCTATATAAATAAATAAATAATTATTTGCGAAGTATAATGTGAATAATGATACGTCTTCAACTCCATTAGCACAGAGCGGGTGGCAATCCTTTAGATACAAATCAAAACTTAGCTGATCTCACCAGCTTCATATCATACAAGGTATATCCTATCATAAAGCATAATTATCGTTGCTCGTTTTAATGGTACATGTCATGTGAACTATGTATCATATTAAACACTAGCATACAACAGTTCGTTTACCCCGACCGTTTCACACTCAATGTGAGGCTTACGACAAGGGACCTTTTCGACCTGAATGGGGCGGCTACCATACACACGCTGGATGTATCCAAGAGTGCCAAATGCACCTCGAGCAGGAGGTAAGCGAGACAAAACACAATAATATGCCTGTTGTATGCAATACCGCGGCAATTCTTTGCTGCGGTAATAATACGATAGTTAGGAAGAAAACGGTGCTGGAACCCAAAGTATTCAAATATTTTTGGAATAGAAAGCATATAAGTGTTGTTTTGTAACCCCAGAGCATCATTCAAATTCGAATGTCACACCTCTTAATTGAGATATACCCTATGTATTGATGAATCAAAGGATCTGATCGAGCACTTGATGTTACTTCATTGGCACGGAACTTCACTGAGCTGTCACTATATTCATTAAAGAAAAAATACTGACTAGATGACATACCTTTTCCTATAGATTTGCAACTGTAGTCTGCCACATCACGAGTATTCAGTCATATACGGCGACAGGCTATGTGGCTACCAAGTACAGGGTAAATATGGCGGAATTTTTTAGTATGACCATGTACGAAAGCATTGCAACCAATTTGGTTCTTGAGATCTACGGGAAAGATCATAATATCTATGAGTTTTCACGAATCTTACGAATAATTTAAATAATTACGAATTATATAAAATATTATGGTAGTATATATATCATCGAGCCTTGTATTCTTCGATTATCGCAAGGACTTGAAATGTTTTTTTTTATAAAGACTAATCGGCATCAGGGTTCAGGAAACAGGCTTGTAATCGTTATTGAAATGTATGGTATTTATAATTCTCCTTTAGAAACATGCATGAATGCCTTGAAAATAAACGGATCTTATGACACGTGCCAAACAAGATGCCACCTCGGCTGTTTGTAAGTATTGCTGTAGTCTTGTAATATATGATACGCGTATGAGATAATAATATAGATAGGAATGCTTAATAATATCGGTATAAAGAAATGCCTCGTGATGAAATATAAATGATTCTTCAGGAGCTTCAGGTGCAGCAATTTTGTCAAAATATATATTTATTGAATGTTTTGTTTGAATTGAAGAATTGTTTGAATGCTTCAAATGCAGGCAAACGAGATATGACGTTCGTCTTTCCGGCATCGACCGGTATGAACGGAACGAGACTGATATGTGAGTTACGTTTCCGTGCAAACATTGGCACGCAAGTCAGAATTATTTGCTTTGGGTTTATGAACTTATAGAATTTATGTTCACGGCCTAAATTCATAATCAAACATATGTTTTCCGATATCTATAACCAAGGAGAATCAGTTGCGGAAAAAGCTTACGGGGCATATCGCGCAGCCATATTTTGCGTACACTCCAGCTACAGATTATGCAAATGCGTGTGAATATTTGAAGGTCGGAAATATATAAACTGGAATAATACTGAAGTTTTATCATTAAAGTAAGTGTGGTACAGGTTGTAATGACAAGCTTTAAATTTGGAAGGCGACTTCTTTTTATCCTGTGTTAATCTTTCACCTTAACAAACCTACTTAAATAATAATTAGGATAATGCGTACATATACGTGCTTTGCCTAACAAATAGATTGACACTGTTTTGTTTTGACTGCAATGTTTTTTTCTTAAATATACCTTTTTGATGCAGGGTTAGATTGCCATTGTTTTATATCAAGTCGAGCCATTTAAAAGAGGTAAAGAGTGGTAACTAAAAAATATATTATTTAATCAATTTATATTTTTAATCTGATAATTTTACGGTCTTGATTTGAACAATGATACTCAAACCTGCAATCAAGGTCCAAACTTCCGATAAAATTGTGACGGGTAAAAAAGATAATTACAAAAACAGCGGTATAAAGCACTCGATAATCAGAAGATGAAACAAAAACAAATAACAAAAACGAACGTTACCTGCGCATCAACCTAATAATTCTGTTTTACAGACATCGTGCAACCTTAATGCTATCATTCGGATCCTCGAGCGTGGAATATTTTCGATATGTACAAACTATTGGGGTACGTATCTAAATCTATTACAGCCTGCTATTCGATTACTTTTTCAGGATTGGATATGCAGTATTTTGACATGATTAATAGGCATAAATTCATCTTATTCATTACATAAGTCCTATGGAGGAAACTAGGAAAATCCGTTAGGTTTACTTAACTTTAAAACAATTTTTCAAACTTAGCCATCTCGCAACGACATGTTACATACGTTTGAGAGCTCGATTAAGCAAATCCTTGATCTGCTTATCGTACGTGTGATACGAGTATACACCTAACTTGAATTAAATAAAAATAATATATATATGAGTTCATACAGTGAAATTGATTATTGTATTGATGTTTGTTGTACGTTATATTTTAGCCAGAAATGGTTTTAGGCTACATCGGCAGTTACATCGGAATCTGGGCCGGAGTCTCTTTACACGGACTATTCCAAATCATCCACGATAAGATCCAAAAGTGGTGCTGCTGTTGACTCTGTCCGCAAATGGGAGCGAACTGCTGCCGCTGATCTGTTTTTTTCTTTTTTATTAGAACTTGCTTGCAATATTAGTCTAAAAATAAAGAAGAAAAAGAGAATTATTGTATACAAGGTGGCAGATTTTCTCAGCTGTTCTAATTGCATAAGGGTGTTTACAGCAAGAACTGGACAAATATCGCGAAATGACCGATAGTACACATCAAATTGCGTTCAGATTAATCTATTAAATCCATTGGCGTTATAAAATGGTAGATCATCATCAAACGACTATGGTATCAAACGACTGTTGACAGATGATGATGGTTTGAAGTAATATAAGAGTCAATTCTAAACTAAAATCCAAGAATATTAAATTTAGGGTTCAGTGGCTGACAATACCCTATCAAAGGTGTAGTCTAATCTGTATAGTCCGTTAGTCTTTCGACTTTTTTTTGAAAAGGATCACACCTAACTACCTGTTTCATAGCATCTACGATGCAATGATTAAAGAGATGTCTTTGCAACCCTCCGGCCAAGCGACTCTGTCATAAAGTGATTCGGTTAACAGATAAATTGCGTTGACAAGTGTTTTTGTACACATGTTGAAACCTTTTAATATATGACAAACGGCGTTGCTAATTTCGACATGCACTGTTTGCGAGGAAACTTGGATTTACGAAGTCCAAAGCACGATGCAGAAAGATAGAATATGTAATAATTTTTTCAATAATATTTTGCGGTTTCCGTTATGTGCGCAACGTTTGGGTACACAAAACACAGTAGGTCGTATTACTAATTCGAGACATTTTATACTGTGACATTTTTCAATAACTGGACAGCGAATTTGAGCTCATTCTGTATTCGCCATAATCCGCGGTTATGCCCAATCTTCAACTAAGATAATATGACAAGGTTTATAGCTATTCATATATATTACTTGTATATATTGTAGGTCATATAGTGTAATCTCAGGTTTGTAATGCAAATCATTATTAATTCTCTAACTTCAAACTAAGCTTTTAAAAACATTCACAAGGAAGTGAACCAACTCGAATAATTTACTATTTAGATCATAAGTTCTATGAATGATTAACAGAACAACCAAATAACTTTGGAACGCCTACTCACCAAGATTATATATTTATAAGGTTTTGCTTCAATAAAATGTGCTTAAATGTCATGCGACTTTGTAAGGGCTATTTATTACAGCAAAATCAACATCGGTTGTTAATAAGCACACTAGATATTGGTTTGAATGTCAAATTACCGCTATTAGAAACAGGCAACCCGTTATCATTCCCAATGGCTTTTACTTTCCAGTACATTTTTAGGTAATTAAAAACTCTCCGCTCAGCTCAAAAACAGGGTAACCCCTATACATAACCTGAAACGGCATTATTGTGCGGTTTTTGCATAAGACATCTGACTCAAAGGTAATGCTTACCTACAGTACTACCGGACATGAAACATTTGCTCACCATTACATAGTCAGCATCCAAAACCTAAACATGTTACACCGTTTGCTCATCGGCAAATTATTTGGCAAGTTAAAGGCACACAAAGCTGTGTTTGTGTTTAATCAGTAATTTTTTTTGCTATTAGGTTTGATAGGTTTTTTAATATGTCTAGATGTAAAAAAGGCTAACGGCAATTTTTTAATCTACGAAAAGCTTACTAAAGGTAAAACAATTATGAGGAACCCTATGGAGTTATGTTTTTGCGTTGCGCTAGTAGAAATATAAGATTCATAACTAAAAACCTGATTTTGTTTATAAAAACCTTTACCAATGAATAGTCCTACCAAAAGGAGAAAACCTATATATAGAATATATTCTCATAACCCACCGTTCTCAGGATATCTGAGTAAATGACATTTCCACCACACTTCATAAATGCATATTCTGAAAACTATGTAATGCGAAAACTAGTCGTAGGGCTCAGGTACTATTAATGACATCAACTATGCACAAAAAAATCCTGAATCATTTGAGTTAAAAATCTTTGTTAGCTAGCGAGGTGAACCGCCATGCCCTGTGCCAGACATCAGTAAATTTACTTATGTGTGTTTGGTATCGACAACATGAAAGCCGTCAATTAGCAGACATCGAATCATCTTTATTGGTTTCCGTTTGTATACAAACATCAAAATATAAACAACATTTAATAATTATTCTAGGCAACAATTGACTGCCTATTCTTCTGAGTACTGCAACAGGGAGTCTGATTTGTATTGTTGAGTGAAAAAAATTGATATTTGTGTTTGTAGTGGCGGTGAGTTGTTAGGTGCAGTTGTGTCTACTTACGGTAGTACAACGATGAGTTCCAGTCATTCAGCCGCGAAGGTTTGTATACATGCAAAGAATAGTAGATATGGAAAAGGTATTCGATTGCTTCGAATTCAAAGGCGCATTCGATCTTCTTCGAGCTGGCACATCACTTCTAATTTAACAAAGAGCACATGACTGTTTATAAAGCTGACATTCGTACAAAATATTTGAATGCAAAGGCTGCTGTAGAGCACTGAATGTTGAAAAACAGGTGTGAAAACGTCACATGCGTAAAGTGAAAATATAACATTTTCAACGTATTTAGTCACAACACAATAGTTGTTTAAAGATATTATAGTGCTTACTTGACACGTATTGATTTAAATTGTTGTCAATCAATGAGTACCAGTTTTCGTTCGTTTAGCAACTAGCAACTAGGTCTGGTTGTTCAAGGTTCATCTTATTATAAATGTAATATAGCATAATTATTAGACATCGTCTAATTGGATGATGTGCTATTTGGGTCGCTTGATGTCGCACCGTACGACACTTGTGTAATTATCATAATAATCAGAATAAGTGTGATTATCGGTTATTATTTTGCAGGTTGGCGAAATTTTCACTGCTGCGGGTACAGCCTTTACGCAGTTAGGCGAACTATCTATGCAGCTATACTCTGACACGGATCAAAATATAACGGGGTAAGCAGAGAATGAGCATATCGGTGATTATGGTCACCATCAAATTCTGCAATTTAGTTCCTTTCTTATCTCATGTGCACATTTTTTAGATTTAGGAGTGACTTTATTGAACTGTAAACTGGAGTTAATACATAGCTGCTGTGAACTAAAGTCATACAGCTGTGGAGTCCATCGGCTGTGGACTAGATTTAAAAATGAAAATAACGCGCTGTAAGTCTACATACCCTTCATAAAAACACATTTCTTATACAAATTTCCTTTGGTAAAGGTAGTATTGAGCACAGTGGTTATCATATTCATCTTCAGTTACAATGTAAGGCGCATTTTGAGGTCAAAAAACCTTTTGACGTGCTGATCATTTAGCCTCTCGTATTGCTTCTTTATAAGGAAATTTATTTTGATCATATTTGTAACCATTGAACCATACACATTCTGCCAATTTGTGCTCCTTTCAGAGGGAAGTGGACAGATGAAGAAATAGAGATGCTCAGAAATGCCGTCAAAAGGTTTTCCGAGGATTTACAAAAAATATCCGAGAACATTAAAAATAGGGCGATGTAAGTACGTTCTACAAGGGTCCTTCTTAAAGTAGTGGATTAAACTTATACACTCATAAAACAAAATATAAATGTTTATCTATACTCGAATAATTTTACTTACACTAGGGCTATAAATGTAATAACGGCCAAACTCTGGCTTAACCGGCCGGCTTTGATAACTGCACTCGGACAAAACCTGATATATACGTACAAAACTTAACTGCTCTTCGTTTCATACGTCTATTATAAATGTAGTTCACAGATTAAAAACAATATGAAACGAAAAGCATATGAAAGTGCCGGCGTAACAGCGGCAATCAAGAAGACTTCTACGGGAGCAAATAGCACAAATGCAGCCACGACTGCAAAAGCAGGGGTCGCAGCAACGAGTACCGCAGGGCCTGCAGCGGTCGGGTACGTTAATTACTAGTCACATGTACTTTTACTTATAATAAGTATTACAGCATACTTATCCAGAGTATTTTGGCTAGTGACAACTTGTTTCTCATTGCGTAGCTACGGTATTAATAACTTAACACTTTAGCACTGACTGACTCATCAAGTGTTAAATAATAAGAATACGTATTTTGCTTTAACTAAGCTACCTACTACGCCGCCATGTTTAACATGACCGTAGATTGAAGAAAAAACCTGATGATCGTTTTCGTACTTACGTTCACTTCTTATAACTGGTGTCGCTGTGTCAACAGCGGAGTGTCTTCAGGTGGCGTTATCACGAGTTCTAGCATGCCCAGTGTCAAGCAGGAAAGTTCTCAACAGGCTGCGCTTGCAGCAACGATTCTAGCCGCTCAACAAAAGCCGTCAGTCCATAGTTCCACACATGCTCCACCATCGGCCGATCTCACCCTTAACATGCTTAATGCCACACACGAGCACGAAGTAGACTCAGTGGTGGGTGTCGGTCTTGCTGGACCGGGACAAAAGCTTCAGTATGCTGATGACTCGAATTAATTTTATTTTCCGCTCTTGGTAGTCGGGCAGTGGGCTAGCGATGGGCATCGTCTTGTACATGTTCATAGTAATAGGCGGTGGTATAGATACGGTTGCAATGGAGTGAGAGAATAGATCTTATATTCAGTTTATAATCGTTTATGATCCTACTCCCTTACAGTGAGGTTAGTCAAGAGGTGGCCAGAGGCCAACCAACGCTCTGGGGAATGATCTTATACCTATTACGGTACCATTACATATGGTAAGTGAGTTGATTCCCTTTTTGTCACTTTAATAAATCTTAAAACAAAATTAAAAATTGTAAATGCCCTATTTATAAGGACATACAGTCTAAAATGTGTCGCTTTCCATTGGAGGTACATGTCTGTGGATTAAAATTTGTTTTAGATACTGTAAACTGGGTTGATTTTGTAACAGCTCAGGTGGGTTTGGTATAGTTAAAACCTATTAAACCTCACGCTTAAAGTAGATATTCACGCAGGTATCAACTTCATACATCAAACGGGCTGCGAGTTAAGCCAATTTGAACGTTATCCGGAACTTTCGTTATATGACCAAGTTTGTCTTTCGGTTTTGTTGACCGACTTAATGCCGTATGTAACATGCCGAACACGTGATTAAAATGATAATAAGCATGTATAAATTTTTATTTATTTAAAAGCATCAGATAATAGAAATTTGGAAATATTCTACGATAGTGATGGGCAGCAATTAGCGATTCTACCGATTATTGCGAAACTTGGCAAGCGTTTGCTTGGTGTGAATATAATTTTAGACTCTGTTACATTGTGTGTAGCCACGCTGAATAAGACTTACCGCTTCACCACGCAAGACGGATAGATTTAGAAGCTTGTGTATCCTTAACATATCGTGTAAGGAAGTTCTAGTAAGCAAGCAAGTGCTTAATTTGGATTTTGTCGCAGCCTAGTCAATAGTATAAATTGGCGCTGTTCAAGTTCTTGAAAAGGGAAACTGAATATACATATATATATTTCGTCATTAAACTTTCGACGAAACGACTTTTCAAGACTTTCAAATGCAGAAAAAGTGTGCTAAAGTCATTCCAGTTCACGGTGTTGTTGTGGGCGGAGCTGGTCACTTCGTACAATCAATGCAAGGTCGACGTGAGAATATTACGTTAACTTTTGTGCCTCCATACTGGTGTGACATTCGCTAGAAAGTACATCTCTGGTTGACCTTAAAGGTGAAATTTTGTTATATGGCAAGCGTGTTTCAATCGATTTGTTCACTTTGTCATGGCTATTTCAAAAGGATAGAATTCAGTTGACTTTTCGGGTCAGTGGAGTGAACATTCATAGTTGCTAGCTTATGGCTGAGTGATGACAGCCATGTACGCTAGCTCTGGATGTATTTGTAAATCACACGTATATCATGCAAGATGGAGTTGCACAGTGTAAATGTGTAAACAAACGTAGATTCCTTTAGCAAATATATCTATGATTATTATCATTATGATCGCCGACAAAGCAGAACTGACAAGGAAGTGTGAATATCGCACATTTTGTAACTATAAGATTAAACTAATTTACGTTTGTTAATAAAGACGAGTTAACAATTTCCGTTTATTTATACGTCGATTCATTGAAGCGCAGTATATTTTTACGAACGTGATAAATATGTATTCTCATAATAGGCTTAAAAAATAGATAAACATTTATATATCGCATGCTTGACGTATTCGCTTACCAATTCATCTCGAAGTAGCTGATGCTCAAAATCCCACGTTAAGAAAAAAAACACGAAAACCGTTGTTTAGATTTAATGATCATATCGTCTTACCAAATCTCCACTTGGTCTAATTGATTGCCTATGCTCCTGTACAACATACTGTGTAAATATAGAATAATATCGTATTTTCTATAAGCGCAAAAAATACCACTGTGCTAATAAGGAAGTGTTTATACATCAGTTTATGCAGTTTTTTTCGTATGTTACTATAAATATAAAATGGATATATATTGAAAGAGCGTCCACCACGTCTTGTTACGGCTAGCCCAAGCGAAGGGCAGGACGCTGTTGCAACATATGTATTTGCGAATTGTGTATATATGTGATTAACCTAGTAAATAAAAAAAGTCAGTTATGCGCATGCATGTGTTTGTATGCGTCATAATCAAAACAGTGATTGTGAGAAATGCGAAACAATAGAAAACGAATAAATCAGTAGCAGCGATTTGTAAGCTAGTTACTTGGATTATTCTGAATCATTACTACCCTCATCCTAGTTTTCTGAAATATCATTCAGTCAGGTACACCAGTGTTCAAGGAATCAATATATATACTGAAACAACAAGAATTTTCCAAAAGGACCAGAAGAATGTATACTTAAACTGTGGCAGTTTTTAAAAATAAAACGATGGTTGTATTTAATCCACAAGTGTAGATTATTAATGTGATTCGCTTGAACTTTTCAAATGATCTCTCGTTGCGCCTATTATTTAATTTGTCGCGCATCGAAAAGTCAGAAAGTAATATTGTTTATAGAGTGGATGAAACTTCCTTCCTTATTGTGTTCACAGCTATTTTTTATCATTATTTCATTTATATCATCATCAAAATTTTCCGTAACATTATCAAAATTATTTTTAGTAAATAACAATACTTACTGTTTGTGTAGCCAGAAAAGGTTATGTCGTGGTCACACAGTGCGGGCGAATTTAGTTTTCCTCAACATGTAGTCATGGAATACCACTATTTGATTTGTCCTCGGCCTTGAGATGAGGAACTGCCACTCCATTTGTTGTGGTTTGTTTCGATCAACTCGATAACAATTGCAGGCGATAACTCCCCAGAAATGTATTGCAAGGAAATTACAACACCAAGTGGCCTGTTAAGGGAAGCAGTCTCCATAAGAGCCTGCATCGATAATAGGTTTTCTTGGCCCCTTTATGGCTCTATGTAACCTATGTGTCAGTGAGTTCTGGATTCTATAGTAACTAATACTCCAAATTCTGTGAAAAGTTTTACCGTTAATACATCTTTAACTGGATCGGATCCTAGCTGCGCCAGTGCTAACGCTTTTACGAATTTATACTACAATGACACTGTTCGACCTGATATCAAATTTGCCGAGCCTCAGCTCCATTAAGAATATTAGTGACATTTTGAATTTAAATCCCAAAATGTTGGTGCACGATATAACCAACGAATGAAGGAAAAATAAAATCATTCAAAAATTGGAAATTGTAATATTTTTAAATATGTGGGTGAGGCAAACGCTTTTCCTAAGTCAATTAATATAATTTCACTTATTATTATTAGAAATGATCCCTAAAAAGTACGCATTTTTCCTTTGCGGTCAGATTTTAGATGCAGTTATTTCGTAGATGGCTTGTTTGTGCCTAGAATTATAACGACAGGAGTTTATTTTTTTAAGTCTGGGCTTCTTGCTGAGCAATAACATAGTTTTACGCAAAGTAGATCTCGTGAAGCCTAGGCAATGTTTTTAAAGAAAAGGAACTTACTAACATGTCTATTTTCTAGGATGTTCGAGGATTTTATCAACAAGTTATTCAAGAAAGCTAGGCTTAGACAGTTACGGCATTCGTAGTTATCCTACAAATAAAAAAAAATTTACTCAATTCTAATTTGTTTTAATTCTAATTGAGTATGTTCTTCAGGAGTTCCACAAATACCATATCCTTAGCCTTATCTATTTAAATTAATAATAAAATCTATTAAAATTTTGTGTTTTAGAACTGCATAGAGTCGGAACTTAGATGATGCGCCAGCCCTTTCATGACACTTTATTAATTGTTCCTTGATCATTGAGGCCGGAATAAGCGGACGCAGTATAAGGGACCAAAAAGAGCAGAGAGCGTTAAATGGTGTGCAGGTTCATATTGAAATCGTGCAAGCAATCGTAGCAAATGAATAATTAATGGCGGTAATGCAGATAAATTTGTGTCACACTTCGGGGGATACAATATCCTAAGAAATTTTCTTCTAAGAAACATTTTTCATAAAGTATATCCATATTGTTTTCAAATCTACGAATTATCAGACATACAGAAGCTCGTGTAAGATTACAAAATGCCATCGATATTTTAGTGAAGTGGAATTCCAATAGCGAGTTAATTCTCTTGGCTTCAAAAAGTGCAACATTTTTGCTGAGCGATGCAAACATTTGTCCAATTTTAACAATGATCTCCTTCTCTTAAAAGAATTTATTCGAGATCTAACCGCTGTCGCTGCTGAGGTTAAATTTGTTTTTCACATTTTAATAGCCCTTCGATCAGCCACTGTGGTATGCATGCAATTTCTCTTTTTATAAAAGAGTAATCTAACTTTTACATTTAACATTACAGAACTGTTGCCTGATTTTGTGCAAAATACATTCACCGCACACAGACTAAACAAATATCAGTCGCGACGAAGTTTTGCTCACACCTGTAAAAATTACATGGAAATGCGTATTTAGAATTATATACTAAACTAGCAAAGTTTTTGGTTAGATCTAACAATTTTTAAAGTATTTAGACTACCCACCGTTGTACTGTGGTATTCGAGTGATTAATTAACAGTATTTTTTTAAAACGTATGCCCCGATGACAGAGACCATAAAAGTATTAATTATTAATAACTATTAATTATTTATTAAGTATTAGTTTCCCTGTGCTTTTAATGAAGCTCTGTTTTCATTTTGTTATTTACCATTTTCTTAAAAGTTTTGGTTTCTTTAACCTTTTACTGTTTACATTCTTATATAAATTATTCAAATATACTCGGTTTCACATAACTGCGTATAATTTAATGTTGCAGTGAGCAGAACTTTACGTTATGTATAGGCTCAAAAACGGGGGCTTTATGCGAATTTATAAAAAAAAAAATGCTTTTTTATACTCCCCGTTATTTCGGCAATTAACTTGTGGCTTGGAATCATATAACATTTTCAATCTATGGTAATACACTTCTACAACAATACGAGGCCGCACTTGGCTAATATTCTAAGGATCGCTTTACAAGAGCTTACATGGGGCGGTGGGTGGGGGGGGGATATCTTGCATTCACCATACTCTTCAGATTTCGTACTTGCAGATTATAACCCTTATTGGCACCCACTGGCAAATAAGGTTAACAATGACTAATAATAATACTAATTCGAGATAATATAGAAAATATTAGTTTTGTATATATATATCAAAAATATGTCCAGATAACGCAAATATGTTAATAACGACCTTGCACAATTCTAGCACGCCAAGCTGTAGTTCTTCACCTTTTCCTTTTTGCTTCTTTTCACTCACTTCGATTATCCTAGTTTTCATCATATTTCGGATCACCGGCTACCCAAACGTTTCTTAAATGAGATTCTCTATTTCTTGTTGAAGTTGAATTGCACGCTTTTTCTTTATGTTCAGCTAGGTCGTTGTCAATGTCAATTTAGACGTATTAGTGAACGATATATAATTAACCCTTGCAATAGGTTCAGACAAGTCTGGTTTTTGTGCTTCTAAAGGTAGCGATCACGCTCCCCAGACATCTGTTTTCGTTGCGGAGTCTCAGGCCGACCAAACTCACTGAAATTAGTGTAAAGCTATCCCCTAATTCTCGAAATGTTCGGACTATACAAATGTACAAATAAGGTCGAGAAAATGAATCGTTGATCGAAGAGGGATTTGTGGTGAACCGACCGACACATGTTTGCCTGACAGCAAACAGCAAAAGGATGCTTGTTATTGTTATCATTTCGTGCACTACAGTATATTAGGTTGTTCAGTCTAAAATTAAGGTTAGTTTCTTATCCTAACATGGTGCTATTTTATGATGGTGCGGCGATTCGCGGGTTTTATTTCGTTTTCTAGATGCATTTGTACTTTCTGGATTGCAGTAAGCAATAAAGAACAGTCAGAATGTGACCTGAAAACAGCATTATGCCTGCAATAGCTTTTGGTGCCGTTTTGATGGTCTGGTTCAGGTGTGATCCACTAAAGTTTCATGAGTCCTGGTTTGTGGACTACGGCTAAGGGTTGCTGTCAGCGATATCACACGACACCGCTCAACCTCCTACCACAAGAAGATCGTTAGCAAAAGTGTAGAAATTACAATGGAATCTTCCTATTATACACAATATTTGCTAAACATTATTTCCACAAATTATCATTTTTTCAAGATCTCAATTACTACTGTTTATATGAAAATTACTCAAATTTTAACATAATACGGACATCATATTCAGAGACATTGTAGACGCTCATATCCCAGATTCCTACAGAAATGAACTAAGTTATTATTCAAATCGTAGAAAATCATGAATGATAATGGTATATACTGCGATTAAAAATAGAAGAACTAGCCTTGTGAAAATAGTTTCGAAACATTAGAGTTGATTATCTCGTACTTGAATGACTTAACATATTGAACCTTCAACCTGATGAGCTTGAAGATGGTTCCTCCAGTGTTTATTTCGGAGGTAAATCAGAATGTACAACGAGCTACTTTAGTTCTAGCGATGACTGAAACAGTGGCAAAGCTGATACCAAAAGCTAGTATGGCATAATTCCATTTTTAGATTTGGACATCTGTATAAAAGTTTTTTACACAAAAAGGTATCAACTTACACAGTAAGGATGAGAGTCATGAACTGGGACACCACATCGTTAAAAAGATCTAGCATGCAAGCGAAAACTATTTCCCGTGAGAGAAGATTGCTAGTCACGCCAGTAACGTCAGAGGAACGCATGAAGGTTATGTAATTGCAGGGCCCAAGGAATGCGTCAAGAGAACCCTTGAACACAACAAAGATACGGTGAGCTCGTTTTAAATGTGGTGTTTGTTCTCGTGAGCCGCATCGCACAAGGTGTCGAGGTATACATACTCTGACGAAAACCATGTCGTCCGTGGAGGATTACTTTTCGATACTACAAATAATGGACCAATGTCTTGCGTAGTGTTGATAACAAGATTTTGCGGTACTAGCTTTTCTTGGCTATGTGTCTGTGTGATGTGCCAATATTAAGATCTCGTGTTGCTTACAGACTTCGTAGAAACCGACTTTTGACCAGTCAAACGGGACACGTCCGTTTTCTAGGCTCACATTAGACAACACAATTCAGCAAAGCTTGAATCATACTGCATCCTCTAGGCGAGCGTCAAGAGCGGGATGAAAGCATACCTCTTCTGTTTGAGGCGATAGCACGCAATACCTTTATGAATAATATCGATCGGGACCGTTGTAAATAATTGAACTTTTCGACATATGATATTATTACTACCCCACAAAGCTTACCAATGTTGCCTTTGTCAGGTTTGTTAATAATGCAACAATGAACATCGCTGGGCGTGCCGATGAGCGATCAGATACGGGCAGGAACAGGTAAATCAGTCGTCAGTAATAACTGTTGGCACTTTTGAACCGGCAATGTTGATAACGTGCGCTAATTACGTGGTCAACGTTCTCTGTCAGAGTAAGCTCTAAAACGACATTAACGTGTGGGCGACGGAAACTTTGAAGCCATCTTCCGATAGTGTAAGGTCTGGGTTTTTTACTCATAGAATACAACAGAGACATTTCCGTTGGTCCTCATTGAGTTTGCTTGTAATAACGAAATAGTAGAAGAGGTCCGTATGCTAAATTTTTGGCTAGTGTTTCCATTCATATTTCCCCATCATACTTTTGGGCAATATATGAATACGGTGAGAAAAAATGGAACCTTGGTCTTCATTTTGCTCTTCACCATTTTTTTATTTCCCATCTACATTCATGTCTTAGTTTTCATCAACGTCGTCGTTAATTTTTTTTGCAAGCCACAATATTCGCTAATTTTTATCAGTATCGTGTTCGTGATTCACATTATTAATATTAGTATGCATGGCGGAACATATTTCACTATGGATTTATATTTCGAATTTGGCGTTTTGTATATATATATATATATATATATATATGCACGAATCCGTAAGGAGAGGCTCAGTAATGTTGGTATAGTGTATAATCCTATACATACAATACTAATTATATGTAGTTATTTTTCTTTGTTAGATTTATTATTCATTCGAAGAATGAGTTGGTGGTCTGCAAACTCTGTATATATGGTTACAGTGTTCACGAATAATAAGTGTGTCTATATCTACTTCTTTGTCGCTTCACCTCATCATTATTCTTATCACCACATGGTTATTATGCATAATTATAGTATATGTATATACATTTTGCGCACTTTGTCATTATATTACGTATCCATCGTCCATTGACCTTGGCTGTGTGGCGTTATCTCACTTCATTAATCAGTACTTTTCAACAAGAGATGTTTGTTAAAGAAATGTGCCACACTTGTGTAACGGTCGATTTGAATAGAGTTGTTTGTGAGGTCCGCTTCTTCAAGCTAGGCAAAGAACAGACGGGACAAGACCTGAGCCAGCCGTGCGTCTTCTGGGTGTCTGTCGATTAGGACTATAACAAAAATAGGTAAAGACGATCCAGTCCAGCCTGTTTAGTTACACCTGCAAAAAGGCTTTTGCTTTGGTCGAATACTAACCAGCGTGTATAACCTCATTGTCTGTCTCTCGGACATCGTCATCACTGTTACTATTATTAAATTATCCCTGTCAACGACATCGCATTGATTCTAGAAGAGGGATAGGCACGGGAAGGCCATGGCTAATTACACAAACTGTTCAATTAGTGTATTTTCTCCGTAAGAGGACAGTCAGTAGAGTTAAATGATTTCTATTGGTTATTAATAACGGTATCGTCATTATTATTAGCAATGTCATTTCTAGTGTATTTTTCTAAATATTTTTCATATTTTTACTATTTATGTATATATCATCATCGTTGCTTTATATATATACTTATATATATATATATATATACTTGCGTAAGTAAAGTTGGTGTTCCAACGGAACGCGATCACTTTCATGTCTTCGGCGCACGCGGAGAACATTCATTCCGCTCTAATAGCGTCTGCTTTTCTTTAGCTGCCAATATGTCATACTCGGGTTTCAGGGAACATAAATCTTTATGTTGTTTCATGTTGACATAGGACTATATTACTTACCAACAAGTAAATCATCATCATCAGTATTGTTCAGTTTTTTTATCTGTCCACGTTTTCTATAATAAGCAAGTAATCAAATACAGCAGAAGCAACAGTTAGCTTCTCTACTAAGCCTGTTGTCGAACTTTACAGCTGATCGTACAAGGAAGCTGTCATCATTTCAGCTTTCAGCACCTGTTGCTTTTCAATTGAATTCCGAAGCCGATTGTAATGTGTTCTCCCTTAAGCCCAGAAAGGAGCACGTCGGGTAAAGCTTGATGCATTAATGGGATGATTTAGATCAACTATCTTGAAGTTTTAATGGCGTAATTGGTTGGTTTGCTGTGGTGCCTTGCAGTTGTTTTCTATCAGCTCAGATAAGTTGACGTATCATCATTACGTTATTATTATTATTGGTATTTCTTGCTGGCGGCCTCAGCTTCCCTTATATATAGCCCATGTCACATCTGTTGGCCACAGAGGTCGCCAAGTTATTTCGTTGCCGAGTAGAATCAAATGTTCTTCATATATACTTCCTAGAAACAACTCGCGTCTTCGAATATATGTTCTGGGTTTCGTCCTGTAGCAGCAGGCAAGATGCACTCATTACGTGGTTTCTCCTTACGGAATGAATAAATAACACATGGAATTTACCTTAGTACCGTGTTGTTTAAACTAATGCTGTAGATTTTAGAATTTCTATTGATAATGGTTCCTAAATAGGATTTTAAAGAGTCGAACTTCAAAAACAACCCATTATTCTTCCATTATTTCACTCAAACGGCGGGTAATAGTCAAGAGGAGACGCACCAACTTCTTAACGTTCTAATAAATTCATTACTTTTCTTTATGTTGATAATAAGATCATCCACTATCAGCATTCATGTAGAGCTGCGAACAATATCTTACGGTGAGATGGGTGGGAAATCCAAAGAATTAACGGTTTTTTGAGAGCTAATTAAAAATGCACCGCACGCCTGGTGACACTTTTGACTGTACTCATAATACGGCTATCGACAACTACAGGCAACGGAACAGGACATGGCACACAGAAGAATAGGCATAATATTTACGTTGTTATAAACTAATGTATTGCAAAAATGTAACGTTAATGTAATGCCAATCAGCGATACAATTCCTATGAAAATAAACTTATTGGTTGGTTAGAGTAATAGAGCCGGTCGGCCCTTGACCTCAACCAAGATTCCACTATTTAGTATACATAGAATAAGCATAATCTAGAGGACTGGCTCTAGAATATGCTTTCGTTATATACATATAGGAATTATTGCTTTTACCTCTTACAGGTCGTGTCGATCGTTATCTTCTAAGCGCAGACCGTACTTATAATATAATAGTAGTATACGTGTAGCTGATGAAGTATCGGGTTTTGGTTTAACAGTTCTAGTAATTTATTGGCTTCGGCAGCAGAATGAATTCCATTCTTTTTTGGTTGGTTTTTTTTTTGTCAATATACACAGACTGCGCTGCATCGTTATATGTGACTGTTACTATTTGTTCAGTGCACGAACTGCTGTTGTTGCGGCTGAAGCTGGATTTTCGATTGATTGTTGCTCATATTACTAGAACAAATAGATGTGTAACAAGTAAGTAATTTATAAAAAATAAATATGATTATATCATGGTAATTACAGCAGATTGAGATGTTTCCGGTTAAGATTATTACACATTTAATAAAACGCTGGATACTTTTGAAATGAAAAATTCCTGTACCTGAGCTTGGTTTCCTCAATGGGTGATTCTTCGTTGGTGTACGTGTCGTAACGAAGTGTCGTGGAACCCATCACCAGTGACTGTGACAAAAATTTTAATCAACTTAGTCAGGTAATCAACATTAACAGCGAATTTTATCCAAGTAGACAAAAGCATTCAATTTGTTAACGAGTAAACCTTCGACAAAAAAGCACCTCCAATATTTCTACATTGTACCAATCGCGGCCTAAGTTGGATATCTGTGTATTAAACGTGTCTCAAAAAGCATACGATAAGTGTTATTACTATTGAGATGTACCAATGATTTTTTATGCAAGAGGGAATATAAACACAAGTAAACAGTACCTGTGTTCGAATCATCACATACGTTTCAAAGTATTAAATTGATTTCAACGTTACAGTGACATAGCGCAGGGTTTCATTTTAGTCAGGAATAGATAATTTAAGTTTATCGAATTAAAATTAAAAACGGACAACAGTAGGACCGTTACCTGTATCTCGAATAGCAATCGATCTTGCTTCATAAAATAGGTTGTGGCCTAGCGCGAAGGTATGAGTTAGTTTCAATCCCAACTAAAACTGTTGTAGATACAAGTAATAAGTGGAAAACAAATCCAAATGTGTTATGGGTACTTAACACATCGGGCTGTCTACTCCGAGGAATAGGGCGTACACCGATAATTTTCGCCGCGTGATTTAATATATTATGGTGGAGAGAAACTTGTAAGGTTGTATCGGAGATGGTCGGTTCACCAGAATAATTATCGAATAGACATCTTTAGCTAATTATTGTTGAAATACTAGGCTGGTCGGGTTGTTAATAATCAATATGGTTGGTCAATGAAGGTGCTATGGGCAACAACGTACGCGTCCCTCGTCTCTCGCAGTAGGCGGGTCGCGCAGCACGAATAGAAGCGGTGCATAGCAGATGCAGACAATTCCCGTCAGGTAGACCAAACTAAACGAACGTAAAATTTCATCAAATGGTTAGTTAGTTAGTTATCAATTGAATTATCAATTATAGACAACAAAAGAATATGAGGCGATAAAACGCCAAATATAAATCATACGTTGAACCTAAATTTAATTTACGTGGTGACAGCTTAATATTTTTCATCAGCCAACGAATTTCTAATGCACACTTGTAGAATCGGTACAAGATTTGTTGAAGGTAACTTTGTTTATTATGTCCGCTAATGGCGGTACTGTTTAAATCAGTGTACCTACAATAAGCTCAAGCTTTTCTTTCGTATAAAAAAACATCCTATCCGAATCGTTTAGTAAGTATTGCTGAAGGATTATCTGATATATGACGTAAATTCTTAACTGATACTAACGCCTTAAAGCCCAAGGTCTTTACGACTGTCGAAGAGACGAGTGGGCCTAGCACAAACCCAACACAAAAGGCGGCGTCGCCTATAGCGTATACCGATCCATAAACCGACGTATGCCTAATATCGACCAAGTAGCCAAGCATCGGCATCATCGATGAGTCCACCATTCCAATGGCGAACCCAATGCCCGCGTTTGGGAGAATTAGTTGATTTACATTACGAGCCATCGGGATCTGAAAAACAATGAAGAGGTCAGTACAGCTATTCCTCTTTACCATCTGGCTGTCAAATTTGCGAATATGCAAAGTTATATGATTCCTTAAGCTCTGCAAATAAACACTAGTGATTCACAGACGCGATAAGTACGCGAGATATAAAACTGACTTAGCTTCGAAGATTAGTGCGAGATACTTCTCACGAAATATATGTATCTGCCTGCTCCCATAGATAAATACATGCTGGAAACTATCAAGCAGTTCATAAATATTCTATTGAGATATTCATCATCGTATTGTGTTTTCAATTAACTATGTGTCTACTTACGCAGAGCAGAGAGAGTCCTATGATGATGAGGCCAACCATGGTGGATAACCAACGACCGAGTTTGTGGCCTAAAGGGCCAAATAAGTTCGTGCCAATGAGGTACGAAATGGAGGCCGGCAAGAATACAGCACCTAAAGCAACGCCCCCAAGGCCGCAGGTTAAACTAGTTGGATCATTTTCTATAGAATCGTGGTTAACTTAATGTGATTTTTATTTTCATTTGTTTCACTAAAAATAATTAGTTACTAGAGAAGAGCTGTGTTTGCCTTGAGAATTACTTTATGCCTCATTCTGCGCGACCCAGTGCAAACTTTCAAACAGGACTGACCAAGTCATATTCAGAGTAGGTTGTTTTCTATCTCAGTGGTACCTGTATATTTATGCTCCAACTTAGAAAAAATTGAAGGGCGGTAATCACACCTTGTTGCCATTTGGGCGTGTGCATAGTGTCCATAAGCCATAGGGGCAAAGAAGGTTCGAGTACGGCGATACCTAAGTTGGCAAATGTAATCGCCCCAGCGGCGATCACGATGTACGGGTCACGGAGCAGCTCACTTAGAGATGCCCCTTCAATATTTCCTTGGGATATGGACGGCTGCAGGATTGCCAACTGAAGCACTGAGGAAAGAACAGCAGCAAAACCAAAAATATTACAGGCCATCAAAAAATAGGCTCGAACCAGCTTATAAAGGGTAATATATACGGCAAAGCATTTGCAAATGCGAAATCGAGCCAAACATTATAATTGTTGCTGAAATGTAACACAACGATACAACTTTTCTTTTCGATTATATTCTATGTAATACGATAATAATCATAATACCACTTAACACGTATTCAAGTGTAGATTTTTAAGCGGATATTTACTATAGTCATGATCACGCAGTTACATGGTATGCCATATGCACATAAAGCATATACCCAAAGCGTCCATTTTGAATGTCCGTAATGTTCATCTCATACTTACATCCATCAAAAAGCGTAACGGCCGCTAAGACCAAAAATGGGGCAGATCGTGACACAAACTCGTACATGATACCGCCATAGGGTGGCCCAATCATGACACCCAAAGCTAACCCAACGCCCATAGCAACGGCCATAGCGTTTCCTCTTTCGCGATCATCAGGAAACTTATCAGCGAGCATGCCCATGCCGGCTACAGAGGTACAAGCCGATCCGACGCCTTGCAAGGTTCGTGCGAAAAACAGGGTACCATAGGATGCTCCAATAGCGAACACTATAAATAGCAAAGCACAATGTACTGTGAAAACATCGATGCTGAGACTTGAGCTAATAAAATCTGTCTTAACTTGCCCTGGCTTAAAGAACTCACGTTGCTGTCACTGCTGCTAAAGCCTGTGATTTCTGGCCAGACTAAGAAAAGATCTCCGTAGCGACACTGTGATAGCGTAGTTACTCATAATGAGCTGCTTAAGAGAAAACTACAGGAAACCTTTTTGTTTTGATTGTTCATTAATAAAGAACATAACATGTCTAAGTTAGCGGCGGAACTCTATTTAGTTGATCTTTAAATGATGATCTATATTAGTTTAATTCAACAGTTTTGAATAGAGTCCATAGAATCTCAGTAGCTAGACAAGAGATGGTTGTACAAGTAGTCGCACGAAATTTTTTCTGGCAGGTACGTACCGAGCGTAGATAAAAACATAATGACGAAGCCGGCGAACATAGGAACTGTATACCCGATTCGATTAGTAACTTCGCCTACCAGCGGATTTATTAAGGCTTGAACGACAGGCTTCGAAGCGAATAATAATCCCACCTAGAATTTCAAGCAATACATCGTTTCGAGTATTACCTAGTCCTAAAGATTATATAGTTCAGGATAAACTGGTTCATGAAAATAAAAGACAAGAGGAAAAGAGCTATTTTCTTTATCTACGTGGATTAATTTTAGCCTCAACTGTGTAGCGAACTTTGAGAGTGCAAGTTACATTATGATATGCCCCAGTAGAAAACAGCTTCCTCCCCTGATTATATGCCGCGTACTTTTGATGCCACAAAAATGCTCTCGTTTAGTGATTCGACGAACTCTTCTTGCCTAACGAAAAGCTTCTGGCGCATCTATAATTCTAGTATTTTCGTAGGTCGTTTGCAACTGACGGATCTGCTTCTCCTACAATCTAAATACACAACATTTAATATGAACCATTCTTACCTCAACATTTTCATCTTTCAGCATCTCGTGCCGAAGATTTTCTTCCCGTTCTTTCTGCCTTCGGCTTTCAGCTCGATCAGGTTCTTGATCAGGGACCAAAGTTGAGCCACTTCCGATTTCGCTATATCATTTTTCGACGTAAGGGGAGCTCGGTTAATAATCCATCACAACTATGGACCTGATGGTCTGTAGGCCAAATCCTACAAGCGAGGCTGGCGGCCTTAAACCATAACGGGTGCATAGTGTCGGGAAAACAATTCAACGATTTTTGCGACTTGATTGAGGAAAAGAATTTTGATACACAACATTTTTTCTGTCGTCGAATATCAGTGGCCACTCCGTGGTTTTAGGCTGCTTGAAAAATACGGCTTCGTAAACTACGATAAGAACTTACGAGAAAAAGCTATTTTTTAACTTAGTCAGACTGTATAGAATACGTATTTTAAATTAGATAGCGCGTTTTATAGCATCGAGTAATCCAAAATTGACGGTTTCATTCGTAACTAGATTTTCAGTAAAGGTATTAATGCAAGTTGTAGGACTTAGTCAAGGAACGAGCATTGCTTTACAGATAAAGGCAGATTTGATTTTTTTTTTTAATTCGATAGACTGAGCAATCCGCGCAACCAACATGAGTTAATTCCAGCTACGAGTAATTCAGTTAAACTTACATAATGCCGCTGGTTGTGGTCCGCGTAACTGTATTTATAAGATCTGGGCCTGGAATATCTGTGGCGTTCTCCCGAGACATAGTTGATGTCATCGTAGTAACAGGAAATGCGGTTGTCTCAAAAAATGTTTTATTCTCTTCGAGTAGTTCCCGCTTGTGAAGTTCGTATAGAAAATCTGGAATAATTGGTACTGGAAAAAGCAGCGGAGTAAAAACTAAATTAGCAGATGAAAATGATACGGTCTTCGTGCGTTTAGTCCTACTTAAGTTACTCAAATTATATTAATATGATGACAGTAGAAACTGTAATCTACTGATTGTCAGTATACCAGCCGAGTTCGTTGATGACGAATTAGCTTGTGTACTCTTGTCGGATCAACTATTCTTTTAGCATTTGAGCCTTTTTTATCTCTCCCTTGGTTAAAGATTATAGAAAGTTTTAATCGGAATTCACTATCCCTGAGGCTGGTACTTTGTCTCGTCTGTTTGTTTTGTTACACCGAAATTGATCTAAAGAGCAAGTATATAAAACTTATCGTTGGTCGATCCTTTTTTTGGCTTAGATTTAATTTGGTCTTAGTTCTCGTTATTAGATCTAACAATCTAAATTCATTAGCGAAGGCGCTTTTTTAGCTTCTGCATACACGTAGTCTGTACAGAAAAGGCTAAATACTATAAAGGTATCAGGTATTGCATTCGAAATGATGTGTAAGATGAAATTGAACTTGTCTTTTGTATTTACGTATTCAGCCATGCTCGTTTATAAAGCTCTTTGGTTTTCCGCAGCTAGACTAACATGTATTTATCAATTCGCATAGTCCTTAAAAAGCCATCTTCATTGAAACTTGCGGGTGATTGAGGCTTTGTATTTATCTTGCTCCTGAGATGATTTCTCCCTGACTGTGTGTGCGTGTAGGTGTTCGTTCGTTTGAGTAAAAGGCAGATATTGGCCTCTCTGCTTCCTCATTGATTTGAGATGTCCGGATGACGGACCAACCCTTTGTGTCCCTTGTTTTCATAGCTTACCCATCGGCCCTCTTCTTCTTGCCCCCCTCTATTTTTGTAATGCTGTTTTTTTTCCCTGTCTGTGTCATGTTTCATTGTTGCTTAACACTCTCTAGGCCTCTCAAGCCCCTACCCAGTGTATTTCGCTGTTGTTGTTATGTGTTTATAAGAATGTATTCCTCAGTGTTTACTTTGAGTGTATGCGTGCGTGTCTTTCCTAACATCGTAGAATCTTTGTACGTATTCATGTAAGTGATTGTGACTGTTCCCGTTTGCTGTGACTGAGCGATTTGGTCTCACTCCGTATGATGCGCTATGCAAGAGAAACAATATATGTTTTTTCTCTTTTTGTCAAGGCTAGTTGGCAAGGGCCTACATATTTTGATTTTAGTCCGCTTTGTAAACTTCTGCACACGTTGATATATAGCAAATAATGATATTCAATAATTTTAGATGGACGTGTTATGTATACGATTCGATAAGCAATCACTTAGTTGTTGTATAGAAATGAGCTACAGATTGATTACTGCAAATGGAAATGTGTTCAGGAAAAGGACTTACAGTTTCGCCAATTTTTGTCGTCACTGACACCTACTATATCCTACATAAACCTCTCCTAAATGAAACGAAGTAATTGGGAGGCTACATTCTCGATATAGGCAGTGAATACATCATGAACGCCATTATAAGAAAGGAGTTAGTGCAATTAAAAGCAGTCGGTATTCGTGTAGAAAAGATTAATTGGACGATGCTAGCTATTCTTAAAGGCAGGGTCTTCTGAAGTATAGTGTGATATTTTGGTAATGAAAAACTGGCAGTTGGGAACAAGGTAAGTATGACATACCCAACAGTAAAAAGAAGGTTATTAGTAGTGGCGGAACTTCGAGCGACAAAATGTCACCTTCTCCTGTACATATCTCTATAACCATAGAATAAGTAAGGTATTCCACGCATTGGCAAGACCAAACTATAAAAAGATTCTTGAATGATTTTCTACGTATGGTATATATGCTGAATCTTAAATACTACGCTGCCTGCTACCTCTTCCGAGGGCGAAGCCGAAAAAGAAAATGAGGAAAAATTATGAGTAATTACTTTGGTCGTTCTTGCTTAATACTTAATCACGAAACAAATTGTAATGGTGGAAAAATTTTAAGAGTAATTGGAAATAAGTTTGAAATATATCTACGACTTGGTAGCTAGTCAATACGTATTTTAGTTATACAGGGACGATTCTACGCTTGTAGTATTCACAAGAAAAGTTCCTTCTAATAGCGTGTGGACATAATTGACATTTATCTAACACCAATAGGATCACATTAGCATCAAGAAACCAACTTTCCAGCACCAAAAAGCTTTTTGCTGGTATATTAGAGATTGCTACTTCGCGATTTTAGATTCAATTTTTTATAGTTCTTGCTATGAACTGTGCGTGTTGACCAAACAGAAACGAAACGATACAAAAGCTAAAAATAATAAACCAGATATTTATACTGCACTCCGCAAAAAGCCAACTTGCTATTATATACAGACCCTTTCAGTTTTAACTTGTACAAGGATATCCGATAGAGAAATGACCGACTGTCTAAAATAATTTCCTGCGTTTCGAGTCCCGGATATTCGCAGATTGCGAAAATACGACACAACACCAGCAAATATAAATTATAATTTGAGGTCGATCTGTGTAGCCTCAATCTTGCGCACTATCTTCAGGGCCTATCTCTCTACAGTTATTTTTTATGCGCGTAGAATTTATTCTGAATCAAGCATTGCGCAATCTAAGCCGGTTTTAGCTCAGTTTGGCCCTAAGTCAGTCTTCCTTTATACAAAAGGCTTCGTTGGACTCGATCTCTCGCGAAGTTCTATTCGGTCATCCTGTGTAACACGTTACACGTTTGAGATGCTTATCAAAGTATTAGCATGTAGATGGCCCTTTATCTATGGTTTTACCTTTATTTTTATTAATGGAATGGTCGTCTTGATTCTCCTCGATCTACATTTTTTTATCTGACTTATGGTAAGTATACATCATACCAATTATATCTCACAGTGACCCTAGCATACTCCTGCGAAGTCTCTAGAAAGGGGTCTTAGTACTACAAGTACTTACTGCTATCTGGTGGCGTTTCCTTCATGGGAAACAGCGCCACCCATATGTCTTCCCCATTATTGGTCAGAGCGTTCTTCTTTTAGCGTCTCCTAAACTTCGTCTCCGCTCTTTCGCCCGAGTGGCTCTTACGGCTTTCCCACTTGAGGCTCTAACCTTTCGGTATGGACCTAGTTTCCTCTTGCGAAGTTAGCTAGCAGTCACCACCCTTATCGGCACGGTTTCACAATTAGTCTACGGGTTAAGACAGACTTCAAGAGGAAGGAACCATGTAATGCTATAGTTGCTGTAGAACTCTTCGGTTCCCGGAGGATTTTCTATTTGGTTGTGCCCGCTTAGATCAGAATGGAGTATTCATTCTCTGTCAATTGACTCTATCGACAGTTTCTGTTTTCCTGACAGGATCGACTTCACTCAGGCGTCCAGCAACAGAGCAGGATGTCAAGAGGAGACAGAAAAAAGACGAATCCAGATACGATTCTTAGACAAAGCCGTCTTAGAAAATTAACATACGTACACTACGTACGTAGGTTTAATCATAGACCGTAGCAGCCTGAATTATAGTTATTACCATACGCAGGCTAAAATGAGAATCTTTCTTATACATTATTTCTAAAACTGTATCCAACCAAAAACAAATGATTCAGCAAACTTGTTTGCATCTGCTAAAGGTGTCATCACCGTCCAGCGGGATCGTGGCTTTAATTCGGGCCCTAAGCTAGGTAATTAGTCTTACTTAAAAATATTATGGTTTTAATACGAAACTAATTTAAACAATATTAGTCGGTGTAAACTAGTTTATTTGCTTAAGTGTCGCTCAAATACGCTACACAGGAAAGATCAACGTAATTAAATGTTGGCCTAACAGCAGGCTAGAGATCCCTAGAATGCAAGGGCTTGTTAAAACAGGCAAAAGTAAAAAAAGTGCTACAAAAGCGTAAAGGTCTTAAAAGCCCTGATACTGCGAGTCGTGGATAAATACGTGCCCATTACGACAAAGAACTTGTAAATCTTCTCCCAACTTGCTTCCTATACGTATGCCTACTCTTCTCTATTCACTCTATGATAATCTCAATGATTTGAGTTTCATGTCCGGTATCGCCGTTTGGCTATCTATAAGCCGCAGAGCCCCCAATACGGAACAAAGTTTGTCTATGTTTGGGTTTCCACATTTCATGCAAATACGTTACCCATTAACCTATCACCGGGACATAGTAAGATGACCTGCCAGCAAATAATTAAGGTGCATGTATGTAAGGAGTTTATAGAGCTACGCAATTTCACCTATCTTACAATAAAAAATTTTAGTTTAGGTCTAGTTGCAATGATTATGTATGTTCTATTCGAGATAGATGAGGAAACAGAAACTTCAAGAAATTTAAAAGGGTCCAGATCTGGACCATAATGGCTAGGCTTCCTGGTCTTTCGAAACTTATACGTCAGCAGAAAGATGAAAGATGTGAACGACAAGTAAAAAACAAGTGCACTTATACTGTGTAAACAGACAGAAAATGTTTAAAGGTTATTTTTTACAGTTTATAGCTAAAGAAGAATCTGCGAACGAACTCATAATGCTTGATAATTCTAACGTTCTTGTTTACAGTAGGGAAATAGACATTTTTTTCACTTTTTATTTTCAATTGCATAACAAAAAAACCATCTGCCCAGCTGTCGAGTCTCCGAAATTACAAAAACAACCGTGCAAATTTTCTGGCACTATTATCAAATAGTACTTGTATTGCCTATAAAGCGGCGGAGATAGAAATCGTATCTTGAGACGCCTTCGCTTCCAAGGTGATCAAATGGGTCCCATGAAAAAGGTGTTCGTGTCTTCCCCAATTTTGTTTCAGACGTCTTTAGAGCGCTTCGGTGAGGTATTAGAAGTCTTTAATTAAACCATAACACAGGAACTTATGATTGGCAATTGGCAGATTTCATGACGTATGGGACATTTTATATAACAGATTCAATAGATTACTTCAAAATTTCGCAAATATGATTAAATCTGTTATCAATAGTGTAAATAAGTACTTTATTTGATACTAAGAGCAATCAGAGAACGCAGACTATAGTTGGGTAGTCGGATCTCAAAAAAGGTTTATTCGTAAAAAATTACCAAATTCTCAACGATTCGCTGTCCTCGTGAGTACTGACGCCGGTAGAGGACATCGTAGGAATCAAAAGTGACTTAGTGTTTGGGCGTATCTTTCCTGTTATGCAATCAAGAGAAATTCGTTCGACCTGATAGGCCGAACGATATCTTTATAGTGTTTTTATAATATAGAAACACGTCCTGGATATCTCTTAGCTAGGCCTGTAATCTATTATCTAGGTATGTTAGGCCATATTTTACGACTACGTCCAATTAGATAGCATCGATTTTCGCTACCATTATTCCGTAAACCCATACAAGAAATTAAGCCTACGAAAAAAAATGTTATTTCTGCACATGCGTATTGTAAGAGTCATGTTAAAAGTTTACATGCCAATACCGTACTACAGTGGAAAAACTAGGTTCCTTAAGAAACATATTATTCACGAAAGTTAGAAATATTTTTTTTCACTTACTTCGATAAGTGCGCTTTTTTATGATACACCATTTCAGCCATAATAATAATACACAAATTATTCTACTAATAAACACGAACTAAAATAATAAATTTACACTAGATTTTGCCTTTGGCAATAAAAAGTTGCAGCATCTTGTAAAGGACGGTTCTGCTCTCAAATTATTCAGCCCAAGTCTGACTATTCAATTTTATTGTAGTTGATCGCCGAGCCATAGACGCTTTTTAGACAGCAAAACTTGCAAACTTAAGTCACATTGTATTTTAAATCGATATTTTCACTAAGCGCCTTAACAGACAACAATACAAGAAGCACACACAACGACTTTTAGTTTTTCTGATCATCTAAATATCGCTACAGCATAGTGTCTCGTCAAAAAGCATGTATTCGTTGAAAGAAAATAGATAAAAGATATATATATATATATATATATATATATATATATAAGCGCAATCTACGCTTTCAAAAGCTCCAAAACTATAGTTTTGGATATGATAGTGACCTTCAAAGAGTTTGTGTAAACCGTCACGACATTGTTGAGTGCTGACCCCACCGTAGTCAAACATAACAAGCTCATCTACCTTAACCACCCAAAAAATTTTCTTACTTCTTTTTCTAATCCATGTTCCTATTCTTCATAAAGTAGGAAAAATGAAAATGACAGCAAGCTGCTATTGAGTTCTGTCATCTGAAATATTTCTAATCCTGTCTCAGCCATATTACGAATCAGCTTTTCAACTTCCGTCTGCCAATATTCTGAAATTTTACAGAAAATGTTCTAGCTTTTCACGTCTGGTACTCAAGCCGTTCGGCATTATGTCAGACTGGTAACCCCCAGCATGAGACGAAATCTGTTTACGCCCAGATTTGAATCTAGACCGCCACGTCTTTAGGTTTAACAGACAATTACATTGTCCACTATGGTATTACAAATATTAGACCTGTAACCATCCAGACAGTAGCATAGTCTCAAGAATCCGGCGGGTGAAAGTGGAGAATTCGGGAATTGCGTTTAGAGTAACTTGATGTTAGTTTGCTTTGGTTTTCTAAGCATTTAGCTGTGTGTTCCCTAAAAAGTTTTAAAAAAGATTTATAAAAAGAGATCACTTCTTAACTTCTGAAACGCGACCGCAGAGTAAGAACCTGTTATTATAAATAAATTGTGGCAACATGTCCTCCCTTTAATTAATTTAATATTCGAATTGATTTTTGCTTCCGCAGTAATAGTTCGTTCAGTAACTTATTTGAGTATTTTCTGCCCTAATTGCTGCAATACTTAACTTACTGTTTTAGTCTAAAACACTTTTGGCTACCACAAATAGTAACGATTATTCTGTACATGCAAATAAAATACGGATGCTTTCTGGTGGCCTTCATATAACACTCCTTTATCATAACAGTAGTAAAGAGCGAAGCAAAGAGGCAAGACTATTAGTTCTGTTATTGATTTGGTCGGTCAAACTGCTTTCATTTGTCCAACGCAAAAAATGAGGTTTCAACCTTGCTTGGTTTTTCCTACATTTCATATATAGACCAGTCCTAATTTAAAGTAATTCTTAAGCGCTAGACTGAGGGAAACGAATGAGGAGATCCGCTCCAGATATCTTTTCTAACAAATAACCAATAAGAGACGTTTGCTTATATATCTGACACCCAATTAGGTTTGTTTACAGAACAACACTTCAATTTTTCGACTCTCAAGATTCCTGCACTGTTCCTCTCCTTCTCTGTAATGCAGTGGTCGGATACAATGCCATCATACATTGCCAATATTTTAATGGAATTTGTAGAATTAAATCCTAAAGACCATACCCAGCTTGCAGAAAACACGCAAAGATACGTATATGTATGTACGTGTGCCGCTGTACAAAAGCACCAATGACGTCAATACGTAATTCGGTAAAATTGTCCCTCGAATTGGATGTTCTTTTCATTGCGGTCAAGTCAATGCAAGCACCTATTGTCGAAAAAAACGAATAACAACCATGACCTAGCATACAGACACCAAATATAAAAAAAAAAAAAAATGTATATCTAAGTAACTGCGAAAATTCAATAGTAAACAATTATTTTCTAAGTCTTTCATAAAACATACTTCGTAATAAATCTAACTATTACATCAAAGGGGTAGCACGGGTCTCATGCCTTGCTTCATTACAGGGTCGATTGTGGTCATAAGCGCAACTAAAACTCCGCCCGAATACGGTCGGAACATTTATTAATTAAGTAACTTGCTATGGGTGTTAATTTAAAGAATCTGAAACTTATACGTACAATGTCATAAACTATTATTTTCGATGCATTATTATGTTTTCATGTTGCTGGATCATAGTTTGTTGTCGTCTTTTTTCTTTTTTCGTATTAATGATGGAGCAATTTAAGAGAATTTCGAATTTATTCGTTATTCAACAAATGCAATTGTGTAAACAAGGGAACTAATTCATTATTGTCGGGTAATGACATTTAGCCGAGCAGTTGAGCGAACTTCCCAGAGCTCTCTTATTATATAAAGTCTTTCGTTCAGTCGTACATCATCGAGTAGAGAATACCGTTTACTTCTAGAAATTAGCTCAATTTCATGTTTTCCCGTGCAGATCTTAATGTACACGTACGTTGTTGCACAGGTAATTCGCATTAAAAGTAAATCATGCGCCATGATACAAAACAGTGTGAAGGATACTGTCAGGGTTGCCTAGTTTCCACAAGAAAACATCTAAGGCGATCTTTTGACCTGCTGTCCAGTCGGCCTACCCTCTGTGACGACGAGGTAGCTCAAAAAAGAAATTGCATCTTATTAGTGTACTGAACAACTTCGATAAAATCTGAGCTACAAAACGTACCTTACTGTGCGAACAAAGTCTGTAATTGGACTCATAATCGTTTGTTCTATGGCCGCACTTGGTTAGTTGTCTCGACCAATTACTGTTCTTCGATAGTGACTATTATTCACCCCGGTAAATATTCCACTGCTATAGCTTAATCATATTATTTTATACGATGGCCACACCTTTATGTCCATATATGCATATAAAATAAGCTGTTTTACAATAGTACCCACAGCTTCAATCGAATGACCATGGTTCATGTGCGTAATCCAATGTAATCCAACAAGCCTCTGCAACATCGGGTTTTAGAAAAAAAAAAACCGTTGCCAAGTGTATTTATAGAAGCTACTAAGCCTCCTCGGCCAAATTGCGATTAGGTGTGCTATACGCTTTTGAACCACGTGTTTTTGGATCATATTGTAGTTGTTTTATATAGTCGTGTAGAGTCTAAATCAAGTTGGACGATATGGAAAGAATATTACTTCTGTAAACGTCGAGTTTTTTTTTTTTTTATATAAGCTAAACTGGTCCTAACAAGTGTTATCTAATCAACAACTGCGTGCTCCATATCTACTGATACAGAGGAATTTTTTTCTGTCCTGTTCTGTTCTGTTCCTGTATTCAGTGCTAGCTCGCGATCTACTTGGCAATTGGATTTTACTTTATAGTGTTCTTCTGAGCCGGAAATGAACAAGATTCAGCTGGTCCGTCCTTCCAACATTTCGAGCATTTGGATCAATCTACATTGAGGTTTCAATGTCAGGAAGCACTGCAGCGTTCTCCTATATATGTACGTAATATTAGAAGAATTTCATTGATACATAGAAATTAAATAGGCCCACTATCGGTATAGTCACGTTCGTTGTCCTAACTTATTTACAGCTAAACTATTTAGTCATGACGGTGATATGAGCTTCAACGATAGGCAGAAATTTAAATATGGGGACATTTGCATTCTGCCTGCGAACTATCAAGTGGCTCCAGCTACTGCCTTTCATGCATAAACAAATAAAAAGAAAACTAGAGTGATCTAGATCTAGATTGAATTAGAGAGATAGCAGGGCACGCTTGTAGTGTTATCAGAAACGAGTGACCAATTTAGCTTAAAGTTCATTTAGCTTATACATGAATTGTAATTTTCGTTTTCTAATAAATCATAGGACTGACTCAAGATCTCGGTATTTTATTGAGCTCGTAAAAATATGTAATTATATTGTACTGTTACTCTAATTTTAACAGCACTTTGTTTTATGTTAGTCCTTGTCGTTCCCCCACAACGGTGCCGTGACCTATTACCTAAAGCGTGTAAATAAATGCGCAGTAACATTGTATGCAGACATACGGTTAAGTTAAAATGTGCTGTCCTACAATTACCTTGTTATATGCAAAGTTAAATATTTTCTCCGAAAGCTCCTCTTGAAATTAAAATTTTAAAAAATCTGTTGTCTGGGTTATTCTTAGCGTTTCGAGAAAGCTAATTATTATAGTTCTGAATAAAAATAGGATATACAGGACATAAGGAACATCGCAATTTATGATTGAACAATTATGTCAGTTACCATAGGTGACCCAAAGGCTATTCATGGACTCTTAAATGGTCTCTAAGCGTTTACATACCAACTGATGTCAACAGCATATTATCGAGAAGTAGCGCGACAGCCACGATGACGAGCACTAACTTCCGATCTCCTCGATAGCGTTGCAGAATTTCCTGAAATCCTGACGTAGTTTGACTTCCGCTCACCGTCATGATGTCAGCTGCAAGTGGGACGACGGATTAGAGTAATTAATTCTTTACAAGCAGAATCAATGAGCCTTACCTCCGACCTCCTGCATTTTCGAAACGTATCTACTATACTGTAAATGGTAGTTCATAAAGAGCATTGATAATTCTAGGTAATCATTTGTGGCCATTCCTGGCTTATACGATTTGCAAATTCAATACCTGAGGCTGAATAATTATTTGCAACGATAGATCGAAGTGAATTTTAAACGGCCTAAAAAAGTAATCCTGACGATCCTGATGACCGAACATCATTATCCTAAAAGGGCAACCATCGTAGCCCACTTGTTCGGTTGATACATTTTTAGCCCTTCTAAACAACGTACTAAATTAGATACACGTTTCCATAACGGTCAATACCGCTTCGAGTAAGATTAAGGCCAAAAATTGATAACTGACTAAAAGAACGTGCCACGGAAAGAATTAATCGTACCTGATAACGACATATGAAGCAACTAAGCAATCGCTCGATGAAACTCTAAATTTTCGTGTAAGGCCTAAAGACCGCGCACCTAATGGCTAAATTGCAGTAGTCTATTTATATCTCCCGTCCCAGTTCTTCATGAAAAATTAATAAAATATTTCACCTTACCTAGTTTGGTGATAAAATCGCCACTGGGGGCGCCAAAGTTAACAATACATTTCGCGTTTTGTTTAGACACGCTAAGTTATTTTATTTAATGTAGGAGACATGGTGAAGGATTTCCGGGAGATTTCGAAAGGAGGGAACTCGACTAGTCCATACATACTTGGCTATCTGTGGATGACAGCGACTGCCAAGTCAAAAAGAACTCTCAGCTGCTCGGGTTATGGGTTAGAAAGTGGAGAGCGCACTGCCCGCTGCGAGGCTTTCAGAGGAACGAGTAAGACGCAAGGATGAGGGCCCTCCTGCTATTCTTCGATCCTTGTAACGTTACTGCAAGAAACTGACCTACAGCCAGCTTGCTTACCCATCCTTAAACCTTTCCCAAATGTGGAACCCTCCGAGGCGATGGCGTAAGCGCAAATTGAGTGCAACAACCCGATGGGCAGCGGCTTCAACGAGAACGCCAGGAGTGGCGCAGCAGTGGAAGCTTTTCCAATCGGTTACTACGCCACCCACCAAAAAAAGTATCCTTTACATCGTCTTATCTGATACACAACATTATCGAACGCAGTGAATGCTTGTAGCACAACACGAACTAGTCTGTTAAAAGGTTATTAAAAAAGCCAGTAAGTTGGCTTATTTTTGGCTGTTGGGAGGATAAAGCCGATGAAGGGCCCGGCTAAACCTACTGTTTAGGCTCCTTTACTGTGTAAAGAATGTATTAATATGTAATTTAGATTGAGCATTCAATGACTGAAAGTCAGATTGTTCATTAAATCTTCTCTAGTATATTTGACTTTGATGTCACCAAAATGCTGGTAACTTAAGTTGCCGGTCCAGTCAAAAATAAAATCCTCACCGTCGTAATAAGCAAATATTTCTAATCGTATTATAATTTGATCTTAAATATCTACAAGAGCTATAGATAAATGATGCGTCTGTAATTACTGTCTAAGCCGACTAAATGAAGTGATAAACCATTCACCCGACTTCATATATATATGTATATATACATTATTATTATATTATATATAATAATAACTCAGTAGAGTATCATTGAAGACTTAATACTAGCCGGTAGCGGCTTACAGATACTCTCTTACGTCTGCATCTGAGATTCGTAGAGGACGCAAATATTGTCAGATTTTGTAAAATTACCTATCATATGATTTTTGTGCTTACGGATTTGGGCAAGAAGCCTATTATCCTCGTTAGTAGCAGTTCCGAAACGTGGATCAATGAAACAGCCATGAATTTTCGTCCATCTATGGATGATTAACAACGCATCAATTGTTAGAGACGGTGATGCCAGTTTCATGACCCACGAAAGAACAAAAAGTGAAGATTAAATAACACATCTCAATGATAGCTAAAAGAGATATTATAATAAGGCAAAAATATGTTCCGGGTTATTGTTTCGAAACTTTATGTTATTTTAAGCTTAAAATAGACTTGGGTAAAGCTAAAGATGAATGAGCATTGCCATCGATATAAACGAATGTAATGCTGTTTCCCAAAGTAGGCTTTATTCTGAATGCCTAAAATATGTTTACCAACGATCGACACGATATTTGGAATAAATCAGTTTTCGGAATTTTTGTTAACCGTGGAAGTAAGATTCCGAAGAAAACTCCTCAATCATTCAGCCGTCCTTATCGAATAAACTAAAACTCCAACCTTCTAAAGTGTAGAACTATGCTTTAAATCATACTATTTAACAGTAATGTACTAAACACATTTTAAGTTTATCTACAGAAATGTAACTAGCTAGATGGACGCAGTGGTCTCCTCTAATAAATCTAAGGTACTATGCCTTTTGTAGAGCCAATGAAACAGACTCAAACATAATTTCGTTGTAAGGGAATATGAGTTACGCACCAGAGAGATTCCGTACAAGAATAATCAATAGGCTTGCAAACATGATTACTATAACATATCAGAATTGAAGTCTTTGAAATGGGTTTTGTGTTAAAGGTTAGCGACAGTAATACGCCTATTTCGTTTACCTAATATATTGTTGAATTCGCGGGATACATTTATATATCGCTTAATTAATTTTCACTCGCTTTGATCGTACCAAATCATAAGTATACGGCACGCACGAACTAAAAGGTACCTGGGGCCTTTCATATAGTAACCAAAAATAATACTAGTTTTAAGTCGTAAATGTAAAGAAACGACAAGAGGAGGCAGTGGGAAGGGAGGTGCACAACGAAATCCCCCGGAGCATAAAGCCAACTGCACATCAGCAATCCACGCAACTGCCTTTCGTGAATTTCGCATCAACAGAGAGTCATGGCGGAAACGTCCGTAAACTTTATAAATGTAAGTACGCTTTATGAAGGGTGATCCTCGATACGCAAATTTTTATTCCATACAGCTCTCCTCATTTTGCGCTACTAACCAATACTCAGCCTGTATTGTTTAGATACTCCTTCGGCAAGATAATTGCTTAATAATATACTTATTGTCTATTTTGTTTCGGAAAAATACTACACCTGAGAGATCATGCATTGGTTTTGGGTCTTATTATAAAAATTGATGATTTTTTATGCTACGGCTTATTCGACAATCGATATTATTGGTAATTTCGTATAGAGCAGAACATATAATAAAGTTGAAATTTCGTCCACGACGCAGATTAGCGCTCATTAAGAAGTCGCCCTTAGCCGTAACATAGCCCTATTTGCTTGATTGCGTGGTAGATTTGACGCACCCACACCAATCTGCTTTACAGTTATCGTTTAACTCACGGTGTGTATATTGGTTAAGTTAAGCAGAGAGCTCTAAGCCTGATGTTCGCCTCATAAACATCGTTATATAGATGAAGTCTGTTTGTCAGCATTGCTATACCCATTATACCCAAGGTAAGCATTTAAAGCAGCCCCCTAATTATCTAGTGTAACTCACAACGAATTGGCAATATCCTGTGGATTTAAAGTGTGGTCTGTGGACAACCTTTTAACAAATGTAGGAATATATCTAAAGCTTGGTTGGTAAGTAAAAATCTAAAATCGTTCATCGTTTATTTGTCACTGAAGTAGAAAGCTAAATGTGACAAATGCAATATATCTCCCATTACTAACTCAAACTGGAAATCGCAACTGTTGCAATTACTCATTATCTAGTTTTATACAGTGCGACAATAATAAGAATCGAGTTCAAACTCCGTCGGCGGTCTAGAAAATTACATTTTATTAAACGACCCTTGACTTGTTTTGGTATAGGTAGAAGCTGACGCTTCGTCAGTCATGATACTTTTATCCACCACTCTTCTTAGTGAAAAAGCCAGTTTGGTTACTTTTACCGATACAAACTCCTGCTTGATTTTTCGGCTACGAAACTCTTATTCTTCTGTCTGTCGTTGACTAGGAACAGACGAGAGTTCATTTATGGTAATGATTATTTCATTATCTATGCATTCAGGCCTCACCCATTCGCTTTCGTGAGAAAATTCCTCTATTCAGGTTGACAAAAACATTTGTGATGAAGCTATCTCTCTCTGTCTCCCATGCCCATAAGCGCAAATTTGACTTTGTGCGTTTTGCTCCCACCGGGTATCTAACGAGTGGCCGAGCTGGTTTGCTATAGAAGCGCTGTATAAGGCGCTGGTAGGTGGGCTGGTGTCGGCCCCACTTGCTTAGCGGACGGAAAGGACCCGTCGAGCGCCACCAATAAACGACAGGACAATAGAAGGACGCTGGAACCACGGGACGTCGCTGTTTGAGTGAGAATATAATAATAATAGTAAGTACCCGGGTGCCAGCTTTACTAGATAAAACTTGGACACCCGTCTGCAATATAAGCTCTCGTCTTAATACAATCATTTGTTCCGTTTTGTTTAAACTGGATTCGGTAACTAAAACTGTGGAGAATAGACGAATGTAATGTCAACTAAATTAACATTATAACGTTGACTGATTTCCAAATTGTATATATAATTAAACGAAGACAACTTTTTACATACATACTTTTCAAAATAGCTGATTCAGCAATATCACAGACAAATACAACTAGGACATAACTCATGCGATCTGTTCATAAAAGCAAAACAATTAAAGCGTTTTTTGTTACAGAATGTCTTGGCCGGAGTCTACACCGTTAGATTGTCAAGTGTCCTTCATTTTACTGTAGGACTAGCACAGATAAATAGCGTAGCCATGTGCCTGCATCAAGCAGATAACAGAAACTCCGACAAAAGCTCTCAATGGTATTCTTGTGCTGGACAGAAGGTTTTTCACTATTTTGATCCAGAACGTACCCTACTCTACAAGGCTTTCAGTGGGTATGCCTAGATTAGAACAGTTGATTAATGAGTCAATGTCGGACTGACGCGTTTATCCTGAAGTCTTAGCTCTGATAAGCTATCGCGATGACATACTTTTGTCTCTTTATCAGGAAATTGATCTCCAATTCGAACGTTGCTGAGTTTCACACACAAGCTTGCTACAACGCTTGCTGAATGTTATTATTACTATCGGTAATATTTGCACGGAATTCCTTTAACGGAACAGACTAGTCGCTCGTTTATATGAAGCTGATCGCCTCTTCGCGTAGAGGTCTACATTTTACCACGTGATGTAGCTTCAACAACCGAAGCGAAGCTCCGCACTCTTCATCCTCCTAAGCCTAGCCTCTTACAGTAGCTTTCCGACCGTCCGGTTGACCTCGTTCACTTGCAGAACACAGCTACGCACCGTCGACCATCGCACGGCCTCAACTTCAGCGAACTTCGCGTACACAGAACTGTCGCACTTCAAGGACCAACTCGATAGGTCGCAATAGTAGTCGCCGTAGTGGCAGCGAGTTTGGCAGCGCTTGAAAGTGTAATATCGATTGACACGAGACGTGTAGTTTGGGTGTTGGGTTCAGCTTTTCTCTTCTTACCTTATAAGTGTCGAAGGCGGAGGCAGATTTTCCCGACGCTCGTTATTTTACCAACAGGTGACCTGGCTATGCCAGGATGGCCTGGCTGGTTGTTCTGACTACGCGCAGCAGGAGCTCCGAGTCAATGGGAAGGAGAACTCACTCTCTCCTCTTTTACCAACCGAGAATTCAGCCGCGAACCAGACGAAGGGGAAGCAAGGGCCAGACAACACCAAAAGTTGGCGGGTCGAAGGATCTAGAGAACGGAAAATGGGGCTACTACTGGGGCAGGACCCCACTGGAATTGGGGGAGCTAACGTGGGGTTTAGCTTGGGATAGGACCAAGAATGGAAGAGGGCGGGGAACTTGGCAGTGGCGCCACCTGACAGCTGGCCGAAAAAGCGGCAGGTGGTGACATCTGGGGAGCGCGTGCGAAGACCACCGACGAAAAGCCGACTGACTGGTTGACCGAGGACGACGAGCGGTGAGTACAGACAACGAAGCTGCAGCAGCAGCAAGAGGAAGAGGATCAGGTCTGGTCTCATCAACCATTGACGGGAAGACACGAGGAGGCTTCCCGAAGAGCTGTAGCGGAGAGCGAATGATAGCGATTACGGATGGGGCGAAGGACCCTGGATAGCAAGAGGTAAAGTTTCAAGCGAGGAAAGCTGCACAATGTGTTCGCATGCTCTTAATCAATTCAAGCTGGCAGTAGCTGTTCAGCTGAATTGGATGATGAATAGACCAATATCGATAACTACGAAGTAGAAGTAGATCTCTGAATCAAGTGTGTAGATCGGTCAAAGTGGTTTTATATATTACTATGGGGTACCGTAATATTATACAGTGTATACATGTCAAGAAGCATTACGCTTAAGATAAAATGGTTGAGAATACAAAGGAGAGTAATAGTAGACTCGTTTGTCAGCACGCACCGTTGCTCAGACTGTCTTGCCGAATCCTGCCCCGCTTGACGTAGTACTTCATCTTGCAGCTATAAGGTTTACTGTTTAGATGGCTTCGTCAGTGCATTGGTTACGCCTAGTGTTATTTGTACGTCGTATACTCGAACTCAAACGATAAGGATAAATTGTTTAAAAAAATATACTTTTATATTTACTCGTGAAATGTGGTCGTGGTAGCAATGCAAACGTCTTTCATATTGGCTAGGTACAGTTATGATCTAATCAGCAAACAATGAGCCACGGTGAATGGTAAAAGAAGCAGAGTTAGGCGCGAGGTAATGATAAGGAGGAACGCATATCATCCATCGTAAAACAATATGAATCCGAAAAGACATGAAAGCTGATAGCTCATGTAGATACAGATGGCGACTTGCACAAAACGTGAGCATCGTTGACAACCCACTGGTAATTATTCTCTGTTTTTGCGGTTGGACCCATACCATATGATATCTCGCTTCTAATGCACTATACTCCTTTTGTGTTTTGCATGCCCTCTAGCCTCAAGTGAGCTTCTCCTTTCGCAATGTCACTCACATTATGGCGAAAACACTCTTGTTTAAGGATGAAATGAATTGATATTGTCTGTTATTTTTAAAATACAGGACCATCAAACACGTTTTTCTACACAATTTCCTGAACTAAACCCAAGCCTCATTGTTTATCGCCGAATCTGCAGCTTCTGCAGAAAGGGGTCCTTCAAAAAAGAATTGAGAGGTGAAGCGCGAGAACGGGGGGAGGTTTAGAAGTTTTAACATTTTGTCCCTGCCACTATTATTAATATGTGCAAACAATACATAAATTATTGCACCATTTAAACTTCATTAGTTGATTATAATGTTTTAGGTCGCAGCTAATCATTTTCTGGTAGTTGGAATAATTGTTGTATTAAAACTTTTTTTAAAATAACTGTGACAGCTAGAGTCTTATTTGGTGCATAAGTGGTATATTAAAGTCAAAACAGAAACTCCTTATCTTATATTTTCTCTATAATTTGATTGATTCATACGAGCGTAATAATCCCTGATTAAATTACAGCCTAACGATGACCCTTCTCGCTCAACGGTTAACAGACAGCTTTGCGTAACGTTTATTCAGAAGCTTTAACTCTAACAAGACTAATGACTTGCACAATAAGTACTCAACCCTGCTATGAACTGTAGAAAATCTCTTTGTATATTTCATGAAGGATTTTTTTCACTTTGTTGCCTGAAAATCCTCTATAATGTAGCAAGCTGTTTTTATGGATAAAGCTCGAGTCTATTCCATAACAAATAACTTCCAATAATCCTTATATCTTACGGCCAATTCACTAGACAACATTATGGCATCAGCAACCGTTTGTCTGTTTGTTCGTCGCTTGAGAGGAAAAGGTAGCTGTTCCTAGTGCACAGCAGCTTTGTGACCGAATGGAGAGTACACTTCTCTGTAATTCTTAGGACGACAGGGAGTCATGGCATCATTTGTCGTCCGCTACAAAAGCGCGGCGTGGAAGTTGGGTGGTCGTTGACAGACTGTCTAGCTGCCAGTACGAGCCGGCACTAAAAGCAGTCGAAGGCGCGCGCGCGCGCGCGCGCCACCAACTGCCACCCGATCTACTATTGCTGCTGTTATTGTGTTTCTGCGATGCTAGGAATATTGCAGACTTTGATAGCATTGGCAAGCATTACCAAAAGTGCCTAACCTTCCGCTAACTTACACGTGTGTGTTGTCGCCATGGTCTACGAACACCAGCCATGGCAGAACGGCGACGATAATGGCAGCTGTAACTGCAAATCCACTACGAAAACGTTCGGCTAGTTTTTTGCGTTATTTTAATTCTAACACTATGCCGATATATACACTGAGCATACGTCGCCGCACCTGTACTCGTAACTACTACTTCTGACACTGTTTAGTATTGACCAATACTGCTACTATTGTTATTTCTAGCGCTACATTGTACATGACACAAAGGCTTTTCAAGTGACTAATTTTGTTGTTTTTGTAGCACAACATAGTACCTACGTGTTTGCTGTATCAGTCTCAATTTGAAAAACGTCAATGTGTTCAGTTGTAGAGGCATGGATGAAATCAAGCGTGTTATGCTGTGGTGTAACTTATCATGGCAGGAGATTTATCTTTATGTGTTTATTTTTATCATTATCTAGATATGAAGTAGTATCAAGGCGTGTGATCCTTATAGATATCTGATTTCGAAGACGTCTGCTCTCTACACAGACTTAGGCACAACTCCCCTTCGCCTTTGTCTCTTCTTGAAAGGTTTTAACCCAAAGTAGACATCGTAAGCTTGGTTTGCGACACGTCGCTGACGGCACTGCCCCACACGGCTGGAAGCCAACGCCAAATAAAGTGCATTTAGTTCAGGCTTAGGACCCAGGCCACTGGTATGGTCTGATCTGATCTAAGCTACTCAGTAGCTTGTCTTTGCAGCTGTTGTCATCTATGAAGTTTGTTGTGTATCAGATTGCCAAGCTAATTCGTTAACAGCAACGCAGATAGCAACGATGTTATCGAAAACAACAGCTTTAGTATCATTAAAACCAGCTATTAAAGGTGAGATTGACGCTAGGAATCGAAACAACACAAGTGTTCGACAAAATGTGTTCAATGATCGAACCAGAAGTGTCTTTAGTGGAAGCGTTTGACTCTCATACTCCCCCCCATGATCATTATCATCATCGGTCATGCCCAAAAACATTTGGTGCTTTGGGAGTACTAAAGGGTAGAAGACGGAACAGCTGCTCACTGCAAGACGCTGGCAGAGGTGCGGGTTCTCACGATGCTGAAGAAGGCGAAGTCCTGATGCGGCCAACTGACAAAACGCCATTAGTAGTCGACTCGGACGCCGAAGAATGGACTTCGTCAGGATCTTGCGTAGCATACTATTCGCCAACGGTACGATAGTGTGGTGCTTTTTTTCCCGATAGCGAAGAAAAGTAAACATATACTAATGGTATGCAAATTGCGTAGATGTACAGCCACTACTTGCTAACTAATCAGCTTACCTTCATATTAAACATACATTAATCTATGTTAAAGTAAATAGGACAACAGCTCCCGATTTTACGTACATATTGATCATATCTCGCGCCCTTAATATAATATATAATATATATAATAAAAATAAATAAATAATATATATAATATATATA